GTCCAAGGTTGGAGTTCCATCCTCAAGAGAAACAGATGGTTGCTCCACAGCCCCCTCTTGTTGTGGAGGAACTGCACAGGCGGCTCTCAGGTTGGGGGAGCAACCCGAGAGAGTGGGAAAAGGGGGTTTCGGTGGAAGGCAAGGGGACTGCAGAGGCTGGGGCCTCCTTCCCTCTTCAGCAGAGCATGGCTCCATCTCCACTGGGTTTGGTTGAGCCACTCAGCAAAATGCAGCGGTGGTGGGCATACAGCAGAACAAATTCCCATTCTGGAAAGTTGAGGATTTTGACACCTTGGTCTGGTCCTCTTCCTTCAGCAGTGGAAATCCAGCTGGGAATCCTGCCTTGTGGCATTTTACTCTGGCCTGGATTTAGAAGAAAGGTCCATTTAGATGGAAGTCCCGGCTCCTCGATGCGAGCAAGGACTTTTCCCCTGTCCTGCCAAGTGTCGAATATCAGCGTTTCTCATAGAGTCGGATAAGCTTGCTGAATAAGTCCTAACATTGCTTCTTGTTGGTGTTGAAGGGAACAGAGCTTGTACTGGCTGGCAATTCAGCAGCTTCCTACTGACCCCATCGAAGAGCAGTTTCCCGTGCTGAATGTGACACGCTACTATAACGCCAACGGGGATGTGGTGGAGGAAGAGGAGAGCTCGTGCACCTACTACGAATGTCACTACCCTCCGTGCACAATGATTGAGAAGCAGGTGCGTTCACAGACAGGAGCGAGTGCTGGGCAAGACGGACCCCGTTCCGAGCCGGCTGCGGCAAGGTCGCCCTTCCCAGTGCTTTGCCACAGTGCACTTGGGAGGAAAAAGTCTGTAGCCACAGCTGACGGAGTCTTTGCATGCACATGCCCCGCCTAGTCTAAATCGTTGGCCCGGTCGGTGGCTGCGAAGCATCGTCCTCCTCTCTCACTGTGTCTGTAGGGTGCCCCCTCTGTGTGGTGCCGCTGCCTTGGGATCATCCTTCCCCTTCCCCGAGGTGTGGACTAGTGATGGTTTTCTGCAGGGCCATGCTCCACTTCCTTAGCCTGCTGTTTGTCTTTTCGGCATGAGGGGTGGGGGGCAGAGCGGCTCACCTCAGCCTCCACGCTCGGTTCTGTGGGTAATTCTGAATGCTCTTGCAGAGGGCCAGGTGCAAATCTGCCTGTGAGTTCTGGAAGAGGGGCTTTAGCTCAGGGGAGTCCCTGCTCTGAATCCAGGAAGCTCCAGGTTTTGTCTCCAGTATATTCCAGGTAGGGCTGGGAATGCCCCCCTTCTGAAACCTTGGAAAGCTGCTGCCATTAAGCTAGATAAACAATATGACTTGGTCTAATGCTGCTCCTTATTTCCTAGTTATTCAGAACCATGAGGACTAGAGTCTTGACTTTTATGGGAATGGTTGTCGCTTAATGATGGAGACCCTGCTTTGCATGCAGCATGTCTTTGGTCTGAATCCCAGCCCCTACAGATAGGGCTAGGAGAGAATCCTGCTTGAAGCCCTGGAGAGCTGTGGTTGCCTGTCAGTGCAGACTGTACTGGGTTGGATTGGCCCACGGCCTGGCTCAGAAGGAAACTCCCATGTTTTGAAGATGTAACCATAACTCTTGGGTGGGTAATTTGCAGACTTCCTGATCCTGGGTCCATGAAAATTTACCGTTGGCTATGCTGGTTTAGGGCTGCTGGGTAGGCTGAAATATCCAAATGGCTGCACATGACCCACCTCTGCGATAAGTTCTGACAAAGAAATAAACAGCACATCTTACACATGTTTGATTTTATTTATTAATAATGCTTCTGTGCCACTGAATATAAAATCTCTAAGCCATTTACATAGCAGTATTTAAAAACCACTATTTAGAATGCAGGATTACAAAACATTTTAACTGCAATTGCAATACAGGTCATACAAATTCTACTAGGGTGGAGCAGCGTATGATTAATTGCTGTTAATTGCAAGCTGGAGAAGGCCTGGGTGAACAGGGCATTTCCAGGAGGCATTTGCGCCATAGTAGAGTTGCTGCCTTCCAAACTGCATGGGGGAAGGTCTTCCAGAAGGTGGACCAAAGGCTTTGAGATTCTGTGTGGTGATACCCTGTTCCTTTTAGAAGTCCCACTGAATTCAAGAGTGCTTATTTCCTGGGTCATTACGATAAGTGCCACAAAATGAGTCTTCAGGAGGAAAAAAACATGCAGAGAACCCCACGTATGAGACCTGAAGATCTAAGAAACAGTTGTTGACACGTGGAAACCTCTGTTTTTTTTTTCTCTACATGCAATCTTTTCCCAAGATGGAAAGCTCTTTGGCCTAGATTGGGGTCCCAGAAAGTTGGCTGTCCAAGCATTGTTCCAGCTTGCCTTTCTGTGTGCCTTCAGGCCATCCCCTGAGACACCTTCGGGCTTCTGGCTGGCTTGTTTTGGGGATGGTTTTCTCTGGGGCCTCGAAAGGGATACTGACTCTTGTCCCGTGCTCCTCTCTCCAGCTACGCGAATTTAACATCTGCGGGCGGTGCCAAGTCGCACGGTACTGCGGCTCGCAGTGCCAGCAGAAAGATTGGCCGGCCCACAAGAAGCACTGTCGGGAGAAGAAGCGAGTCTTCCAGCAAGAGCTCGGACCAGAGCGATGACCGGCTGGCCAGGGCCTTAGCTGCCAGGGCACCTTCCCAACGGGCAAGGGGAGGCCCCTGCTTTGCACAGACTGCTCACTTGACGCCAGAGGCACTGACAGCGAGGAAAAACAGACAAACCGACCCTGTGTTGCTTGAGGAGAGGGACTGGCTCTCCCCTTCCAGTGTTAGTCTCAAGCAAAAAAAAGACTACTGTGGGAGCTTTCCTGGCCGGAAGGTTCCTCTTATTTATATGTTAATATGTTTGTAAAGTTGTGTACAGTTTTTTTTGTTAGCAGTTCTCTTATATAGGACTCATTTACTGTAATGTTCAGGTGAGAACACATTGTTGGTTGAAATAACTATCCTGTAGCGAAAGCGTTTCCTCCCCCTGTGGCTGGGAGAAGGCCGGGGGAGCTAGTGCAGACAACAGCGGTTAATCGGAACAACTCTGCATGGAAGTTGTGTTTTCAAGTAAAGGATTGGAATGGATTGCCTGCCTTTTCACTTCGGAGGGAGCCCGGCTCACTCCCCATGATGTGTTGCTGTCCTCATCCCCCTCCCTCACATAACGCCGCCCGCAGGCTCCGGAGAAATCCAACGGCTCTTTGCCAGGGCTTCTCGCCATCCCTGGCCCGTCTCCTCTCTGCTGCGGTTGCCCACGTGCATCCCAGCTGCCTCAGCGGTGCTGGCATTTGAATGGTGCTGCACAGAGGCCCTGGCTGGCATGAGCAAGGGCCTGGTAGCAGCGATGAGGGACTTGGTTGCTGCCCCACTGATTAAACCAGCCGTGAGGAGTCCCAGATCAGTCCCTACTGGCATGTCCAGGGTTAAATTTAAGCACTGCCACAGCATACCTGGTAGACCTCCTTCGCTCCTATGTCGCTGTCGTCCTCCTGGCAGACATCTCTGCCCCAAATCACGTTGGTACAGATGTCATGGGAGACACACACTTGACAGCTGTCTTTCTACTTAGGATTCTCTTCTGCTGAAAGGGTCCTCTTGAGACTTCGTTCGTGGCAGTTATGGCTTAAAACTAAAATACGACAGGGTTCGTTTTGTTTTCGCATCTTGGCTTACCATCACCGTGTATTACGGGTACCAAACCTTTTTTTAGCCCAGTGGCTGGATTCCATTTTGGAGAAGCTTTTCTTTTTTCTTTTCTTGGGGTGGGGTGCATTTCTGTGGCAGGAGGGTATGAAGGCAAAAAGGCGTAGAATTGGCTCCCAAATACCAGGAATAAGAAGCAAAGAAAGGCAGTGCCAAACCCCAAATGGAGACTTGAGGTTAAGTGTGTCTTTTTGTTAACAGGGCATGCTCTCACAGTGGGAAAGTTTAGGATCCTAACTGTTCTTCCAATTGACACATCCTACACTTTCACCTGGGAGTGCATGAATTTGCTCCTCCTTTGCCCGCCAGCAGCAGTCAAGGGCTCTCAGCTCGGTGAATTTCTTTACTGCTTCCACAAGATGCTGCTATTGAAGCGTTTCCTCAGAGTAACAGTGCCTGTCCATGAGGGCCAAGGCATTTCCATGGCTAATTTTGGGCTGGTGCCACATCCCTGCAGGAGGTAGAAAGTGCCTCCATCTTTCTCCTTCCAGTCGCCTGCCTAGAGCTTTCCCCACTCCCTTTATACCTCCAAAACGATAAAGTGAACAGGGCAAACGGGCATTTTGAGAGTCACACAGTGCCCCCCATACCCCTGCCAGGTGCCCGCATTTGCAATGTACAACTTGCAGCATCTGCTGAAAAACCGGCGCCTTCCATGCAGCCCGCTTTCCCCGCCAAGGCCACTTCTCAGTGCATCCGGATAAAACCACGACGCGCGTGACTAGCAAGGTGCGCTGCGGAACAGCTGAAAGGAAAGCGCCGGGCAGCCGCGCTCAGCCCCAGGGAAGCCCCGTGCGCCGCAGCCTTGCGGGAAAGCCGCCGGCCCCGCGGCCAGCCTCGGTTGCGAGCCCCTGCTCCCTCCCCAGCCCAGGGCGGGCCCCCGGGGCCTGCAGTCCGGCGGCGAAGGCTGTTGGGCCGCCCTCGCTCGGGGCCGTCCGGAGCCGGTCAGGCCACGTCCCGGGGGGCTCTCGGGCGCCGGGGGTGGAAAGGGGCCCCGCCGCGGCCCCGGAGGCGAACCCCGCTGCGGGCAGCTCGCGGCGCCGGCTCGGGCCCCTCCCGAGGGGGCCGGAGTGCAGCTCCCCTCGGCGCGGGGATGATGGGGGCTGTCGTCCCAGGAGCGCGGGGCGGCGCGAGTGGCCCGGGCGGCGGCGGGGAAGCAGGCGGCGGCGGAGGCGGAGGCGGGCGGGCGGGACGGAGGAAGGGGCGGCGCCGGGCCGGGCCGGGCTGGCCAGGCCACGCCGGGCCTGCTCGTTCAGTCGGCGGCGAGGCCCGGGCCGCGGCGGGCTTTCCGGGGACCGGGCGAGGCAGGCCGTCCGGCCGCGGGCGCCTCGGAGGCCCGCTCGGAGCTGAGGGACTGCAGCGCCCAAGCAGGTGACCTTCCGCGGCTCTCCTCCCCAGCTCAGCCGAGCCCCTCGCCTCCGGAGCAGTGGCGCTACCGCTCCCATCATCCCCGGCACGCTTCTTACCTGCACGCCTGCCCAAGTGTCCTCCATACTTTGGACACACCTGCTCCCCGGCTGCCCCTGAGCTGGGTGGGGGGTGAGTTAGGATGCAGAGGGGAATGGGGGCACGTGTGAATTTGCCCTGCCAGGATTTCTCGGGGGGCCTCTCTAGGGGAGGCTTGTACCCTTTGGCTTTTCAAAAATGCCCCTTGAGGGTAGACCACAACCGGTGTGAAGTTGTCCCAGTGTATCCTCAGGGTAAGGAGGCAGCGGGCAGAGAGAGGGGTCCTGTTTGTATATTTGTTTCTTGGACTGGGGGCGGGCTTGCTTTGCTTCTTCTCCCGTGCCCCTGTGCAAGCACCAGCCTCTGGGGTGAGGCTGCGAATGAGGGGAGGCGTGATGGTGGCGACAGGACTTCGCATGGCGTGAAGGAAGGAAGTGGGGACTTTTCACCCCGCTCCTATCACTCCCCTCAGAGGGATCATCCCTTGCAGCTGCCAGGGATTACCAGCCCTGGTAATCGCAGGATCAGAGGCAGCATGCTTATTTATGTACAGTCTTTGCTGGGGAACATGGGTGTGAGGGTGCTATTGCACTCCCGCCTGGCGTGCAAGTTCCCCGTGTTGAGCCCTTTGTGAACAAGATGCAGGACAAGGTGGACGTATGTGAGATTTACAAACGGCTGCATTCGGCAGACGTTTATGAAGCTTTTCTCTTGATAGCGTCTCCCTGATCCTGGGACATTTGTGTGCGCGGCCTTTTCGTGCCACTTATTCAAAGCATGCTTAGCCCGGTCTTCAGCCAGGCGAACTCCCAGCGCGGTGCTTGGCAAGACTGGGCATTTCTCAGGGGCCCATGTCCTGGCATGTGCATGCCGGGAGGAACCTTTGGTCCTCGCTCTTCGTCTTCCCCATCGCAAGCCAACCGGTGGCTTACACGTTTGCTCCGGCCCAGGCAATGATGTTGCTGAGGGTCAGGCTATACCTGCTTGCTTGCTGGCGCTCCGGGAAGCGGGCAGTGGCCGCGAGGAGGCAGAGGGCAAGACGCAAGAATGGCTGGTGACATCGGTGGGGAGGAGGTGGGCTTCCTGACGGGGGTCTCTCTGAGCACACCCCTGCCCGTCTCGCCCCCTTCCAGGCCAACATGAGCTGGCTCTGATATGGCTTCCCCACGCAAGATGCAGACCCTGCAGGTCGTCGACACGGAATACAGCGCCGATGCCGCAGAGTGGTGCCCTGTGCCGGGCTGGCGGCACATCTTGGCGTGCGGCACGTACCAGCTGCAGAAGCCCCACATCAAGGTGAATGGCTGCTCTTTCTGGGGTGGCCTGTGCAGGGAGCGGACTGGAGGGGTTGCAAGACGCACCCTAGGGCAGAGCGTCCAAAGGAGAGGGCGCTTTCCCCCTTTCCTCCCATACCTAATGTTCGGTTTGTATTTCCATTCTGCTCCTCCAACTGGGAAAAGGTTCCCAGAATAGCTAGTAATCATTCTGTGAATGAGACAGCCCTTGCTTGCAGGCTTTCAGTCTTGAACAAAATAAAAATTAAGAAATGGGGAGGGAAGATGAAAAACTTAAGGGTTGTGGAGTGGCCCTGCTCTTCCTCATCTCCTGGGGGCAGGGGAAGGTCAACTGGCATTTCACTGGAGTTTCCTGTGCCTGCCCCATCTCGCTCCTTTCCCTTGGGGCTGTTGCTATCCCAGGACAGTTCAACTGAAAAGGGTCTTGCGTATCTGCCTGCCTTTGCCCCTCTTTCCCCAGAGTGACAGCTTTTCCTCCTCGTTTTTCCCGCCTCTTGCAGCCTGGGGAGAGCCCTGACAGCACGCCCCAGGTGCGGCTGGGCCGCCTCTACCTGTATTGCTTTGAAGAGCAGATATTTGCACCCCTGACCGAGATCCAGAGACTGGAAACGGCTGCTGTGCTGGACGTTAAATGGTAATGCTTCAGGCTGATGCCCAGGTGGGCACCTCACGTGGCTCTTTTGCACACTGCTAGTAGATGTACCTTGAGCATCTTCCCAGAGGGAGGCTCTTTCCCCTGGGGGAGTTGGCAGCTCTCCATAATAGGTGGGTCTGTTCAGGCATGCAGAGGGATCAGATGGTAGATCTGGGTAGAAGACCCACTGATCTGTAGCAGCGGTAAGGAATCTTCAGCCCATGGCCCACATGTGGCCCCCAGCTGCTCCCCATTCTGCCTTTGAGGGAAAAGAGGGAATTTGTAAGTGATTAGACTAACATTTCCTGCACAGAACTGAGCTCCAGAGCTGCACAGAATGGGTTGACGCCTAAGTAGGCACTCTTAGAATTTCCCTTGGCAGGCCTGAAAGCAGCTGCCTTGGGACCTACTCCTGAGTAGACACACCTACCATTGGACGCTTTTAGCATGCTTGGTGGAAAAATGCCCAAATTGGTAAGGATTTCACCCATCCCTGGCGGTACGCTCTTGAAACGTGTCCCGGGAAAAAATTAATCAGGCTCTTGGGCCTAAAAGAGGTTTTCCTTCCCTGTCCTACAGACTTCACGGTGCGCCACTCAGTTTTGGTTCCTTGCCTATGAAAAGGCTCACTTCCCAACACAGTTTTAAGGGCCTGGCCAATGGGCTGTGTAAACCATTAAGTCCATTCCCCCATTACAAAGCAACTGCGGGGCTGTGGGTCCATGGGCTTCTTCTGCCTCTGATCAGCAAAATACTTACTGACCTCGAGGTCTGGTTATACTGGAAGCCGTTCATCCAGTGCAACTATTATAAATACCTGGTTTAAAATTTAACATACAAAGTGCCAGTGAACAACCCCCTTCCTGCGAAAGGGTTGGCCCTCCTGGCACTCTGCTGAAGTGTTTCTGTCCGTCCCTTTTCTAGGTGTCATGTCCCCGTCACGGAACAGCCTGTCCTGGCTGTCGCTGACGCCAGGGGAGCAGTGGGACTCCTCCGCTTGACGGGCAGTGAGGTAGGTGGCAGGTGTGAGCCGTGGTCAGACTAAGCAGTTCCCTCTACCGGTGGGGGCAGGCCCTGCTGTTCCCAGGCACTCGGTATGTCGCTTTGTGCAAGGAGGGGTGTGAATCCTCATGGGGCAGGCCTGGAATAATCGGGCATCCTCTGCGCATCCAGTCCTTAAAGAGAAAGGTATCATGATGAGAAAGGGGTCTAGCAGGAGAGGCAGGGACACGGCGGGAGGTCAGTCACAAGGCGGTTAAACCATTCCCATGTCAGAGCTGCATCGGTCTACTCTGAAGTAAGGCTCATTGTGTTCTGTGGGACTCGCTCCCGAGGAAGCATGTGTGTAATGCGGCCTGAAAGAACACCCACGCTTTGTCCTGGTGTCCACAATGTGTGCCTCTGCTAGCCCACCCTTGAAGACATGGCATCTGGGTCCCCGGGGCCGGTCTGACCCGCCTTCTCTTCTCTCCAGTAGAAGAGCTGCAGGCTGGAGCCGTGCAGCAGCGCAGGCTTGGGACCTGAATGCCTCGCGTTGTCTCTGGACTGGTCCACAGGGCGGGAGCACTGGTGAGGAGAAGCCCGTGAGCAGGAATGAACCCGGCAAGCCGTTGTCAAGGTTGCTAAACCACACCTCTTGGGATCCCACCGAGCTGCCTTTCCGTCACGGGCACCCACCGAGAGCAGCGGCGTCCATGTTGGGTCGCTCCTCGTTGCTCTGCTCTGCCCGGAGGAAGGGGGCCGGGGCCGGCTGACAGGCTTCGCTGGTCTCCGCCCCGCCTCGTGTTTGTCCCGTGCAGGGCCTGGCAGCCCGGTTCTCTCTGTGCATCACACACACCGACCACATGGGGCTGTTGAATCTCCTTCAGACCAAGGGCCATTTTCCATCTGGGAGGAGTTTGTGGGGTGCACATTCCACTCCTGGGCAAGGTTGAAGACAAATGGGGCGAGGCCCCCAAACCCGCCTGTTTTAGCTCAAAGCTTTTCCTGTCCATTGCCGACCAAGAAAGAGGCATTTCAGGCAGTTAAAATGGGGACCAAAACACAGAAGCTGCGAGACCTCCAAACTGTCAGGGACATGCCATTGCAGAAACCCTGGAGGGCTGGATTTGGTCCTGGCCCTGAGGCTGAGCACCATTTATAGGGCTCCAGGTATCTTGGAGGACGAGGCTCAACACCACGGTTGCTCTCAGTTGATGCTTCCCATTATGGTTTAAGCTTGGTCTCCTCTCCAGGATCATTTGGTGGCTTTGCAGTTCGGACACTTGGCTCCTCCTTTGAAGGGCGCATTCTTTCTCCAAATGGCCATGGGCTGCAGCAGATCTGGAGGTCGCTTAAAAATCAATTCCCAGTTGCCACATTTTCTGTGGAAGGACCAGCCGTACTTCGGCTCCTGCTGCCGAGCGCTAACCTGACTTTGCCGTCTCACTGCTTGCAGTGTCCCCCCGCTGCGACTGGTCAGCAGCGATTCCAACGGACGGCTGAGCTTACTGGCAGTGGAGAAATCTGCTCCCTCCGTTCACATCTTGGAACAGTGGAAGGCACATGACTTCGAGGCTTGGATTGCTGCCTTTGACTATTGGAACACATCCGTTGTCTATTCAGGTCTGTATCCGCCCCGCAGTGGCTGTTGGAGTCTCTGTCTTCACATTACCATTTTGACCAACACTTGAGCCAGAAGCATTCCTGGGCAGGCACTCCAAGATGTCTCGGCACTGGTGGATCAGTGTGGGCTCCGGATTTTTGGCTTTGTCAGCCTCCTGAAAGGGCAGGACAGGCAACTATCAATCGATCTCAGCTCCTTATCCTAGGTTTAGTGTTTACATTTCTGACCCTAGCAGCCAATCATTCTTAAAGATTCATAACAATAAGTTAAACCAAGATTGTAAGAGCCCTGGCTGACCTCCTACCTAAGCTATCAGTCAATCCCGTTAGCTCTCATTCTGGGTGTCATCTCTTCCCTTCTGGGGAAATAATGGGGCTGGAAGCAAACCCCAAACATTTCTTCTAGGAAATTGCAAAGTGTGTGAATGAATTAGACCTCTGCACCAGTTGCCTGATGGTGCTGGTCTCAAATGGCAATGCCTGGACTATCGCTTGGGGAAGGCAGCTGGGGAAGCGGGCCTTTTTTCTCTTCCTGAGTTCTCAGTGGCATAGGAATAGTGGTGCTGGATTAGGCAAAGGCTTATCCAGGCTCAAGTCCCATTTCCCACAGCCATTGGCTGGTTGTCCCCAAAGCATGAAGGCAAGGAGCCTTCTCGCACTGTTGCCCCTGCTGGGTGGCCAGTAGCCACTGAGGGAGAACTTCCCCGAGTTTGGGGGGGGGGGGGACACGTCAGTGCCTTTTTGATGGGGGAATTTGTCTAGTTACTTCTGGTAATGAACAAGAGACTGGCACACGTCCTATGGCAGTGCATTATACAAACCTTGTAAGAGAAGAGGGGAGGTTTTGGACAATCGGTCATCGGACAATGGCATATTCTGTTCATGTGAGCAGTCAAAAGGGGACCTCCATTCTTTTCCTGGCCACAGGGCGGACTAAAAAGCTGCCTTCTGTGAGCGGGAGGGACCTCTGTCGGAATCCTTCCTCCCCGGCACCGGCCAGCCCCATCCAGCAAGTCTTCTGGATTTGTGTCGTGCTTTCAGGAGGCTGGAGAGCCTGCTGTGGGAAGGAGGGGGCAGGGAAATCCACCTCCTCCAACAGAACTGATCCAGTGCAAATCGGAATCCAGTCTGCGATCGCTGACTTCATTGTGGGCTCACGCTTCATGTGCACTCTGGTGATTTTTCGTTCAAGGACTCATTTCCTGCTGTGCGGAAAGATTTCTTCCAGCCTTGAGCAAACGACTTGGTGCCTTGGGAAAAGGCCGTCCTCCCTCCAGCCACCTCCGCTCTCAGCCAGTTCCATTTGTCTTTCAGGGGGCGATGATTGCAAGCTACGCGGCTGGGACATCCGGAGCAGCCCAAAAGCTCCTCTCTTCAGCAGCGAGCGGTAAGCAGAGCCTGCAAGACCGTTCCCTGCTCCATACTGGGGAACACTGCTTGGAAAATGTTCTGAGCAAATCCAAACCGCTGGGGACCCAGGCAGCCCTTCACGTTTCAACACTGATTTGTGTTCTGCTACAGGCACTCTATGGGGGTGTGCAGTATTCAGTGCCACCCACTCCGGGAACATCTGCTGGCCACAGGAAGGTGAGTCTCCCCGAGATTTCTCCATTTGTGTCCACCGTCTGGCCCAGGATGAACGAGCTGGAGAGCTGATGGCAGCTTGCATATATTCATAATTAGAGTCCGTAGTATCACATGGATGGAACCCTGGATACCTGAAGGAGAGCAGAATCCAGGTCCCAGTTGGGCATGGTCTTCACTGGGAGCCCACCCTAATGTGATGGGGACATGAGAGCCGTGCGGGACCAGATGAAAGCCTGGCTCATCCAGCATGCTGTCCGCATTATGGCCATCCAGCTGAGAGCGCGTGGTCTAGAGCACGGGGCTGGCACTCGGGCACCGGGGATTCTAGCCCCTAGGCTCATCCATGGGGCTAACTGGGCCAGTCACAGGCTCTCGAGCCCAACCTCTCTCTCAGGGTGGTTGTTGTGGGGATAAGACAGAACAGGAGGAGGAGGTAAGCTGCTTTGGAGTTCATTGTAAGAAAAATGGTGGGATACAAATCTAATAAATTAAAAAAAAAAAAACCTGGGAGACCTCCGACAGGGCATGGGTGTAACAGCTCCCTCCCACCCACGCTTTCCAGCAGCCAGTGTTGGCGAGGGCATATGCCCATCAGGGCTGGGAGCCCCTGAGGGCCTTCTCTTCCGTGAATTTGCCCAGCCGCCCCTTACAGATGGCCAAAGTAGGGCTGGCATGCACAGTATTTTTCAAAAGCAGGTTCCACGCTTTATGTAGGAATGTCACAAGTGGAGCCGGCTGGAGCCAGGGTCAGACCAGATGGCCCAGGAGGCCCCTTCTGACTCGCTCTGTTTCTGTGTACTATATTAAGGAGTTCTTTGATCTTGAAGTATTGCTACTAGTCTGCTTCATGGGCTGACTCCACTGAAGTTGAGTATTAGGAGACGAAGAACAATGTCTCCCTTTCCGCTTGGTCCGTATCATGCATAATTTTGTATATTCTTCTCATCTATTTTGTAATTTTGTATATTCTTCTCTTCCTATTTTTTTGTAAGATCGTTCCGGACAGCATAACCTTCCCTCAGCCCACGGATCATTGTACATGCCCTTTCCCCAACTCTGCAGTAGCATTTTGGGATGCGGTAGCCAGAACTGCGTGTGCTTATTCCAAATTTAAATAGCAAAAAGTAGGAACTTGAGTTTCTCAGACCCTTTGATGCAAAGCTCTAGAGGTTTCCTGACGCCTGCCACATGTCTCCGCAGCTACGATGAACACATCCTCCTGTGGGACACCCGGAATATGACGCAGCCAGTGGCAGACACCCACGTGCAGGGCGGGGTCTGGCGGCTGAAATGGCATCCCTCACGGGAGAACTTCCTGCTGGCAGCCTGCATGCACAACGGCTTCAAAATCCTGGATTGTCAGAGCAGTTTGGGTGAGTGCTTTGATCTGGGGAGCTCGCATGGGAGAAATGCAGAGGAGCCGAGGAGAGCCTTCCTTATGTCATGCCACCTTCTGAAACGTTAAGAACGCTTCCGATGTGTGAGCATCTCCCCTCCTGTTTACTTCCAACCCGTAATTTCATCTGGCGGTCAAGATCAAATGCCTGCGGGATACTCCAGTGTGTTTGTCGTTTGCTGCTGCTCCCTCAGAGATGCTTGAAAGGGATTGTGTGAAAAGCAGAAAAATAGTTTACTGTGATTGGGTGTAAGCTGCTTTCAAGTTTAAACATGGTCTATTTCCGATTCGTTGTTGAACTTCTTGCATCTGGTATTGTGAGCGATTTTGGTGTGTGGTTTCTCCGTAACTTTTTCTCTTGGTGCTGTTTTTTTTCTGTTTCCTACTACTTAACAATGTTTTTAAATAGCAAAAATGGTTTAGCTAGGAAGTTTAAACAGAGGTACTATTGCTGGAAGTGTCAGGTATTTAAATACAATTAAGTAGCCTCAAGTTACCCTATCACACACTCTTTCCTTTTCTGCCCATTAGCAGAGAACAGAGAAACTTGTACTGTCCTTTCGTCTTACATCTTGCACAACTCCTTGGCTTATGGAGCTGACTGGTCAAGACTGCCACTGAGCAATCCCACAGTGCTGTCTCCAGCGATGCCAGAGGTGAATACGGATCAAGAAGCTGGACAAGTGGATCTCAAAGTTCAGAACCTCAAAATAGTTTATGAATCCCCCACAGCCACCTTTGAGGTGTTGCTGGATGAGGAGGATCAAACCCCCCCTGTGCCACCAGTGCAAGGTGGAGACAGCCGGGACCTGCGGGGATCCCCCCGTGATGCAAACAGCGTGGACACCAAAGCACACAGTGAAACCGAGTCAGCCAAAGCCCAAAGAGAGACCAGCCTCCTGGCGACATGTTCCTTTTATGACCATGTCCTACATGTTTGGAAATGGGGAACCAGCTAGACTAACTTTTGGCCTCCCAAAGGTCAGTATTAAAGTTGCTGTGTGCCTGCCTTCCTTCTTGGCAGGCCTTTTTAGCAGTAGGATAAGAAAACTTGGGACAGGGTGGCTTTGCTGCTGTCCTGTCACGTTACTTTTCCAGCTTTACTCCTGGGAATCTGCTGCAGCTCAGAGCACTGACTCCTCAGGCACTTCAGGGATGTGTTGCTGAGTTCTCTCTTCCAGTTCCCCCCCTCCCCCTGGCCGAAATCCCCTTTCTGTTCAGTGCTGTAGAAATAAGAGTATTATATTCTTTTATTCTATTGTATCTTTTAGAGAGTTCCTCTTAAATTTGGGATTCCTCTAGGCCTAGCTTAAGACCAAGCTCAGCATGTGCCCCAAAACAAGACAAACCAACCTTATTCCTGGCCCTGTTTCTGTTGGTGAATTAGCTTTTCCTAGTGGTTTTTCCTAACACCAGCTTAAAAGGAGGTGGGCAAGTGGCAAGCTGCACTGGCTTGATTTGCTGCGTGGTTCAGTAGCCACCTCGTGGCTCAAGACAACCTCTTGCTCCAGCCAAAGACTTGAGGGGGGGGGGGCAGAATGTTCAGATATTTGAACTGCGCTGCCCTTGTGCGTCTGCAGCCTGCTTCACTCCTGCAGGAAAGGCAACACCCCGCCCTGCAGCTTTGAGCCTGAGGGAGCACGTGTGCTACGGGGAAGAGGGGAACGATATGCACCCTCACCCTCATGCTCCTTTTACTTCCGTATCACAGAACGGAAGAACACCAGCAGTTTTCAGTAAAGACAAGGATATTTTCCTCAGGGCTGGAGACGTCCTTGCTGAAGGGCTTACTTGCAATATGAAATACCGTCACTCCAGCTTAGGCCATTTATATACAGATACGCACAGTTTACAACAGTATTCTAAACGAAATCTTTAAAATAAATATTTTGGACCTTTCTAAAATAACACATGCTGCTTGTCTCTCCTTACAGCCCCTGTAGGTCTGCATTTAGCTATTGCTTCAAGTGTGATTCTTGAGGTGATAGAAACGAGGTGTACTCGTGGCCCTGTTACATTCCCAGATGATGTCTTGAGATGGATATGAGTCTGAAAGCTTGAGGGTGCAATTCTATGTATGTTTAGATAGAAGAGCCTACAGCTGCCACCTATAGGCCTGTTTTCCTCTCTAAATATGCACAGGATTCCACCCTAACTTTCTCTTCTTAACAGGTACAGAGTGGTCCCCTTTTTACAGAGACTTTATACTAACTTCAGCCCTGCTACTGGGTATGAGGAATCAGTCTTGCTTAGTGACCCAACATAGCTGGCATGAATGCATCCATAGCAGGTGCACATACTTAAATGCCACATACTTGAATCGTGTAAGAATAGATGTGTCTTCCTTACTTGCTTTACTCATTGTGTTAATCCATTTATAGACTGCCCAATAGCCAACACTCTCTGCACAGCTTGCAGCTGTGCCAGTGGTTTGAAGGGGAGCAAACAGCAGTTCAGAACCCTACACCCCTTAGGCTGTATACAGAATTTGCCTTCCCCAACAGGAAGGAACTGCTCATGGAAAGTTCCCCTGCCTATTTTTTTTTTTTTTTTGAGGGGGTCCCCTCCTCACACCCCAGCTTTAGCAGGGTCTTTTGATTCCAGTATTTTCAGGGAGATGGAGAAGCTGCCACAAGATGGAAGGGATGGAAAAGTCTTCTTAAAACCAGATGATTCAGCCTGAATCTGAATGCAGCCCCTCAGAAGGGCCCAAATAGTTCGCCTCGCTGCTTATAGCAAAGTCACATGTTGAAGCCCCAACAATTTTACACAGAAAAAGGACGAACCTCAAAATCTGGGAAGCTAGCACTTTTATTTTTTAAATGAGCATGTCATCAGACTGTGGGATAGGTCACTGGAGTCCTGAACATCTGCCCATGCTTATTGTCTCACACCTTAAAACATGGTAGGTTTCCTGAAAATCCAACATAATTGCCTCTCAGCACAGCATTCCAAAATATTTGTACAAGTAAAGCCAGAAAAAAGTACACCCTGTGTGCCTCAGCATCTATGCCCTTAGCAGTCCTATTTCTATACTGCCCAATTTGTGGGAACCACTCCCACAAATCCAGTAGAACCTACTCTCTTTCCAAACTGCCAGAGGGCACAAGATTCCAGTCCATCTTGTCCTATTCCAAAAGCAGTTGACAAATGTGCACCAAGCACTTCTTTCCTGCACCTTTTTACTTTACTCAGCAGGATCAATTCCTGGCTTGCTTACCTAAAAGCATGGACAGCTCATGTGACAATTCTTCCCACCCCTTTTAGCTCCCACTGTAAGTTGCTTCCCAAATTAAGTATCCAGTACGGCAATTTCTTACCCCTTTTTTCTCCCTCTTTCTTGATACCTCTTAATTCCACCCCCCCCCCCAAATCAATGGCTTATGTGAGGATTTCTCCCCACGTTTTTTTCAATGTTGTCCGAGCTCCATCGGTGCATGTGGCCCTTCCTCCTGCCCTCCCCCTTGTTAAACTGAGCGGCTCTTCCCACGTCTCCTGCGGCGATTTCTTCACTCTTCGTCCAGTCTCCTATTTCGGGCGCTTCAGGAACGTCGCGGCGCCGTCCTCCTTCCAGCCTAACGCACGAAGTTCTTGGGGAAGAGGCAGAAGAGCTTCCCTTCCTGGTTGGGCTCGAAGCCGTACTTCTCCAGGCTCTCCGGGTCGAAGGTGCCGGCCTTCACGTCCTCCTCGACGCGGGGGGCGACGACCTGCTCGAAGAGGGCGCGGGCGGATGGCGGCGGCTCACTGCCGGCCGGCGCGCGGTAGGAAACGTACGGCTTCAGCGCGAAGCCGCGCAGGTCGGGCACCACCAGCTGCGGCACCATCTCCGGCACCAGCCTGAACTGGCTGCGCGTGAGGAAGCCCAGGTACTTGGAGCCGCGGCTCTTGTAGAAGGTGCGCGGGCCGCGCTTGCTGGTCCAGGCCGCCATGCGGTCGGCGCCGCGTACCAGCCCCCGCGTCACTTCGCCCAGCAAGCCCATCGGAGCGGAGCGGAGCGCTCGAGGGCCTCCCGCGCTGCTTCGGCCTCCGCCACCGGTCCTTCCTCTCACCGCAGGCCCCTTCTCCCGCCCCTTGAGCCACACAGCAACACCACCCACTCTCATTGGCTAAGCGACGCGCGCCCAATCGCAGGCGTCCATAATTGCCGCTTCGCCTATCCGTTCTGAAAGAGACCAGGAGGGGGAGGGCGAAAGATTCTGGCCAATCGGAACGAGAGGTTGGGTTGGGGCGGAGGATGCCAAAGTAGGCGTGGCTCTCAGCCTACGCCTCTAGCGGAGGGTTTTTTTCGCGATTAGCCAATGAGGATGCTTATTTTTCAGCCCCGCCCGACATTGGGCGTAGGCAGATTTCCCGCCCGAAGTGTCGCTTTGGCCAAGGGACTGTCTTGCGAAGCGACAGCTGTGACCATAGACCTAGAAATGTAGAGAACCATCGAACTAGAAAAAAAATGGTGAGCAGTAGTCATCTTAAAGGCAGAGAAAAAGTGCAAAACTGCCACATCGAGAAACAAAATGCAATGGCTATGAAGCAAAAACAAAACGAAACAAAGACTTGTGCTCATAGACTTAAAACAGAAGAGTTCCAGAAATCACGGCCGAATTTTTGTGTGTGGGAGCGTGTTGTAGGACCCCTTCCTCTCTCGAAACGTCTTTGGGGTGGCTCCACCCAGTCACAACAGGCAGAAGTGCCTCGAACATTGCTGCACTAAAACTCCCAGCAGCCCTTGCTATGCTGGCCAAGTCTGAGGCATGCTGGGAGCTGAAGTCCTAACGCACCTGAAGAAAGTTACTCTCTCACCCACCTGGGAACGGTTTTCTAGACTGGCGGAGACTGCGCGGAAGTGACGCCCCGGAAGAAGCTATAAAGAGCCCTCAGGCTGACCCGCCGTGTGAACTTTGACCTCTGACCTGGCCGGAGGGCTCGCTCTTGTGGGGGAAGTGCCGTTGGCGGCTCCCTCGCCCCCGCCTTCCCTCGCCGAGGCGGCCCTGGCGTCCTGCAGAGCCCCGGCCGTGGGGGGCGAGGCCGCGGCCGCCTCGCCCCCTGACCCGCAGGTACGTGGTGTCCTTTCTCCGCTTCCGTGGCGGGCCTTGCCGCCGCCCCTCCCCGCCTCGAGGCCGCTCCCTGCCGGGCGGGCGGTTTTCCCGAGGGAAGTGGCGGGGCAGGACTGGTAGAGCAGCCTTTCCCGCCCAGGTGCTTTGGGCTCCTCTTCTGTCAGCCCGAGCCAGCGTGACTGAGGAGGAGGGACGATGGGCGTGGTAGTCTCCCCCCTCGCCAGAGTCCCCCAGGTGTTTCGGACTTCCAGGCCTGTCATGTCCAGCTAGCACGGCCTCGCAAGCTGAGTGTTGCTAGTCCTTTCCCTCTCCCGCCCCTCCTCTGGACGTTCTTTCCTATTCACTCCAGCCGTCGTAGGTAGGGAATGATGGGTGTTGTAAGCCTCTCCAAAACGCCAGGAGGGCACCCGACAGGGGAAGGTAGTGGAAATTCTGGGGAGGGAGTTCCTTCTGATATGTTGGACTCCCCATCAGCCCCAGCTACCATGGCCAAGGGTGAGGAATTATGGTGGTTTTAATCCCCCAAAACTCTTGCAGGGTGTTGGAGTGTAGAAGGCTGCTCTAAAGGAGTATATGTTTCATCTTGGATAGAAGTAGCTTTCATGGAGTTTAATACTCCCAGGTATATGGAAGTAAGATTGCAACCCATGGTTCCAGAATGGTTCATTGAAGCTATATTTACTGGTAGAGTCAGTCTTTTAAAAATGCCTTTATGGCAGCTTCTTCCAGTTGGGTATCTTCCAGGTGTGTTGGGTTGCAACTCCCATTATCCTCAGCCTCCATGACCAAATAACCACTCCCATTGGCAATGCTTTTTGGGGTTGTTGGGAGCTGTGGCCAACATCTTGTGAGCCAAGCGTTCCCTCATCCTGGCCTCAAGTGGGCATGTGCGCAAAGTAGGTTGCCAGTGCTTTGGATTTCAGCCCCCAGGCCAGGCTGGCAGGGGCTTCCAGGAGCTGCAGGCCAAACTGTCTGAAGAGCATCTTAACCTGTATTGATTGACTTTCTGTTATCACCTAAAACATCATTTGTTCAATAACCTTAAATTAAGAAAAAACATTCCAAAGAGCTACATACCTACAACAGTTACATATAGTAACATAAGCTGCTGTGAATAGGTCAGCCTTCTCTAATCTTCTGCCCTCCAACCATTCTGGACTATAACTCCCAGAGTACCTGGTCACTGGCCATGCAGACTGGGGCTCATGGGAGTGAAAGTCCAAAAGATCCAGAGGACACCAGACTGCGTTAATCTTTAAGGCCCTGCTGTTTGTTAGTTTTTCTTCCAGGATACAGTTGCTAAAAATATCTTTGTGGCTTGTCAGTGATAAATGTTTGTCTATGGTGGGAGGAAAGAACCTCTAAAAGCAGGCTCACTCTTTTGTGACATCATGGTTGGTCCTAATTCAAGGTTCATTGTCCGTGCAAGCAAAATTATATGTTAGTCTTTAAGGTACTCGAGTATTTCTACTTTTACTGCAGGGTGGAGTCAATATAAGGCTATTTAAAGAGAGGCTGTATAGAACCTTTCCCCAACCTGATGCCACTGAGTTGTGTTAAACTGTGACTTCCATCATTCCACAGGGAGTGGGAAAAAGCTGTGTTCGATGATCAGAGCACAGTGAAGAAAAGAGGGCATTTTCCTCTCTTCTAAGTCTTAATTTTAGACTTTTTGTAATTTTAGACCCTCTTTTCCTGTAAAAACTTTTCCCTCCCTTTAAAAGGAGGAATGGAATACTTTGTGGGCACTTCCCACTATCACATTAACTTTTTTGGCTGCTCAGATTCTAGATACTTCACCACAGAGTTGCTCAGGATAGAGAAATGCCAGTTTGCATAGAGACAAAAATCTCTAAAGTCACCCTCTCAGTGATTATGAGCACTCTATAGAAGGAGTTTAACCATAAAGAGTCCAAGGGAAAGAAGCACTAGAACAGGGTTCAACTCTCTCACTCAGCTTTGAAGCTCACTGGGTGCCTTTTGGTCTCTCAGCTTATTTATTTATTACAAACTTTTGTATCCTGTCCTTCCAAGAAGCGCTCAGGATGCTCACAGCTTGACCTGTGCCAGTGGGATATTGGGAGGATGATGTGTGTGTGACCCAGAAAGGCGGTCATGCTGATAGCCTCCTTAGGAAAGGGGCTTCTGGACGTCAAAGATTCAATTGGCTATTATGTCTAGTAACTGTTCATGGAGCTACACTGTGAAACCAGGGCAGGAAGCCTTTGGCTCCCCAGGCCTGGACTCCCATTGCTGGCCATTGACATTGCCTGCAAGACTCTCCGACCAGTGAGAGCAGGTTAACCACATCGGTATTGCCGGATTTTCGCAAATGGTGTGGCTGGTTCTGTTTTAAACTTATGCTTTCTGCATCTTGCTTGGAAAATGGATGTACATATTGAAATAAGAAGCAAACACCCAAATGGAGGAAGACAAGGCAGTGGTAGAATGAGGGCACCCCCACCTCGAACTTGGCCAGACACTCTACGCATGTGCAGAGGTGTTGTCCCAGGCTTGGCGGTTCTTGACGAGGAGTCAAGAACTTTGCTTATGAGTTAACGAGATGAAAGTGTAGTTTTGTCCTTGTTTAGATGGAGGAAAGTCCTATGGCTGGTTGGAGAATTCTGGGAATTGCAGGATTTCCCCCCATCTAAACATGCATAGGATTGTGTGCAGAGTGAGTGGGAAGTCATATTTCGGGGTGTATACAATGGGTTTGTGTAGTCCTTTTTAAAGTAGGTTTCTGTTTATAGTTCAGTACTTGCATCCTGCCTTTGGCAAGGCTGCCAGGAATGCAAATACGCAGTGAAATCAGTGGCATAATCAGTGGCTGACGTCTCCTCACAGCCACCCGTATGTCTGCCCTGGCTGGCTAGAAAGCCTGGTGTGGTGGGATGGAAAAGACATGGAAGAAGCCAGTTGCTGGCAGACCAGGCTGCTTTGCTAGTTATTCCCCTCATCCTCTTCAGTATGCACACCCAGGTAGAAAGTTATCTCATCCCAGGAAGTTTGTGGTGGTGGTGATTTTTGTAACACCTCCTAATATACTGGCTGCTTTGCAACTATATTGCTTATTTTGAGACACCCACCTGGGGGGCTGCCTGGTGAGCACTGGAGGAGAGCAGATGGAACTGAGCTCCTGGGGCGACTCTCCTTCCCTTCTCACATTCCCTTTTCTGTTCTCCAGGTGTGCCTAGAGGCTTCGCTGTTGTTTTTGCCTTCCTGTTTTTCTTTTCCCCTGTTCCTTCCGTGTGGCTTTCCGGTCTTCTTAGCAGTGTTGCTGTTGTACCTTTACCATACAGAGTGCCATCTGCAGAGGAATCCACTGCTTTCCTTGCAAATGCTTTCCCTCTCCGTATTGTGCGCACATGTTCCTGGTGTGCAAGGAAGTGTACCTAAAGCTGCAGCTTGCCTTCTGACTGTACTGGTTCAATTATGTCAACACTGCCTGCGCATACAAAGAGAAGGGATCTTACCACCTTGCCAGTGCGTTCCCTTGTGGGTTCTCTCCCTGAAACAACCACACCCTCTCTCCCTTGCTGCTCTTCATGCCTGGAGCTGACTCCCAGAACTCCTCCGTGGCGCCGCCCTTCCCTGTCTGTATCCCCTTGCAAAAGCTGCCTTTCCAGCGAAGCCTTCTGCACCGCTTGCTTGTTCCCATGGTGTACTGCACCTAAGCCTAGGTAAGTCCAATTGGGTACATGAGCGTCAACCCTGCCCCGCATTTCCCCTTTCCTCTGTTGTCTTCCTTGTGTCTGTTTCTAGATCGGATCGGGCAGGGTGCTGTCCTCGCGTGTCTTGTGAAGTGCCTTTCTGACACTGACACAGGTGGCACTGACCTAACACAAATCATGTACCGAATGGCAATTTTTCAGTGGCTATTAATGTTTGGGAAGTGTGATCTTATAAGAAATAAATATTCACGTTAATGAACCAAAATGTGAACGTGTGCTTACTGAGTGTGTACTTTAGAACTGACGACTCCCTTGGTGTATGGGTTTGTAATTAAAAATGTTGACGCTGACTTGGCCTGCAGCTCATGTGCTCTGATATAAACAACAGGAACTGGAGGGTTTTTTCCCCGGCACACACCCCTTGTTATCCATCTGTAGATGGCATATGGGCATTAACTGTTCTCTGCGCTCTTAGAACTGTATGCACTGAGGGTTAGGGTGGGTATTTGCTCTGCTAATATATACCCAGCCCTTTGGGTGAGTCTAAAATAGTGCTTTGGATCCTAGCCCAGCTGCAGGTAAGAGAGAGAATCTCTAAGATTGTTGGCCTGTCCATTCCAGAAATGAATTCCTTTGCGGTTCTAAATGTATCATAGCATGGGGTGGCATTCCAAGCCATCCAAGTACCAGAGAGTTGATATTGTGGTAATCTTAGCTCCAGTGAAGCAGATTTTTTTGGTGGGGAGACTTTCTGTCCCTGATCCTGAGCAACGTCTTCAAGCAAGCATGAAAGTCCCAACATGGGATTCAGCTCTGATTATCAGGACAGCTTGGACTCCTCTTTTCTTGGCTGGTGATGTGGCTTCATGCCCTGTAAAGGCCTTTGTTCCCCTCCTTTCAGTCCAGATTTTAAGACAACTCAGCCCTTGCTTACAAACACTCATCTTCAGATCCTTGGGGACAGGAAGTACCTCCCTTCAGTCCGTGTTATACCTCTGGTGTTTTCATTCTTTAGGTCAACTTCCCAACAAGTTCAGACCTAACCACGCGGGTGCTTCAGTTTGTAGAAGAGAGAATGCAGACTACTATGGTAATGTTTTAGCCTGAATGTGTGTGCTGCACCAGAGCTGCTTCTGCAAAATAGCAAGACCTTAACTGTGTCTCGCTCGGCTTCTGTGCTGCTGCTTAGGAGTCCAGGCCTCAGCTCTCTCCTCAATGGGACTTAGTCAATTTTCAGTACTGGCTTGGGTGTTAAGATAGCATCGTCTACTTTACTTTAATAATGTTTTATTACTTTTCTTGATATGAAGCAAACGGAACCTACAACTTACCGTGTTGCGGGGCCCACTTGGTGGCCAGCTTGCCGTGGGTAGTTGCCAGCACTGTGCCCCTCCTCCGCGGGCCGAGCTCTTTGTGACAATCTCACACCGCAGCACCCGAAGTGCCATGCAAGGTCAAGAGCAACCCCCAGCCCCAGAAAAGCATTCCTGCCTTTCCACTCCAGGTTGCAGCCGAATGGGGCAGCAGTGGGGCAGAGATTGTACCCAGCTGCACCGCTTTTCTGAAAGCCCCTGAAACCGGGGGCAGTCTGGCTGGGGGCTGCTGGGAGTTCCAGGTCCACACCTGGAGGGCAGCTGGCCGGCCTGGGGCAGGGACGGTCCTCCCTCCTGTGTCACCGCTGGGGCCTCGCAAGGTCACGGCACATCTCCCGTGGTGAGTGTGGCTGAATTGCGAACCCTTGGCCTTCCCCGTGTTCAAAGCAAGCAGAGCTTACGGATGGAAGTGCTGCATCAGACCGGAGTTCTCGGCAGTTCAAGGTTCTGCCCCACAGTGGCTGCCCGTGGAAAGCCCAGCCCGCAAGCGGGACGTGGATGCCGCCCATTCCCCCTTCCCGCCCTGCTCCCCAGCAGCTGCACACGAGACCTGTGCAGCTACGGCGCTGCAATAAGTTAATTTTTAAAATGGTTTTTGCAGTCCTGTCTCTGCCCTTGACAGTCCTGATCCCATGCAGCGTCTAGACGGAAAGGCAGAGGACGACACGGCAGAAAGGAAAGGGGTGAAGCTGCTGGGCGTCGCTGCTTCGCAGCGCTCACGCTGTGCTTGGCTAGGTGCCCCAGAGGTCTCAGGTTCCACGAGGAGTTGAGGTCGGTTGGGGGAGGCTAGCCCAGCCCCCTCTGGCCTTGCGTGCCTCTGGCCTCGTTGCAGTGGCGCTCCCATCACCCCCAGCCAGCACGGGTAGTCAGCCTGCAGGGCACCGGGTTGGTTGGGCCTGGTGGGTTTGGGGGAGGCGGACCGAGGCTCAGCCCAAGAGCCTGGCAGGTGGAGGGCCCCCGGTTCAGTTCCCTGCGTCTCCTGGTCAGGCTGAGAAAGACCCCTGCCTGGAAGCCTGGAGAGCCCCCTGTCTGTGCAGCAGGTACCAGAGGCATGACTCAAGAGCAGCAGAAGCTGCGTTACTTGGTGAAGAGATGGAGGAAATGCCGCCGGGAATGCCACCTCGTGAGCCGGCTGTACAGAGCGTCTTGGAGGCACTGGCAGGCTGTTCTGAAACAGAGCAGCTGACTAAGCGGGAAAGGCCACACATGCAAGTGGCTCTCAAAGCAGGCTGGTGGCAGGGGCCTTGCTGCCTCCCCTGGGTGAGACGGGGGCTGCTGAAGGGGGCTGGGGGGCGGTTGGCACAAGCAGGCTGCTTGGAGGCTCTTCCCAAGCGAGGGGTGGGTGTCTTGGGGCCTACAGCACCTGTTGTGGTCCTCCAGACACTTCCGGCCTTCCCGTTCTCCAAGTCCTAAGCCACAAAAAGGCCACACACACATCCTTGCATAGCATAGCTGCCAGCCAAAGCAGCGGATATTTTTCAGAATGGCCGACTTCAGCCGTAGCGCCCTCCAGGGTACTTGAGGAAACGGTTCGCCAACCAGCATCTAAACCTCCTCCTCCTTTGTCTCCCTTCTCCCCACCGCAGTTAACGGGAATGGTCATTGGTGCCGCAGTAGCCCTGTTGCTTATCGGGACCGTTGTGTATTTTGTTTTCAGGAAGGTGAAGGAATCGAGTAAGTTGCAACCACTTTGCTTACTAATTTCTGGGCTGGCTAACAGTTTGTTTTAAGGATTATGGTGCGTTTTGTTCTCAGCCTGCTGCAGGCTTCATGCTTTTCTGACAGCGTTACTCATTTTATTGAATCTATTTTTCTCCCCTGCCTCATCTCAGCACTGCCAGAGAAAAATGTAGCATCCAGTTGGCGGGTCTGGCCTTTACTGAGAATTTTAATAAAATTAGCTAGGCCATCACTGCTCCGCTGTCAACCACGGGTCTCTCTTTGGGGACTTGTCAAATTTCCAGTGGGATTTGAATGTGCATTTATCACTTACTGTTCCAACACAGAAGTACCTTTTCGCAGGCTTTAGCCTTTCCAAGTGACAGGCGCCCAAAGAAACACCACTGATGCCGTGGACATGTGGGCACATGGAAAAGCATGTGCTGCTACGGGGAGCTCCTTTGGCTGAGCTACGCTTGCCCTTTGTCAAGGGTGGTCTGTGCCAAAGGAAAGAAGTGCTGTGGGGCCACTGCGAAGAAGACCCTGCTTCTTGCCTTGCCTGCCCTAACAGTGCTTACTGGCCGGCCCGTGAGCAGACCGTCTAACAGAGGCCACGGAATGGAGGCAGGAAGAGGCAGCCCTCTGGAACGCCTCAGGTGTATTGCTTGGAAGGAGGTCCAGGCTGTTGACGTGCTAGTTTATTCCAAGCCCTGGCCTTGTTCAGCCCGGCCTCCTCCAGACAAGTCGGGGCAGTGGGGATGCTGGAGTTGTAGTCCAGCACATCCAGAGGGGAGCATGCAGGCTCAAGCAGAGCACCCGTGGGTGACGGCTGGAGCTTTCTGTCCCTGTTGCTCTCCTACTCACTTTTGTGGCTTGCTTGACTGCCCTTCCTGAGCTTGCAAGCTGTGACCAGCAAGGGGCTAAACCATCGTTGCCTGGTGCCCTCCCCCTCCCCCTCAGGGTGGCTCTGCAAGATGGGCAAGCAAACGGACAGCAGCAGTCGTGACATGGAGGAGCCAGCAGCCCAGCTGCAGGGGTCTTACCAAAGGCACACTTTCCTCCCCCCTCCCCAGGCTCAAGACTTCGGTGGGCCTCCAGTTTTCTGCATCAAAGGGGGTGGGGGCTGGCAAAAGGCCCTATGCTGTCGTTTTCTCCTCTGATGCTCAGCCGTGAGGGGCCAGTGCTTGCGGCAGCCCCCCTTGCCGATCTCCAGCTCCCAGCCTCTGCTGCAGGGCTGACGAGCCTTCTGCTATCTTTCAGAACAACCCCAGCCTCAAGCGCCTCAATACCGGTTCCGCAAGAGAGACAAAGTCATGTTCTATGGCCGCAAGATCATGCGGAAGGTGAGTCTCCCTGCCAGCAGCACACCTGGGCCGAGAGGGCGGGTGCAGCAGCTGGTGCCAGTGCACCTGGGGACCTTTGTCCTGGGGCTGAGCGGGCGCTGCCCTTGATTTCATTGGCTGCAGGGAGCTTCCGTCCTGCAGACCCCTCCAAGGGGACAAGTGGCAGGAGATTCTCTGCTTGCACGCGTGTTCTCGCCAGTGGCACTTTCCTCCCTGCCTGTTCCTCTCTCTGCCTTTCCCGAGAGTCCGGGCACAGCTTCTGGAAGTGTTTGTCTGTAGCGCAGACCCCCACCCCCAAAGCAAAGGGAGGTTTGTCCAAAAAAACAAAGAATGGACGAACGCATGTGTAGTGCTTGAAATCGAGCCAGGGAAAGGATCGTAGATAGCTCTGACTCTACAAGGATGGGGTGGGAAAACTGAGTATGAGTTGTTTCCAAGCAACCAGCAGCATTAATTCTCCATCTATATACACCGTTACACATCCACAGAGTTTCTGGAGGAGAGGAATGGGAGGGTTTACGCAAATCCCTGCATTCCTGGGATTTTGGTAGATCGGGGTTGGGAAGCTTTCACCGTCCAGGTGCCTTGGCCTGCACCTCTCACCCATTTTGGCCAGCCCAGGCTGATGGGTGCGGAAGGCCAGAACATCTGGGGGGCCCTACATCATTCATCTCACCTTAAGAGCTACCAGGCTCCAGAGCAATGCAGACTCTGATGAGGGCATGATTTCTTGGCTGGGGGGAGGCATAACTCGCCCATTCCGAAGCCGTTGTGTTCAGCCCAGAGCTGATCAGCCAGCCGCAAGTGTTTCCGAAATCCACACTAGGTTTCTAGGGACTAATCCTTTCCGGACGCTGGGAAGTGGGTCAGTAGAGCTTTGCTGGCAAGTGGCGCTTGCTTCCGTCGCCTGCGTTGTTCCGAGAGATGGCGCTCCTCACCCAGCCCTGGTTGCTGCTGGGCGGGGGCCCTCCGTTTCCAGGGGCTGCGCTGCCGGTTGCCATTTCCTGGCATGCTGGTTAAATGTCATCTCTTACGACACATGCAGGGAACAAAAAGAATTGTCCTCCAAGAGTGAAAAATCCAGTTACGCTCCCAGAACCGATTTATGCGCAGAAGGCATGTTTTTCCGGTGATGCCAAAATCTAACATACTGCAGATGGAGCACCTCAAGAGCCTGCTCTCCATCTGGAAGCCACTTACTGAATTATCACATTAGTAAATCGTAGCCTCCACACTCTCGCCACACCTGGGTACCTCTGCCTTTCTTTCCATTCTCCCTCCTTTCTCTTACCAGCTCTTCTTTTCTGCTATTTCCCCTGATTTCCTATTTTAATTTGGCGGGGGGTGTTTTGGGTGGGTGGGGGAGTAGGAGAAATAAGCTTTTCTGTAGATTAGTTGCCTGCCTGTTTTAAAACTTTAAAAGTGGAAGCAAATCAGGGAGGATTTGTTGGGGATTTCCGATAAATCTAACTTATTTTTCCTTGTCTTGCCACAGTTTTATCAGGTATTTGGTGGTTAAGGAAAAGCTGAGGATCCATATCAGGTTGCACCTCTAGTCTGCAGGCCAGGTCCAGCCCATGTGGGGTCCGAATTTGGCCTGCTGGTGGGTCCCAGGTGGCCATACCCTCTTCCTCTTGGCTGTTTGGTCCTTTCCAGCTTGTTCTCATTTTCTCTCCCTTTTGAAAGGTTCTAGTGCCTCCCCTGAGGCTTCCTAACTGGCAGCAAGGGCTTGAAGCTAAACTCTTGCCCTTCTGCCAGGCCAGCCAGTGGAAAGCAAGCTCTGAGAACTTCTGCAGAACGGAAGCGGCCCTTGCACCGAGAGAGGTTCGGCAGCCCCGCGCCGCCTCCTCTCCAGGCTGCTTCAGGCCTAGCTCAGCCCTGCGGGTGTTTGTCCAGCACCCGCCTCTGCAGGGCCAGGTTTTTCTCCTCGGGACACTGTGCTTCTCTCTAGGTGACCACTCTGCCAAACTCTCTCGTTGGAAATACGGTACCTCGGCAGCGGATGCGCAAAAGGGCCAAAGTCTTGTCCCTGGCAAAGAGGTACGGGGTGGAGGGAGGGACCCCTCCTTTGCTTGGCTGGCTTGCATGAGCTGGCGGTGGTGGAGGTTTTTGCCTCGACGGCCTCGTTTCTCCCAGGATCCTGCGTTTCAAGAAGGAGTCACCAACTCTGCAGCCCAAGGAACCGCCTCCGTCCCTGCTTGAGGCAGACTTAACAGAGTTTGACGTGAAGAATTCCCACTTGCCCTCCGAAGTCCTTTACATGCTGAAAAATGTCAGGTAGGAGCCAAAGGGGCGGGAGGACCAGGATGACGGGGATTATTTTTTTGGTGAGGAAGCGACTTTTCCTTCGTTCTGGTGCTTGCATAAGGGCGGGAACTGATGCGATCTGACTTGAGAGGAACACCGACCGGTGTGCTGGGCTCACCGGGGTGCGCGTCCGATTTAGCAGCCACAGGCAGGTGAGCCCCTCCGGGAGGTTCATAAGCAGGGCAGAGCGGTCCTGGACCTTGGACTGCGTGAGAGGCAGTGTGCCTGTGTACCCCAGTCACTGGGGCACATGGGTGGGAGGGTGTCTTCCATGGCTGGGGCGTTTGCGCCCTCCTTCCCCCCGGCTGCTTTGGGAAGCTGCACTTTTTTGGCTTGCAGCCCCTTAGTTGAAAAAAGAGCACTGGCTGCCCGCTGGTGTACAAAACCCTGGCCTGGCCCAGGGGCCCTCAAACTTCCAACGGGGGGCCAGTTGAAAGGCAGTGGTGGTGAGCGCAGGCCGGCAAGGCAGTGGGCGTGCTCGTGCAGGGGAGGCGGGTGCAGTCGCGGCCATCCCCCCCCCCCCCCCGAGCACGACTGCGATCACGCCCGTCTTCCCTGCACGAACGTGCCCGCCTCCCCACTGAGTACGCCTGTGCTGGCTCAGAGCTTTTGGACTCACTTGGAAATCATTTTCTCTGGGCGAGTCCAAAAGCTCTGAGGCGGGCCGGGTCTGGCTCACGGGCCGTAGCTTGAGGACCCCTGCCCTAGCCCATGGCTTCTCAAACTACGGCCTGTGGGACAGACCCGGCCTGCCATGGCCGCCCGTCCGGCCCATGCTGCAGTTTGCCGCCTGTGCGTGTGCGCTTGCTCTGTGGGCGGGGAGGCGGTGGCTTGCTCACTCGGAGCTGGTTTTGGACTTCCTGGGAGATCTTTGAGCAAGCGAGCCACCACCGCACACGCCCGGCACTGCCTTGCGCGTGCCCGACGGCACCTCACCGGCCCGCGCCCCCGGGCAGCCCCCCCTCACCGGCCCGTGACAGTCACTGCAGCCTTTCGACTGGCCTCCTGTTCAGGAGGTTTGAGGACCCCTGCCCTAGCCCACTTGAAATCGGGGTTGCTGGGAGAGCTCCCCCTCTCTGGTAAGAGCTTGCTCAGTCTCTGAGGTCATTCGGCGGCACCGAGCAGTGGTCCTGTGCAGCCCCCTGGCCCGGCTTGGTGCAGGAGGAAGGAAGCCTTCGGCAGGGCAGCGCCGTTCCTGTGGGACTCTGTGCACCAGGAGGCCAGGCAGGCGGCAGCCCTGCGTTGCTTTCGATGCCTGCTGAAGTCGCCTTTGGTCCGGGAAGCCTCCCTCGCCCTGGCTCTCACAGCACCCCATTTACGTGCATTGTCCCAATTCGCCTTTCTGTTTACCTTTCATTTGTCCGCTGCTCTGTCTCGAGTTGGAGGGGAATACAAATGGCGTGCGCGAACAAGCCGATGCAGGGGCCACGGATGGCTGCCGCGTTCTGCTGCAGTCCAGCGGCAAGGCGCTCCCCTGCTTGCAGCCCTGTTTGGTTGTCCAAACTGGCCTTCCCCAGACATGGCACTCGGCAGTTGTGTTGGGCTGCAGCTGCTGTGGCTCCTGGCCAGCACGGCAGCATCCATCTAGTTGCGTGGCGTTCTTGGAGACGGCTGCCCTGGCTGGTGGGTGAGGCGCTTTCCGTGTCTGCCTTCCCCTCAGAGTTCTTGGGCACTTTGAGAAGCCGCTGTTCCTGGAGCTGTGCAAGCACATGGTCTTTGTGCAGCTGCACGAGGGGGAGTACATCTTCCGCCCGGGAGAGCTGGACAACAGCATCTACGTGGTGCAGGATGGCAAACTGGAAGTCTGCATCCAGGAGAACGTAAGGAGGCGCGCTCCGGAGCCCGGTTTTACATGTTCTGCGGCACCTGGTCGGCCTGAGGCCGTGCGGCGGTGTCAGGCCGCAGCTCCTATTATCGCTGCTCGTGGGGTGATGGGAGTTGCAGCCCAGCACAGTGAGAGGACCCCAGCTAGAGGACGCTTGATCCACAGTGTGTGCTGGGCTTGACTGGGTTGCCCCATTCTGGCCTGCAAAAGCCAGTAAGGGGAGCACTTCCCACGGAATGCTTCCGTATGAGGAGCAGCCCCCTGCATGCCTGGGAGAACTCCAGGGGCCCATGCTGGCTGGCATGCTAGCTTTCCCAGTACGAGGAGGGTGCTTTCTTTCTTCATGGTGGGGCGAGTGGTCTTCAGGTCTGCCTTCTTCACCCTGTGCTATGCCCTGGATCCAGTGCCGTTAGTTTCCTAATGCGTGGAGTGGGGTTCATCATGCAGCTGTGTGGACTGGGTACCCTGTACCTTCGGGACCGTTTGTCAGCGCTTCTCCTGGGTGAATCCAAGCTCTGCAAACAGTCTCTGGTTTGCTGCTCGCCAGGGTTGGCGGTTGTTCGGAGAGGCTTGTGGCCCGGCGTGGAGCTGCCCTTGGCGTCAAAAGGCCTGCTGCCCTGAGAGGGAAAGCTCAGCATGGCACTGCTCTGGCGGCTGCCCGCTGGTTCAAGGGCTGCTGCGCCTTCCTTGTTCCAGTCGTGTGGGCCCCAGTACCACGCTCGGGTGCCGGAGGCGCAGCTCGTACCGCAGCATGGCCTTCCCCAAGCTGGAGGTCTCCAGATGGGTTGGACTGGGAACAATGGGCCTTGTCGTCCAGCACATTTAGAGGGAACTTGCAAGGGGAAACGCTCGAGTAGTAGAACTTTCTAGACAATTACTGCATCTCCCCCTGGTCTCTCTCCCTTCTCCCCCTACTCTTCTGGGAAAGGAAGCAGCGCCATTCAGCCTTTTGATCCAGTATTGTACTAATTCCACAGGTTTCTCGCCACTTTTCCAGCATTAGTTTCAGGGGCAGGCAACTTCTGTGGATTATTTTGCCGTGAATCACACTCCTTGGGAGGCCCTGGGAGTTCAGTTTTATCAAAACAACAGCAACAAAAACTAGCCACCTCCTGCCTGCAGGCCTTGAGTTAAAGCAAATTTGCACTGCTGACTTTGGCAACGTGAGGCGGCAACAGCTGCATGGAAACACTGCCGGCCGCCTCTTTGCTGCCGGAATGAGTGGCCTTGTTCGGGGTTTGTGGTCACGCCACCCGGGCCCTGTGAGGGGATCCCCACTTCCTTCCTTGTGCATGTCATGCTGGTCTCTGATCCCGTCTTTGCCGGGATTGTCACCTGTAATCGGGCAGCTCTCCCTTCCCCAGTCCTGGTTCCTTCCAGATGCTTTTTGCTACATCTCCCGCAATCCTCAGCGCCAGGCCTGGGACGGCTGGGGAGGGCAGGCCGTGAGCTCCCTCTCCTTTGGCTTGTGTGTGTGTTCCCCAGGATGGCACTGAGGTGGTGGTGAAGGAGGTCCTCGCCGGAGACAGTGTGCACAGCCTGCTCAGCATCCTGGACGTCATCACGGTACGTCCCTGTGCCGCCTGCTGGCTGCCTGCGGGCGGGATGGACCGAGCTGGTGCTGCAGCCCCTGTGGGGGAGGGGTTGGGTTTCATGGGGGAGCAGAGGATGGGTTCGCTTTTGAAGGCTTTGTGTCTCTAAATATGGAAGTTTGGAAGCGGGGAGATGCACGGGCTGTCCTCCACTTTACAATGTTTTCTTCGCTTGTTCGCCCAGAGGCGGTTCGCAACTCGCCACAGGGGAGTGACTTTCTTCAAGCTATGTTTAGCTCCATTATCTTCCACTACACGCAGGAGCGTCTTTTTTCCTTTTTCCCTTGTCAGCTGCTGGTGCCTTAACACTGAGCCTCCAGGTTCCCGCCTTGGGCCACGCTTATTACTTAGTCAATTTATTTTTTTTATCCCCTGAATTATGACTTGATCAGCCAGCTGGGATCACAGCCAGAGTCATGAAACTGGCAGATGACTTTCATGTTTTCCTGGCTGTGGAGAGAATGTGTTTCTGCAAGAGCAGATTTTTTTTTGCAAGTGGAAGGGGGCTGGGCAAACGCTGAGAGGCAGCTATGAGTTGAGACTGGAAAACTTACATTCCCTGCACAGCTGCTCAGTGGAGATTGAGGAGCAGGGCAGGTGGCAAGTACAAAATGCCGAAAGAAACCTGCGAGGACTTCTCTTCCCTTTTCCTGACTGCCATAATAATCAGGAACTTGTGAACTGAAACCAGGTTCCTGTTGTGGCAGGAGAGCCAGCTCAAGGGTAAAGATAATGAGATTTCCTCTCCAGGCTTAAAGAGCCAGCACTCCGGTCACCTTGGGTGAGCCTTGAAATCTGTTCCAGGCGATCAGGCTAAGGGAACTTCCATGTGCATTGGCATGGCGTCGGTGGGTCTTTCTTCCTTTCTTGATATCAGCATGTCGCAACAGACTGCTAATATCTAGAGATGCGTACCTTTCTCAGGAAGCCCTAGATTGAAGGGCAGGCACACGCCTTACTGTGGTGGGGAGAGTCCAATTAATCCTGTGGTCCAGCTCCCTTCTGGGGGGCTGGGGCTGTGCCTTGAGGATTGGGGCGTGCTTCTGGGATTGCTGGCACACCGTTCTGCCTTGATGCAGGGTGCTTGGGAGGAGTCAGGTGCTCCTTCCTCCCTTATGCTAACGATGCATGAGCTTACAGAGCACTTGGTGGGTCCAGTCGAAGGGCGAACTGCATGTGCCGCTCCCCTGAGTGGCACCTGCTTGAGGAGCTGATGAATAATAATACGGGTGTGGGAATTTAGGAATATATGCAAGCCAGCAGCTTTAAAGGAGCTTTGGAGAAATTCCTGGAGGAGAAGGCTACCTCTTCCAGGCTACCTCCTCAGGCTAGTAGCCGTGATGGCTAGATGCTGCCACAGCTTCAGAGGCAGTGTGCCTGTGGACACCTTGGGAACGTGGGCTAGGGAGTGCTGTGGCCTTCCTGTTGGTTGAGCAGCCACTTTTGGCCCCTGTGTGAACGGAAGGTGGGCATGGTGGACCCTGGTCCAATCCAGTAGGGCTCTTCTTACATTATGTTACCATTGGAAGCTGCCTCCTCCTTGGTCCAACTAGCTAGGCATTGTTGATGCTGACAGGCAGTGGCTCTCCCGGGTTTCAGGCAGGAATTTTTCTAGCCCGGCCAGGGGGTGCCAGGATTCAAGCTGGGGGCCTTTGCTGTGCAAGGCAGCGGCGTGTGCCTCGAGCCACGGCCCCTCTCCTGCGTGCCCCAGGCACCGCCTTCCTTAAGATGTAGCTCTGGCCCAAGAAGGACGTTGCTTGGCCTGCGTGGAAGTCCTGCCTGGGACAAAGCAGCTCCAGAGGAAAGAGATCGGGGACACCACAAGAGGACCGCCGCAGCGTGCGAACGGCACACGTTCCGGGCACTGTAGGCATGCACATTCTCCGTTCTGTTCCACAGGGCCATCCGGCCCCATACAAGACGGTTTCCGCCCGAGCCGCAGTTCCCTCCACCATCCTCCGGCTCCCGGCCAGTGCCTTTCAGGACATCTTCCAGAAGTACCCCGAGACACTTGTGAGGGTGGTGCAGGTGAGGCCCACTGTGCTGCCATGGGGGCAGGGCTGCCCCTTGCGCCAGGTGGGCAAGACTGGGCAGACGGTCCCCCTTCCTGGGGTGCAGCCCACCCTGGCCTCATGCAGCTCTTGTTCAGGTCGCCAGGCGGAAGCCCTGCCTCCTGGGTGTGCCGCTTCCCCACCCTCCCTCTCCAGCCCTGGTGGCACTGATCTCCTCCCTCCGTGGCTCTTTCCCCTTCAGATCATCATGGTGAGGCTGCAAAGAGTGACCTTTCTGGCCCTGCACAACTACCTCGGACTGACCACCGAGCTCTTCAGTTCTGTAAGTGGGGCCTGGCGGGAGGGTTTGCTGCCTGCCTGGAACTGCCAGCTGGGCTGGCGAGGCCAGTCTCCTGACCACGGCGTGCCTGCAAAGCACGGTTTCTGTGCTGGGGTTCCAGGGTGGCTTTGAGAGGCAGCACGTGGGGGACCTGTGGCTTGTGGCCCACGCTCGGCCTGTCCCTGCCCACGGCCGCCTTGTGCCTTCTGCCCCGCCAGGAGAACCAGGCCATCCCACTGGTGTCCGTCGCAAGCGTAACGTCAGGCGCAAACGCCGGGAAAGCGGTGAAGAGGCAGGTGTCCAATGTGTCTGAGGAGGAGCGGGTGGAGAAGCCGGAGAGGCAGGCGTCCATCTCGGAGAGCGGTAAGGGCCACCGTCATAAAAATGGCTCTCGAGGACGGTCTCCACAGCAAGGGGTTGCCTCCCCACTGGGCAAGGCTCCCCGCTATTCGTCCAGTGCTTTGGTTGAGGCGCTCAGCCTTCAATCCGAGAGCTGGATTCTGCTCTGGAGGAGCTCCTGGGACCACGTGCCAGGTAGGCAGGGCTGAACAGGAAAAGCGAGGACGGCGTCAGAAATAGCAGCTCATGTTTCCTGCCAGTCGCTAAGCCTTAGGAAAGGTATTTCCGACCTTTAGAATGTGCGGGGAAAACACCGCAGGAAAGCGGGGAAGCCAGCCCACGATGGGCTGTTGCCCAGCCCAGGCCCTGCCTTCGGGGCAGGTGCCCCAAACCCTTGGGCCGCGCATTCATGTCTCTGTTCTCATGCACAGGTACAGGGAGGTCTCCTGGATCGGAGGCGCTCTTTGACTCCATCCTCCGTCCTGCTGCTGCAGGGAGAATATTTCTGTGGAGGAACTGTCCCTGTCACTTGCGTGCCCTCAAAAGGGCTTCCTGGATGCTTTGTCCTTGAAGGAAGAGCCGCGGCAGGCCGCCTGGGGCGGTCCTTCCCTGCAGCTCGCGGCCTAAATTCATAGAGCCCCTGTGATCTGTTCCAGCCTCGAACAGGACTGGTCTCTCCTTTCCCTGGTAGTCCACTAGATGTGGGGAGTGGTGGGGAAAGAGGGAAAGGGTGGCAGAGAAAGAGAAGGGCCACCTGGCCCACTGCTGGCTCCGGCCCAGGCTGCTGCCCATGAAGGAACGCAGCCCTGGCCAGAAAACAGCTGCCTGCACCTCGCTGTGAGGGTGTCTGGAGAAGCCCAGCCGGGCAAGCCCTGGAACAAGCCTCGCTCTGCCCCCTCTTTGCAGGGTCCCCGGCTGGTGCAAAACCGGACTTAGGCATGGCCTGTGAGCGAGCCAGAGGTGCCTCCGTATCATCTTCCTCTGAGGGGCTTCCCAGTGCAGCCGCGTGCAAGGTAGGCTTCCGGGGTGCCCCTCACTTGCAGCCTCCCCAGAGAGCTGCTTCAGATGCAGAGCAGCAGGGCACTGAGTGGTGGTCTCTGACAGTCAGGGCCCCCCGCAAGAGGTTGGACAGAGCACAGGAAGCGAACCGCCCTTGAGCAGGAGGGAGGGGTTCGGGGGAGCCCCGGGACCCCATCAGGAGCCGTCAGCCCGGAGAGTGGGCCAGTCGGGGGCCATCTGCCTCTCCTGCCTGGGGGTGGAGTCAGGCCCTTTCCGGAAAGGAGGGGGAGGTTCCTGTGTGGCTCCTCTCTTCGCATGGGCAGGCGCTACTCCTACATATCAAAGGAATTGTCACTCTACTTCTTGCTGGTTATCGGCTGGCGAAGCTCAGTAAAGGACGCTGCTCCTCAGTTCCATCTAAGTTTGCAGAAGAAGGAACTGTGAGGGAGGCTCATGCCCGGCCGACCAGCCTTCTCAGCCCCTTTCCAGCCAGCCTTTGGTGGCCAGGCCTGGACCACGTCCCTGAGCAATCCACGTCCCTTTTGCATCCAGCTGCGAATCTAGGTCATGTCTCCATGGCTGACTCTTGTTCTCCCTTTGTGCACATTATTTCATTTATTTCCCTGAAAACCAGGGTTTTATGTTTTTATCACAAAAGCCAGCTGCAAGCAGTCGACAAAAAAGCTAATGTGTCACATGAGATACAGGGAAATACAGTCCAAGCTACTAAATTTGGAGATAAAACCGAAAGCAGGTTAAAGCAGCAGCTGTCGCAGTTGCGTTGGAGACATGTGAAATGCGAGGGCGCTGGCTGGACCCCTCCTCAGGAAGGGAAGTGGGCTGGGTTTCTGGCTCCCGCTGCCCCAATTAGCGCCTCCCACTGAGGTCCTGGTGATGCTGGATGTTAGTCACATGTTTACACAAGCATGTAGCCCAGGTGCTTTTACTCCGGGGATTGAAAGCATCTCCTGGGGCAACTAGTCGGGGTGGGGTGGGGTGGGGTGGGGTGGGGTGGGGTGGGCAGGGCAGATCTTCAGTAGAGAACTAGCCCGGGGCACCTGGCCTGCACTGGGGGCACCTTCTGGGCCGAGGAGCTTTTCCTCCCAAACACAAGCAGCCTGGTGAAGTACGCGCTTGTGAAAGCCTGGCCAGCTTCGTGTGCAGCCTGGGCCTTGTTGAGCTCAGAGCGTGGGATGTGCGTCCTTTCAGTCCCCCGGCAGGACTCCCAAAGGAAGGTCTGCTTATTATCACAATAATTCAGAGCTGGGCGTGAAGCGGGGGGGTGGGTGCGGGGGCAGAGAGAGAGAGGCTCGCTCAAAGTGGCTAATGCCCCGTGGTGAGAGGTGGATCAGGAATTTCGTGGCTTCCGCTTGCCAGGCCTCGGCTTTGGGGGTCTTGGCTGAGTCAGGGTTTGGTCCTAGGAGGAAGGTTTTCCTATTTGGGGGTGCAGGCTTGGCTCTTTCTTGGCGGACAGAATCCCTTCTGGTATCTCCAGTCACAGCGGGGCAAAGGTAGAGACTGTTCCCCCCCCCATGCTGCTTCGCTGCCCAGTGGGGATGCCGAATGCCCTTCGAAGTGGCTCCTGGGGCCTCAGCTGGGGCCCTGCTCGGAGCATAGCTGAGCTGGCCTGGCTTAGATTCCCGTGCTGTATCCTTTCCAGTTGGCCTCTGGTCACCCCTGGTTTGGTTGTGATGTCCGAATAAGGCCTTAGTGGCTACACTGTCGCAACTCCCGGTGTGACCTCACATCTGTGAGCGTTTCCTCGCAGCCTGAAGGACTTGTTCCAACCATCCTTTGCTGAGCAGTGGGGCCCTTCTGTGCGGGGCAGGCTCCTCCGCTTCCATATTGACTTGAAATGTTGATTTACCCCATCCTGAGCTCTCGGGGTGGGTAACTGCACTAGGAAAGCAGTAACCGTAAAACACTCCGCATGCACCCTGGAATTTGGCACCGGCTGTTGAGCGCCAGCCGCTAAACGGCCCCAGCAAAGCTTTGTGAAAAAATAGGCGCCGGTTGACTCCACAGGGACACAGACTGCATGAACAAGTTAATTCAGTTGCTGCCATTCCGGTCTCAGACGTGCGGCCCTTCTTGGTGGAGGGAAGGTTTGCGTCTGTCCCTTTGATGAGCTTTCCAGAATTTTTCTAGCACAAGCCTTTTGTTCAATCTCCCAAGCACAGTTGGCGGTTTGCAGCAACTGGCACCCCGGAGACTGGATCTGGCCCCCCAAAGATGCTTTGTGGACTCCAAGAGCACTTCAGCGTGCCACTTAGGCTTGCGGAGACTGAGGGACCAGGCTGGAGAGACTTGCGCGTGGAGCAGGGGTGGCCCTCCCAAATCTTTAGGCCTACAGCTCCCATCAGTCCTCACTTTCTGCAGCCCTGGCTAGGGCTGCTGGGAATTGTAGGCTCAAACATCTGGAGGGGCGCTAGCTGCTCATGCCTGCTGCACACGGGGGGTAAAGGGGTGGACCTAGCCTGCTTCTCCCAGGGTGAGCGTCCCGTGGCTGTATCTGGTTGCCAGCCAGAGTCCTGAGCATTCGGGAGACCGAGGTGGTACCTGCTGCATTCTTAACTCTGTCTGCACGGTATGTCTGAAAATCTCACTGGGCAGGTGTGAAGGCAGCACAGGGAAAAAGCTCAGTGCCTAGTGAAAAATAACCCTCCGCCTTCCCTTCCTCTTCAAAGTCCATCCTGAAGAAGACGGTGACGGTGACAGAGACGCCTTTAGCCGTCTTCCATTACACCCAGAACAACCTCTCCACGCAGGAGTCCAGTACCAACAAGCAGGTGGACGCCATCCTGGAAGCTGCCAAAAAGGACCTTTTAACCTTGATGAAACTGGATGTGAGTGAGCAGCCAGGCGGAGCTGGAGCTGCCCTCCGGCGGTTGGCTGTCAGCCCCCCCTGCCCCCATGCCTGGCAAAAGAGCCCTGGCTCGAGGAGTTCTTTTTTCGTACCATACTGGAAAGCAGGCTGCCCGCTGCCCCTGGATAATGTTTTCGTTCTTTAAATCTGGCCTTCGCTGCCTGTGCCACCAAAAGTCCTGAGAGTTCTGTCGAAGCGGGTCAGTTTCGGACCACATAGGCCATACGCGAGGGTTGAACCATGGGTGGTTGCTGAAGTGTGGGCGCTCTCATCCTGTCTGGACCCAGTGCAGATAATAAGCCATGGTGAACAACCCAGTTGGCTGTTTGTGCTTAACAAACCATGACTTGCTGGCACATCTGGGTTCAGATAGCTTCATAACCCACAATTCAGTAACAGCCCATGCTCAAACCAGACTTGCCTCTTGAGTGTGGGCTGTTGTAATCGGAAGCGAGTCAGTGTGTGTGTGTGTGGGGGGGAGCAGGGTTAAGGCATAAGACCTCCTTCCCTGACCTACCCACCCCAGATGTATTGGACTGCAGCCCCCATCATCCCCCAGCTGGTGCAGGCAATGGAGATGTGCCCCACTTCTGTGTGCCATGGGTCGGCCCAGGAAAGGAGCCCTGCGGGATGTCTGTGGGGCTTCTGCCAAGCCCCACCCGGTTCGGCCTCCCCTCCGGCTTCCCCGCCTCCCTGCCCCAGCCTGCCTTCCAGGCCAGTTTGGATCCTCTCGGTGCCTTTGCATTCTTTTGGGTTGCACGCACGTCTCCCTTTGATTCCCCCAACCCTTAACAGTAAACAAACGGTCTGGGGGGCTCTTGCAAAGCAGGTTTCCCCAGCAAGGCTGCCGACGGCATCCCTTTGATGTGCATCTGTGCCCTTTTCGTTACACAAGGATTGGGGACCTGAAGGGCGGCAGGCTGTGGGTGTCCGGGGTGCCCTCTTGTAGGCCTGAGCACCGTAACTCTGAAGCCCCTGCCGCTAAACGGGGGGCCTGTGGGCGAATTCTGCCCTGCCTGGGGTCCCAGGCCCTCCATCGAGGGCTCCCCAGAAAAACCAGTGCCCCCCTTCCCCTGGCTGCACCCTTTGCCCTTTACACTCGTGTATCTGAATCATTTTTGCCCGAATTGCACCTGGCACGGGAAGCAGCCGGGCTGGGACCCAGGGGCTTACTGGCCTGCAAGCTGTTTTCGGAGGAGCTGTCAGCATCCAGCACCGAGCTGGAGCCTTGCATGGGAGACGAACGTGCACCGCTCTTTCCTTGCTCTGCTTAGGACCCCTGTCTTCTGAACGGGAAGGTGACGTTGCATCAGGTTACTGCTGGGACGGTGGTGTCGCGGCAAGGTGACCAGGTGAGCAGCACTGCCTTCTGGGGGGGGAATGAGGGGGGCTATCAGAAGCTTGGCCTTCTCCTCCCTTGCTTAGACTGGAGCTGCTTCTCCTCTCTCACTGTTTCAGCCCCATGAAGCCGCTCTGTGCATTTCATCAGGCCCGGCGTTGCGTGCTCTGGCTGGCCAAAGAGAGCCGGCATGTGGGATGCTGAAGCTCTTTCCGCTTTTGGCCCAAATTCAATTTCAGAGATGCTTTCAGGGGCTGCATTCCAGGGGTGGGTGGAGCCTAGAAGGGGCAGGACCAAAACCCCACATATATGAGCGTAGTTTAGCTTAAACCTCTTACTGCCTGGCACCAAGCCTAGGAGAAGAATGCCAACATTTTAGAATGGGGGGACAAAACACCCACAAGTCGGGAGAGCACAAGCGCTTGGTGGGCAGGGTGGCGGGAAGGAGTGGGGCCCTCTGGGAAATCCCGGTGGGCGCGATGGGGCTGACCTGGTGGAGGTTCAGCACCCCTGCAACAGAGAACTCGGCGCTTCCACTGGGCTCTGTCTCCCTCCTTGCAGGACGTCAACATCCGGTTTGTGATCTCGGGGATGTTGCATGTCTATCAGCGGAAGATCGACTCGGAGGAGGAGACCTGCCTGTTCATCACCCACCCTGGAGAGATGGTGGGTCAGCTGGCGGCCCTCACCGGGGAGCCCCTCATCTTCACCATCAAAGCCAATCGGGACTGCACCTTCCTGGCCATCTCCAAGTCCCATTTCTATGAGTGAGTCTCTCCTCCTCCCATTCCTTTTCTGAAGGCCTCCTGGGGTGCCTTGCTTCTGTGGCTGGGCTGCAGGGCGTCCTTCAGCCTGTGGGCCTCACTCCGTTTCAGAGAATGTTCATGGCCCCGCGTTCTTCTGGTGGGCAGCAATGGAGCAAAAAGAGGGTCAGCCGAAGGAGCAAGGCCAGAATACTGGCACAAAGGACGTACCTGGTAGATGGAGGGAAGGCCGTCTGGAGAAGCCTGGGAGTGTTGGCTCTTGCCTCAGGGCCTGCACTCACACACCCCTGTTCTGTTGAAGCAGCAGTGACAAAGGGGCTGCTGTTGATACTCTCCCCGCTGCACATCCTTTACTCCCATACTCACGTTCAGCTTTTAATCCATCATGTTCCCGAAGGCTCAGTTAGATAATATTTGGAGACTTTTCACCAATCTGCATAATATGGAAACAGAAACTGAAGCCCTTTGCAACACACCCTCTCTTTTCGTCCTGATGACAACAGCAGCTTTGTGAGGAAGGCGAGGTCCTTCCTTGCGCGTCTGTCCCTATTCAAACACAAACCAACCCAAAAACACAACTTTAGCAGAAAGGAATCTCAGATAGGATGAGAGAGCACTGATTTCCTTGCATCCTCCCTGCCCCCTCGCGATGCAGAAGTGGCTGGAACGGTGCTGGTGGGAGGACGTACGATGACAGAGGAGCTCTCCAGGGTGGCGGCATATTTGTGCATCTCTGGTATCTCTGAACAAGCCCTTGAATGCGGGAAACAGGCTAAGCTTCTTGCATCATTCGTTGTTTTCCCTCTCCCTGCAGTGCCAATGAGCCATAGCTGCATATCTGTTTTGTCATTCTGCCAGCCCTTTGGGGGCCATGGCATTCATGCAGGGCAGTGTCGTCCTAACTGCTTGGATTCGTGCTTTGTCATATGTGTCCCCCAGCACTTCTGAGATGCCACCGGGTTTTGTTGTTATAGTTAAAAACCGTTGTCTTGGTTTAGCGGGATGTAGCCTTGCTTTAAAAACCCCCCGATTCTCAGGCTGCTGAGCTTCATTCTCTGGGCCTGTTTCTATATATGAACGGAATGAATGCAGAAGGCGGCATAACTCTGGAGAGGGTTGTGCTGAGTTTCAGTGTTGCCTAGCCAGTCAGAAGCACGCTGGGCTTCCTTGTTGTCCAGCCAGTTGGGAGGAAACGAGGCTCCCCTGTTGTCTAGCTAAATCCTAGGATGCCTTTCCCTTTGCCTCGAGAACTTGGGCGAGCCGCTTTGCCAGTTTCTGCCTCTCTGCCATTGAGTGGATGCCACAGAGGGTCACTGCTGAACGGGGGTGCATGGGGAAGCGGCCCATGGAGCAAGGGCAGCCACTGCTTCCAGCCCAGCTGTAGGGCCAGCAAAGTCAGCAGCGTGGCAGGGGTGCCTTGCCCAGCCCAACAGGCTCACTGAGGCTGGCATGCACTCCTCGTGGGTTTTAAGTATGGAGCAGATGCCAGGTAATTACAGTTTCTGAGAACCCGCAGCTGCCGGGTACCTGGGGCATGGCTTAGAACAGGGAGGCTTGGTTTGGTTTTCAGGCAGCATCTAATTAAGCCATCTCTGAGGGTGGGAGGTAGAACGTGGGGTGGCGGGGAGGCAGTGGGGAGCCCTGTGGTGTGTGACTGGTAGCAAAGCAGCTCCCTGCAAAAGGGGTGGGGTGGGGTGGGGGGAAGGCCCAGATCGTTCCTTCCCCAGGAGCTGCCCTGCTGGCTAGGGCCAGCTCCAGGTTTTGGAGAACCCTCAGGCAAGGCACTCTCTGGAGACCCGGGAGGCCGAGTGGTGGGATAGAGGGCCTGCCGGAGATTCAGGGCTCCGGCCCTGCTTGGCACTGCCTCTGGGGTTCAGCTTGCTAGTTCCAGGGAGACTTTAGGGCTGCCTTGCCCTAGCTGGGCACCCATTGAACTTGTTGGCTAGCTGGGGTCTAGGGGAGTTGCAGTCCAATACACCTGGAGGCCCATCTTCCTTGAGGCACGTTTTGAACCCCGGCAGTCAGCAGTGGTAGCTGCTGCTTCTAGAGCTCTGGCAATCTTGTGGCCCTCTTTTCCAGTGTGCACACTTGAGTACAGAGCACGTTTTTGCGGTCCTTTAAGTGCAAACGCTTCCACTTTTTCTGTTAATTTAAATAGTTTGTAATGCAATGAAAATAGAAACAAGCACAAGTATTTGAAGGCTTAGGCTGACTGACTTCTTGTTTTGCTTTGTTTGTATACTCCTTTTGTTAATCAAAAAAGCTGATCTTGTATTTCAGCAATTTATTATTCCCTAAGCTGCCTCAAAGGCCCTTACATGTGGACAAGCAGAGTAAAAAAGGGAAGGAAAGAAGGAAAGAAAAGGTAGCTCTGTTCCTTTTAAAAAGGGTCAGTGCACTTTTGTAGTCGTGGTTCTTACATGTGTGGCTCAGCATACTCTGCTGTGGAAAAAGGGCCACCAGGCAAGCAGCAGCAGCCATAGCCATGTTTTGCATCTTGCTCTGCATTTTGGAGTAGGAGTTTTAGGGAACTGGGGAACCTGCATTACTGGACTTACTTTGCCATTAACTGTCTGTTGCCCTTTAAAACTGCCTCTTTTGCAGCTTAAAGGCTTTAGATTATGTTTCTACCATGTCATATGTTAGGGTCTTACTTTTTCGGGAGCTTTGGCTACTGGATGTCATAAAAAGGTGAATGGGAAGGGAGGAAGATCTTGCCAAGGCCTTCGCCAGATAGCTTTGGACTGAGCCCTTGGGCTGTCTGCTGATACAAATGGGGCATTACTGCGTACGTGTAGCCATGCCCCCCTCCCTAAAGTTTAGAGGCCCCAAAGCCGGGAATTCTCCAAGTGATCCGTGGCTGGGGCATGAGGAAGGGTGGGGAGTCAGAGTTGGCCCCTTGGTGGGCCTGAGGGGCTTCCCCCACCCTCCTGATGCTTCGCTTTGCCTTTCAGGATCATGCGGGAGCAGCCAACGGTGGTTCTGGGAGTGGCTCACACGGTGGTCAAGCGCATGTCGTCCTTCGTCAGGCAAATCGATTTCGCTCTGGACTGGATGGAGGTGGAAGCGGGGCGTGCCGTTTACAGGTGAGGCTGTGCACGGGGTGGGCCCTGGGTCACTGCAGCTCTGCTTCCTGGACTCGATGTCTCTGGGAGGGGACTTGATCTGTCAGGGAGTCTGTGTGGGCAGAGGGGGGTGCGATGTAGAGTTTCCCTTGGTGGTGGAGTGGGGGCTGCATTGGCCTGGCTGCCAGAGGCATCTGAGCTGCCAAATTCTCAGAAATTCTTTTGGGAACACTGTGTGTGCCTAATTTCCTACCATGCTCTTGCCAAAGGTGGGAATCTCAAAGGTCTCAGCTGGGAATCCGTCGATCAAGCAGCACGTGACGCATGGGGGTGCAGCCCTCACAGTATAACCCTCCCCTCAGGCAACCTGCATGTTGCCCCTCACTCACTTGAGACTGGGGTGGGCCCTTGGGAATTGAAATCCCAAACACCTGTAGAGCCACGTCCTGCCCCTCCCGCTTTTGGCAGGGCCACCTTGGCTTATGAAGTGAGGGCCTGTGTGCCTTGAGTGCTCCCCAAACAAAACACCTCTGGATCGAGCACCTGCAGGAAAGAGACACACGCACTGGCTGTTAGCTTTTTCTAGTGACTTGACTTTTCTAACTTTATGCACGTGTGGTTTTTGTTTTGTGGATTTTTTGGGTGCATAAATTGCGACCTAAATATCAATAAAAAGCTGCTTGTGGATAGAAAGGTGGTGTGTTCTAGCTTTGTCTTTCCCTTGATGTGCAAGTTGCGTACGAGCAGGGAGTTTGCATATTCCTGTGCCAAAGAAAGAAAGGGGGAAAGAGGCACACATCCCTAAAGTAGTTACAGTCCTTGGAGGTCAGCACCATGAGCTTTCGCCAACCACCAAGGAGTCGCGCTGGCTGGTGATGGTGGGCCAAGGAAAAAGATGACCTGGCCCGACCTGAATCTTCCAGAAGCAGCCCCAGGAGGGAAGCCACGCAGTTCCGTACTCATGTTCATGGCATGTGGAGGGGTGTCCTTCCTCATTCTAACCAGCTTGCCCTGGGGCTGTTCTCTGCAGGCAGGGGGACAGTTCGGACTGCACCTACATTGTGCTGAACGGGCGGCTCCGCTCCGTCATCAGGATGGATGATGGCAAAAAGCATCTGGCGGGAGAGTACGGCCGCGGGGACCTGATTGGTGTGGTAAGGAGGGGGGGGATTTTGCTGGCAGCGCCTCAGCAGGATGGGCCTGAACATGGGGGCGGCAGAATGGGGGCCTTTTGGCCAACCCGGTTTTCTGAGGCTGGGGGCCCTGGAAGTAGAAGGGCTTTGGATCCTCGTGTGTCATCCCATGCCGCTCACTCACATATCTTTACTTTTTCCTCATGATTTAAAAATTATGAGGAAAAAGTAAAGCAGCAACTTTTCTTAAAGTAGCATCTTTCTAGTCCTTCAGGCTCTGAGGATTGGCAAGCAGAGACCGGAGAAAAAAATCTCAGATGCCCTGGGAGGGGGCTGAGCAGCATTTTCTTGGGGTCCTGGAGTGATTTTTAGTGTCTTAACAAGGGGCTCCTTTGTTTCCAAATTCCCAAACTTTATGTCACAAGAAGTCTAGTGAACATAAAGGTCTAGTGGATACAGAGAACCTAACATCAGAGGAGGCCGTTCTGTACATGATTTGCTGCTCTTGGCATTCCCATCAGCTTTGGCTGGGGATGGCTAATCCTTCCTCGGGTGCAATTGGGTCATTCAGCGGAATGTATCTTTTCTCAAGGGAGGCTGCCTTCCATCCTCTGCATGAGTTACCGTTCTGGCTGATCAACCTTGGCTGGGCTTGAGTGGGGAATTCTATTTCAACCATGACTGGATCCTTCAGCCCTTCCCATGTGAAGGCATCAGAGTGACCCTGCCTCAGAGGAGGCTGCTTGTTGTATCTCTGCCTGCTATTCCGGACCTCTTAACATCGCTCTTACTGACAGCCTTCTCAAATATGTTGCTGGCATACACAAAGAGGAACAAGCATCATAATCTGGCTTCTGGAATTATACTTTCAGCATTCATAGGTTCTACAAATCCATGCTTTATCCTAACTCCTTTAAAATAATAGTTCTTCAGTATATCATTGCATCAGCTTGGATAAGAGAGCTACAGTTTTCACAAATACATGCTCTTTTTAATTAAGGAACAAAACAAAGCTCTTTCCTCAGCTAATGCCAGCAGCATCCATTATGTCAAATCAGCAAATGTTGTCATTGGTCAAGCTGAAGTGGTTTGTTAAATTCACTCTTTCCCTGCTCCATAATCTTGGGGCATACGAGTGTGTTAGATAATTATCTCAGCATTTGTATGGCTCAGCCAGTTTGTGATCTCCTCTTAAGTAAACTCGGCAGCCAAACAAATGAAATAACTGTTTCAAAGGCACTTCCAGAGCAACATTCGGTCCAGCAGCCCGTGATATATTGCCATGAAGGTGAAATTAAATTAACAGATGCCGCATCAAGCCAATATGTGAGGTGCTGAATTCCATTTTACGCTCCAGGGGGTTGGGATATTATAGCTTGCTTGCGCTAAACATTCTGGTTAATTCAGCTCATAAATATTAGCTAGGTGGGAGTTCAAGGCCAGCAGCCATTCAGATTTGTTGGCTGGGATCCAAAGCTCCAGACCTGTGCTGGTCCCTCCCTCCCTCCCAGGCAGGTCAGAAAAAAAGCCCTCTATTAAAGGCTTTATTATGTTAAAACTAACCAGATCTGTCACTTCTCAATTGGCTGTCCCCTTAATCTGATGCGATGATCTGATTAAGGCTATTAGGCCTGTCCCTTCTCACCTCTGCTGGCTCACCAGGCCTTCCCAGAGAGTTAGGAACTGCCTAGTTCTCAGCAAGTTTCCATCTTTTGGGCCCAGCCCTGCTTGGCCTCCGTCCTCACCTCCCCCGTGAAGCTTCTCCAAAACTGCAGGAGGTCTGACTCCCACCTGCCTGAAATCTCCCACGTTTCCTGTCTTCCTTGCTTCACTTTCATTTTGCTGGTAGGCTCTGATCCATCCCTCTTCGTGCTTCATCCCATTGTCTCTCTTAAAAGGAACCTCAGCCTTGCAGGGCTGGTGTTTAGTGTTTTGCTCGCTTTGCACTCTTTCACTGAGGTGAACCCTTCCCACATTCCTGCTGGCCACATAGCACCCAGCCCTTGCTGCTGCTGTCCACTGGGGCAGAGGAGCCCCGATCTCTTGGAACAGCCCTCTTGCGGGGGCTGGCCTGAGCCCATGACTTTCCCTGCTTCTGGCATGGAGGACGGATCCCATTTAATTGACTCCAGAAGCCTCTGCCCCAGCAGAGTGCTCTCCACTGCCGGGCTCAGTGCGAAGGGACTTGGCCACCTTGTGGTTCGCAGCAATCAAGCTGCCCGCTGGTCGATACAGGCGGCAGCCTGATGGCATTCCGGAGGGACATGATGTACTCGTGCGGTCTTAATTTTGCAGCCCCGCTGGCTGCTCCCTCCTCCCCTCCTCCGTCTTGGCACTTCACCTCCACCAGGGAGCCAGAGCTGTTCCACAGGGGCGCAGTGCATATCGCGTGAGAGCGATATTTTTTTTCAAAGCAAACCTGTATCCTGCTTGCCTCTCGTAGCCACAAGCATCTCGAACTGAAAAAGGGGAGGGAGGAAGCATAAATTGGGAACAGGCAGTCCGACATTCATTCATTCGTTTCTATCCCACCCAGAAGCTAAAACTTTCTGGATGGTCCATGGCATGATGAAATGTAGTATCAAGCCTTTGATTTTAAAGATGAAAGCGCTGAAACATCAGCTAAGAATAAGCTACCAGGAACTGAGAAAGAAAGCAAGCAAGCAAGCAAGCAAGCAAGCAAGCACCGTGTCAGATGCTGCCAGAAGCTTGGGAGTAGAGGAAGGACTTAACCTGGCCCCAGAAGAATGCCAGGTTTTCACCAGGCAGAGTGCTCTGCAGTTGTGGGGCTACCACCTCAAAGGCCGCTCCCTTTATCGCTTCCCTCACCTCCCTCAGGGAAGGCTGCTGGCAGAGGGCCTGGGATGGCGACTGTGGTGAGCATCGCACACTGCCTCCGATGCAGGAAAGCGCAAATAAGCCCTCGGGACTGGCAGCCCTAGACAGCCTTCTCCAGGCATTTGTCCAGTTTCCTTATAAAACTATCCAACATGGTGGCCATTGTTGCGTTGTGTGGAAGCGAATTCCATGGTTTTCTCTCTGTGCTGTGGGAAGAACTTTCTTTGTCCTGACCATCCCTCCAAGCACCTCCATGGAATGGCCCTGTTGGGTTCTGGCATCATGAGACACTGAGAGAGAAGTGTCTCCATCGCAGGCATAATTCTGGCCGTTTCTATCATGTCTCCCCTTAGTCACCATCGACAGCACTCCTCCTCCATGCATTTGCTCAGGCCTCCGCCTCCACAGAGCCAGCAAGCAGGCCGTGATGGCTGGGAGTCCCGCAGCAACATGCATCTGTGGCGACTCACCACCTCAGGATACACCGGGCCCTTTTCAGCTCACTTTGTGGGCACCCTTGGAGCCTTGCAGAGTTGCAGCTGCACAAAATGGTTGCCGGGGCAGGGTGGCACTTGTCCATTCATGAAATAGCTGCCAGTCGGCCGTGGCCCCTCACATTTCCCAGAAGGCAGCGTGGAGAGGCTAGCAATGAGCTCAGTCGCCTGGGAAACTCAGTCTGCGCCTGGTGGGCTCTCAGCTCCAAGCACACTGCTGCTCTTCTGCACCCGGTCGGAGCTGGCGCCAGAGGCCAGTGCTTGGCTCCTCAGCTTGCCAGTTTCTTCTTGAGTAATTCACTTCTTAAAAGAGAAAAGTCTAGAGGGGCAGGGACTGAGAGAAGTGTCTGCGGGCACATTTGTGCCTGCCAGTTCCATGTGGGGAACCCCTGGATTAAAGTGTCGTAGCTGGCAGAGCTTTTCCTCTGCAGATTTGGCTAATCCCCCTCTGAAGCCGTGCAAACCAGAGGCTGTCGCTGCATTTTTTGGCAGTGGATCCCTAATTAGGCAACTTGACTGGGCAGCACAGCTGCCAGTCCTGGGCCAGCCAAGAGAGGGTGAGCCCTCCCATGCCCCCCCCCGCCTCTCTCAAAGGCCTCCTGGGTGAAGAAGCCACGACTTGGAGAGGGTCGCAGCAGGAAGCCGCCTCTAGCCAGCAGCGAGCCAAGAGTGGAGCCCTGAAGCTGCCGTGACGGCTTCATTCCGTGGGTCTCCCACTGTTTGCCTCCCAGCATTCTCAAGCATTGGCCATGCTAGCAGGGGCTTCTGGGAGCTGGTGTCCCACACATCTGGAGAGTTCCATCTCTGCCCTTGGCAATTCTGTGTCTCTCCATGGGAAAGAACTGGCTGGTTTGGCCAGGGCAGCTGCAGGCTGTGGAGAAGTATCACCTGCTTTCCATCAGAGGCCGACTGGAAGGAAGCAAATCCAGAGCAGACATGAACCAAAAGCCAGTTTTATGGCTTAGAAGAACCTTTCCTTGTTCCATTTATTCCCCGCCCCCCACAATAAACAGGCCTGGAGTTAAGAGAGGCCCCAAACTTATTTTTTAAAAGCTCCAGTTCTTTCACAGAAGCAAAGAGATTTTCCCCCTTGGACTGTAACCTTAAAACAACGTCCTTTGCAGTCCCTGGCAAAAGTGAACAAAGACGGGCCAAATGAAACTCTGGTCCCCAGATGTCCAGCAGGATTTTGGAGCTGCTTCTGCTGGTGCACCTCTTTAATGTCTGTCTGTTTTGACATCCCGGTAAGCGCAAGGCTGTGGGTAGCTTGTCATCCTAGAGCATTTGAGCAACCACAGTTCCCAAACACCTGTCATTTCCATTAGTTTTGCTGGCTGTGGCTGATGGGGGTTGTCAGCCAAAACATCGGGGAGGCTGCCATTAGCCTCCCTCCCCCAGTTTTATGGGGTTACCAGCTCGCTCTCTGTTTCTCTCTTCACTCTTTCAGGTTGAAGCCTTAACCCATCAGCCCCGTGTAACGACAGTGCATGCTGTTCGTGATTCTGAGTTGGCCAAACTCCCCGAAGGGGCACTGACCTCAATCAAGCGCAAATTCCCGCAGGTAAGGTGCTGGCAGGGGGATCTATTCCTTACGAACAGGTAGCCTTGCGTTCCCCCCTGCTGGATTCTGAGCTGGCAGTGTGGGCCTCCTTTCTCGAGAAGTTGCCAGTCACCGAGATGCAGCGGTTCTGCATCCAGCGCTGTGTGCTGGAACTGCACAATAACCTGCAAGAGTCTGAGCCTGTAGGATTGAGTTTTGCTGGGATTCTGCGCTTTCTTGCATTTGTTTGTTTTGGGGTCGTCAGAAAGTACAGCAAACCTCTGGCCATTACAGCAGCAGAAATGTGGGTGGACATACCCTGGCCATGCCTGCCAAAACTTCAGAAGCAGGGTGGTGGTTGAACTGGATTTGAGGGCAAGAACAGGCCTGGAATGAATTATGTGAAGAAGCACAATTTGTACAAGACAATGGAGATTAGGCCAAAGTTGTTCTGAGTGACTGATTTGTTTTCAAGCATTTCTGGGCCACGTGACTTCGAGGGGGCTTTATAAAAATGAAATACTGAGAAATGCATAAATCCAGCTAACAGCCAGGGTGGCTTTAAACATATGGAAGGGCACCATCCACTGCAGACACCCATTTCCCACCCTCTGGAAGGGCTGCCTCTGCCTTGTGCTGCTCCTTTCGAGGATCAGGGGTCTGGGCACCACTAAGATTCCTTGTATCTCCGTTCAGCCTCATTGCCCACCCAGAACAGCTCGGAAGCTGCACTTGTGCCTTTGGGGCTACAGTCTGCATGGAAAGAGGAGGGGGCTCCAGCCGTGGTGTGCATTTCCAAGGCCAGGACTGGGATTCTGAGCTCTCCTGTTTGAGCCAGGCTGGGCGTCGTGGCTGGAGGACTGCGCTCAGATCCTCTTTGCAGAGTTTGACTTTTCCCTTTGCCAAGTCTGGACTGCCTTCTGCGGAGTGGAGCTTAAGTGCAGCCACTTCCTCACTCTGCCCATGTGCACAAGTGCGCATTGAAGGCTCTTTGCTGCTCTATATTTAGAAGAAAGTTCCATCTGTATATTATTGCCAGAGAAGCTGCTCTTCTCTTCATATGGAAATTGGGCCATGTTTCTAGTTTGAGCTGATTCTCATCCACCCCATGGAATAGACTGGGGAGGGGTGTTCTCGTGTTTGCTCACTCGCTCGCTCTCTCCACACACACACACACACACACTAAACAGCTCTGCCTTTTCATGTTAAAAGACAGGTGAATTTCACAGGACTCTCATTGTAAAACAGGCTGTCAATCACAGCCTTTCTATAGAGACAAGACTCCCAAGATGAACTGGGGGTTTGTTTTTAATGGCCACAGGAGGGAAAGAAAGATGGCGAGCCATGAGCGCCCTTCATTGCTCAGAGGCTAGTGCTCCAGTTTTGTAAAGCACTTCCTTTGTCTGTTCAATTTTTTTTCTTTTTGGAAAATTATACATGATTTTTAGAAGAGGAGCTTTGATCTCAAGAATTGCTGCATGCAGGTCTGGTGAATGTGCAGCGCTCTCTGTGCACGTGGTCTGGTTATGGCTGACTGGCACCCCACCAAGTTCTGCCCTTAGTAGGCGACTGGCTGCCTTTCTTATAAAATGCGCATGCAGCCACCTCTCTAATATAAAACTGACTGATGTGAAAATCTGCATCCAGCTTTAGGCTTTCAAAACAGGCCTGTCTGTTCAGACTTGCTCCCTGTAAAAAACAATAAAAAAGCTTGATTCCTGTAATACATGCAAGGCTCCAGCCAATCAAGATGCTTCCCAGTCTGCAAATCCAAAGGATTATGGGCATCCATTGTCGAGCAGGCGAGCTGATTTCTGCCTACCTGCTCCTTCTGCCTGGCACTTCTAGGAGACCATTTCCAGCCATCCAGCTGGGATCCTTTTGAACAGGAGGGGAAGACACCTTGCTGCAGGGGGCACAGGATAGGTCTCATCCTGGCCTCTACAGCATCTTCCTCACCGTGCAGAACGGAGCCGTCCCTTTTCCCCACCCCAAAGTTGAGCTCCCTGCCTCGGAGAGGCTGCTGGTGAACTCGTTTCCGTGCTGGGAGTGGGGGCAAGACCAAGTCGCTGATCCCCAGCTCTGAGCTTTGCCTGCAGCCTTGTACCTGGGACCCAAAATAGCTTGTGGTCCCCTAAAGGTGGCCCAGGGGCCCTGGGATGGCCTCTTCCGGGGAAGTCCTGTGGATGTGATACTGATGCTTAATGCAGGACTGCTTACGAAGCCCTCCAGCTCCCAGGAATCCACCAGGAGGGAGGCAGCCTGGCCACCACACCTGAGGGCGGCAGCATGGCTCAGACAACTCGCAGCTGGCCTGGTAGCTGTTGCCTCTTTCTGCCAGCCCTTGGCCACCACCTTCTCGCGGTCCGTCTGCCTAGCAGGTTCACGCTGGTGCATGCTTGTGCACGGACTCTTAGCTACGCAAGCGGGCAACTTAGTGGAAAAGAGGCCACTCCAGCCTGTCTGGCTTCAGATTCCCCCCCCCCCCCGCCCAGCTTTGTCCGAAGCCGTGCTTTGCTTCGGCAGGGCGCTCTCCTCGCTCACGCTGCGCATTTCAGCAGAGTGAAAAGAGCTCGGAGATGCAGCTGGGAAGTTTCTTGCGGCGCCTGAGTTTTTCTTCTTTCCCTGTTGGCATTTTAGAAGAATAGGAGCTGAGCCACCGTCTTCCTTTCATAGCAAGAAAAAGAACCACATGCCCCCCTTTTCTAAAATGAGAGAAATGCTCTGCGTGCTTCAGAACTCCGAGGAAATCGCGTGCCGTTTGCCTCGCTCGAATCCGGGATGGATGTTCCTTGTGCGTTGCCATGGCAGTGGCAGAGTGACTCACCCAGCAGCAGAGAGCAACCCGCTGCGTGCTCTCTCCGAGCTCTTTCTTGAGTCAGGCATCACGTGAAGGAGCCCAGTTTCTGGCGGAGGGCAGCAGACTCCTCTCTCCGTGACCTTGGGAGTTTGTGAAGTTAATGGACGGGGACGTCTGTTCTGGGCCCTCAACCCCCTCTCCACTGAGCTTCCCAAAAGCCTTGCATCAAGGGACCTTTGGACTGTATTAAACAAGACCGTGTGATGTTATTCCCCCCCCCACCACACACACACTGGCTTCTGCAATCTATTCTTCAGCTCCTGGCACACAGGTTCCCTGGCTGCCAGGAGTGGGTGGGTGGTGGGGTCTCTCCTTCCCTCCAAGGGGGACCAGAATCTGGGTGGAAAGCCTGAGCAGGTCTCTATCTTGCTTCCTTGTGCTTCTCTCTCTCTCGGTGTGTCTGTCTGCCTGTCTGCCTGGGGGCGGTGCCAGGATGCCAACGGAGCAACAGTCTCTTCATTGAGCTCCTTCTGATATTTTACCAGTTTTAATTTATTTTTATAATCCGCCTCGCTGTTTCTGCTAATTCTTATCCACCTCTCTGTCTGACCGCAGAGGCTTGCTAGAGTGGAATAGGCAGGGGCCCCATATCCCCCTGCCCCTCCCCTCCCCTCAAATAAAGGATGAGAGGCACATGTGGCGAGATGGCTTCCACACACTTTCGCCTGCCAACTGTGACACCCATGTTGCAAATGTATAGTGAAGAGAAGCACACGGAAATATTGCACATTTTAAGAAAAATGAGTGTCTTACCAAACCCAAGCAAAGAAATAATAGGTTTCCCTGAAACTCTGTTTGTCACACAAGCTTGCAAAGGCAGGGTGAGCCGAATGTGGCTGTTTTGCTTTTCACCTCCCAGAAGCCCCCCTCCGCATGGCCTGTGGCCGGGAATGCTGGGAGCCGAGGTCCGACGCATTAGCAGGCCTCCTCTGCTGCTCTGAGTTGCTTCCAGTCGTGACCCGTATTTCCCTTCACCTCTTCCATCCCTGTTCTTGCTGCATCACGTTCTCTGAGCAGGGAAGGGTGGGATGGCTGCCCAATGCCTTTGATTTGGGGGCGCTGCAGAGCCCCCCCTGCAACTCCCAAATGCCCTTGTGCATCCCAGTGGGGTCCCCCTTGTGGGCTACGGCGCATGTGGGTCTTCGGTCTCAGTGCCACTTTCGGTCTGACAGCTGGCGCGTCCCTTTTCTTTCTGCCTGGCCTTCCCTCTTCTCTCCCCAGGTTGTCACTCGACTCATCCATTTATTAGGCGAGAAAATCCTTGGCAGCCTGCAGCAAGGAGGTAGGACATCGCGTTCCTGGCTCCCTCTTTCCTTCCCTCCCTCCGTCCCTCAGCAGTGGGAGGTCATCTTTTGATGGCGGTGGGAGAAGCTGGCTGCTGAAATGGTGCCAGTTAATCACCTGATTGGCTGAAGAGCAGCCTTCCCCAAACCAGGTGGCCCCAGGTATGTTGGACTACAGTTCCCAGCATCCTCCACTTGTAGCCGGGCACACCAGGTTTGGGGAAGGCTGATTTTAAGGCCATCCAGTGAAGCTGGGGCTTGCAAGGTGCAGTACCTCTGGATGCCTTTAATGGGAGCTCTGCCCAGGTGTGTGTCAGTCTTTGGCCAATCCAGCCCGGCTCTCCATCCACACTTCCTCCTCTATATCCTTGGCTCTTTCCCTGCCTGGAAACCTTTCCTCAGAGCAAAGCAGGATAATCGTCCAAATGGCCATCCCTGAATTTGTGGCCAGGAACCCCCTGACTTGGGGACATGTCTCCCCTCTGCCAGGGAAGGTCAGACAGGGGAAGGGAAGCATCTTCCCCCTGTTGGTTTCGATCCCTCCTGCTACATGAGCTGCTCTTAGATTGAGCTTGGCCCTAAAGCTGAAAGAGGTTGAGGGCCCTAAGCCTGATTATGGAAGGGCACCTGCCTCCAAGTGGCTCTGAAGCTGCAGTGCAGACTCCCCCCATGCCACAGTTTGCGTCTGCAGGAGGCATGGGGACAAACCAGGCATGCTATTTAAGCACATTTGAGTCAGAGGATTGCAGCCGGCCACCCACTTTTCCCAAGCCATTTTCTACCCCTTAACATCTTCCTGCTGAAAACCTCCCCCTCGCATCACTGTCGCTTTAAATCTGGGCAAATAGCCCAGATTGGGGGGGGGGGGGGCATTTCAACAGGAAACTGTGAAGAACTTGCCTTTCCCAGTCTGTCTTCATGCAGCCCTTCCCACACCACGCAGCTGCTTTGTGTCCCTGGTGTGCAGGTGTGGCCCTCAGCTTGCATCTGTCAGGTTCCTGCAACAAAACCGTCACAATCCATGTATCTTTCATGGCATGCTTATCGTGTGGGAAGCGATCCGCTTGAAAGGCTTTCGTCACCCCAGAGCTGTGTCCCCTAGAGCTGCCCTCTGCCGCAAGCAAGAACCGTCCCATTAAATCCTGCTGGAGCCCCCCTGTCCAAGGCGTGCCCTTTGCTTGCTCCGGGACGCTCGGCGCCTCCTCTCCCTGTCACTCGGTGGGGTGGGGTGGGGAAGCGAGCCACTCTTCTCAGCCTCCACTCCCCGCCAGGCTCACTTGTGTCTGCGCCCGTGGAGCCAAGCGCAGCTCCCCGACAGTCTCTCTGTGTGCAGGTTCCCCGCTTGGATTGCAGGCCGCAGGCAGCAAGTGGGACAACAGCAACCCCGCCAGCAACCTCTCCACTGTCGCCATCATGCCCGTCTCTGAAGAGGTCCCGCTTTCCACCTTCACCTTGGAGCTCAAGCACGCCCTCTCCGCTATCGGTAAGCTTGCTTACAGCAAAGCCAGCCTTAGACCCGTGGGTTGGGCAGCATGCCTGGATGGGGGCAGGTCCCAGTGTGTTGGGCCTGGGCCTGTGCTCCCACCCCCCCCCCAGTTAAAAATTGGCGCAAAATCCATTGCACCACAGGGTCAGGGAAACCCGCAAAGCTCCATGTGCGAAGAACCCCCCTCGCCCTCCCAGAAGGGAGTTCCTGTGCGCCCTGCATGAGCCAGTGTGTAAGGAAGCGTGAGAATAAAAGCCTCCCCGCACTGCGGAGGAGTGCTCTGCTGTGCTTCTGCATGAGTCCTGGTTCTGGGCATGCTCCCGGCTGGAGGAAGGGCCAGCCAAGTTCAGTGCTGCACTTCCCTGGGGGTGTATACGGATATGTTTCTGCTCACGAAGCGCATGAGCATACCTTGTCCATTATCCCAGCTGCAGTCCCATGCAGGGAACATGACGTTTGCAGATTCTCAGGTGGGTGTTTGTATTTGAAAAAGCGAAAAAAAGTTCACAGTTGCACAGCGGTGAAAATGGACCATTTCTCTCTTTAGTCCTCATGCAGAATTTGCACAACTTTAGAAAGTTGCACAAATGGAGGGATGGGATTTTTTGGTGCAGATTTTGCAACCGGTCTGACGCTTCCACGCAGTTTCTGCCACTTGCGTGAAATCGAACCGCAAGTGCAAATATGAGCGCCAGTCAAGGTGTGGACTCGATGCTTGAAGGATCTCAGAGAGCCAAAGGCCGCTTGTTCGCCCTTCCCTGCCCTTTCTGCTTTTGGGATGCATATGTGATGGCGACTCACCCTCCTAGCTGCTTTGCCTGGCAAAGGACTCTTCCCCCAACCTTTGTATGTTCTGGGAAGACAGAAAGTTTAATCTCTTGACACTGGCATTGCTGGCTTGCCACAAGGCGGCCAGTTTCTCCTGCATCGGTTCATTCTGGCCCCGCAGGGCCATCTCTGCCTAGGGTGGCTTTTCTAGGGTCTTGGGCAAGATCTTTCCTGTGCTTTGGGTCTCACCCTTTTAAATTTAGGCTGCAGAAGCTGAGGCCCAGGAGCTCTATCCATCCCCTGGAGTACCAAACTGGGCCCCCAGGGTTCCACAGATGCTGTGCCCCCTTCCTCGGGCTCAGTACCCACTCATTTGGTGGTTCCCTGGCTTTTCTTCTGTTTTCTTCAGTGAAATACCCCCCCCCCCGCAAAAAAAGCTTAGTTACTAGTTATTAGGATGGGTTTTGAGCTCAAATATAGCAGTGGGCTTTTAAAGAGGGTTGTTCTCCTCCCCTTTTGCAACTCAGCCCCTGCCCATCACCGGAATCTGGTCCCAGGCAGCTGCTCCATCATGGAATTCAGCCCTCCGTACCCCTGTTTTGAGTGGGGAGGGAAGCTGGGAACCCTCCAGGTGTAAAGGTGGTGGCAAGCTGCACTCTCCCTTTCTGCAGCATCCTGAAGAATTTTGTTTTTCCATTTGTCTTGCCAGTTGTGTTGGTGAAGAAGCCGGGCAGGAACAAACCTGCCTTTGCCATGAGCCTGATTCCTCAGAATTGCAGCCGGTCATTCGCGCCCCTGTGTCTTCTCCCAGTCCCTCCCTCTCTGCCTGCTTCTCTGAAATGACCAGTGCTAAGTCCCTTCTAAGGCCTCAGCTTGGAAGCAGGCTGGGCTGGGTCAAGGCAGGGGATGCCCGGAGCTTGCCAGAGCTTGGGCAGTGTTTGAAATCCAAGGAAGGGGCTGCTCCACAGAGCAGCGCAGGCAAGTGGGTGGAGCAAGATGGCTCCCTTGATGGGCAGCGTGGGGAAAGTGACAGGCTTCTGGGCAGGGCTGGGAGGAATGGTCGGTGGCAGTGACGTTCAGGGAAGTGGGGACTGTTCAAGGTCAGCGGGGCAGAGCCGCTGCCGGACGGCCAAATCTGGCCTACGTGACGCCTCCTCCTGCTAGCCCCACCCCATCCCTCCAACCACGGAGCATTTGCCATCTTGCTTGCTTTTGTACGGCGTTCACTGCGCTCTGAATGGTGGGGGTTGCTCTCCTGTGCCTAACGTCCTGGCAGTGAGAGCCTGAAGCTACCACAGGCCGGCCTTTTGGCCCCGGCCACCCCTGGAAATGGAGCTTGGCCCTTGGGCTGAGAGCGGCGCCCAGCCCTGGCATGTGCCCCCGTGGTTGCTCAGTCCTAGCCGGGGATGTGCGGAAGAGGGGCACGCAGGCATGCAGGGCGGCTCCCGCTGCTTCTCCAGGCGTTTCCCTCCGAGCCGGAGTGGTAGGGGCCACCTGTCCCTCCATTTCCGCCTTTAAGAGGCCAGGTGGTGGCCTTTCCCCTCATCTCCTCATTTCAGACGGAGAGGCTGGGCAGGGACCCCGGGGCCTTCCGCTGCCTATGCGTGCCGGGAGCTTGCTCCCAGCTGTGGCTCCTGGCCCCCTTGCCAGGCTGCGCCCTCCTCTCCCCGCCGCCCACACAGTGCCGCTCCAGCCCGCACCACCTCCTGCTGGTCAACTTCTAAAGGCCCAAAGTGCTCAGGCCCGTCCTGATGAGAAGCAGCTTTGCTTAAGGGGCCGGCATGGCTTTCCCTTTCAAGCTTTGTTTGGCAGGCTGGAGGCACTGCCCACAGGAGCCCCGCCGTCAGAGCTGCTTGCGTGGATAGATGACGTCTCTTTCGGCACGGGGGCAGGATGCCGCCGATTGGCATTTGAGCAAAAGCGAGCCTGCCGAGACGCCTCCTTGCTCCGAGCCCGAGGGTGCTGCCTCTCTCTCAGGCGCTGCTGCTGGTGGCTTAGCGGAGCCGAGGCTCCCAAGGAAGGATGTGGTGCCAGCCCTTCGTAGAGCGTGCATGGATGCTGAGCCCGCTCTGAGCGGCTCCTCCTTGGCTGCAGTCCTCGCAGTAGCTGGGGGGTAGGGGTGGGCTGGGGTGGGTTTTGCAAGGACGGTAGGCTTCCCCTGAATAATGTCAAGCGCTTTGGGGTGGGGCCTGGGTCCTGCGTGGCCCATTTGCTTAACGAAGGACGTGCTCCTGCTAGCAATGAAAATGGCTAGAACCGGATGGACCGAGATAGACCCGTGCCACTGCCTGCCGTTTTGACCGCTCCCTGGGGCCTGGCCACGTGAATGGTTGTGATGAGCATCTGCTCCCCTGGTCCCGAGTGTCCCACATTTCCGTCCAGTCAGAGTTGCCCCGTCTTGTAATTCCAGGGTGTGCCAGCCTCGGCCCCGCTTTCTCCAAACTGCTGCTCAGTTCATCGGCTCCAGAGCCACATTTCTCTTCCCCTCACCAGGAGCTGGAGGAGGGATTGCTGGTGTGGGCCATGGGGATGCCTGGTCTCCCTGGGGCGGGGGACCACGGCTCTGTGCCCCCATGGGGGGAGCCCCCGCTCTTCGAGGCCGATGGGGACGGCACTGGCTTTTTCGGGTGAGCACCAGGTGAGGGAGACCCTTTGGCTGGACCGGAGTGGAGCGTCAGCAGAGCCCAAGGGACACTCTGTCCTGCCCTGTGCTTCCCAGGTGTCTCCCAAGAACCCGCAGTCCGGGGCGTGAGGGCCAAGAGTCCCTCGCTTCGCCTCTCAGGGACCTCTGAGGGACTCTCAGTTGTTGGGCGAGACGGGAATGCAGCCAATCAATGAAAAAGGGGAGGGGGCCGCACGCCGAAACGGCCCCCTGGCAGTGTCCCCGAGCTGCCAGCGGTGTGCGGGTGTGTCCCCTGCTCCTTTTCCGCTGTCGGGGCAGGGGCTCCAGCTGCGGGCGGGGGCCGCCAAGGTCGTCTTCTTTCGAGCAGCAGCCCTGCACTGCGAGGAGGAGCCACTGGATGCGTGAGAGGCACGCGCCGCTCTCCCTTCCTGCGCGGCGGCCGTGACTCATCCCAGTGCGGGCTCAGTGGGGGGGGGGGAGTTGTTTGCTGCGCGGATGCTTTTTGTGTCCTCTAAATGCTGTTAGACGAGAGCATCTGCTGCGTGTTGCAAGCGCGGGAGCCGAGACTGTTCTCGAATTGTCTGCCTGTCTGTCTCTTTGCTTTTCAAATCTTAGTGGTAGAAAACAGACACACAGTTCATGAGCAAAGGAGGCAGTTGGCCGAGGGTGAATAATGCCTCCTTCCTGCGGGGTCTTTGGCTCAATCTGGGGAAAGTGGCTGGGTAAGATCCTTCCCGGATTGCCGCTCGCTGAGAGTGCATAGCGACTCTTTCCCCGCTCTTACAAGGATCCCAAAGCAGTTCACACAAGCCTCCTCTCCTCTCTGCTGTATCCTCACAGCAACCTTGTGGGGTAGGCCAGACCAAGGGTGTGAGCAGCTGGCCCAAAGTCACCCAGGGAGCCTCCTGGCTGAACAGGGACTAGAACTGAGGGCTCGTGACATCCAGGCCTGCCCTGCAGCACGAGCCGTCCTGTTTCATACACCGTCCTCTGTATTTGTGTGGCTGTGCTTGTCTCCTGCTCTAGGCTGTGCTTCTGCAAGACTGTGGCCAAAGTGGATCACAATATGTCGCACACGTTGTTCAGTCGCGGACGGTGGCAGTGTTGCTAGGGCCTTCGCAGTGCGGTGCTCACGGGGACTTCTCTTTTGAGGCCCACCAGTCTCGCGGCCCCTCCTGATCTTTAATTGTATCTCTAAAGACTGTTTTTAAACCAGAAGCCTGCCATTCTGCCACGCGAAGGTTTTGGCACATCCGTCTGTGGAAAACCTAACCATGCAAACCAACCTAGTTCAGTTTCAGTCTAAACCAGAGAAAGGTAATAAAGTCTCACAAAGAAGCAGAGCCAAATGGGTCCCCATTCCACCAACACTTGGCCTTTTGATACGACTTTGTCCACTTCCCCCAGTCTGGCATCCTTCAGCAGTTTTGATTACAGCTCCCAGCATGCTGACTTGGGAAAGGCTAATTTACAAGGCCCCTAGCAAAGCGAATTAAACTGTAGCACTGTAAGAGAAAGTTTTCTTTTCTTTTTTTAAGTGATGTACAGGATGATTCCCCTGCTTCTCAGAAAGGGAAGCAGGGACGTCTCTTAAAATGTGCCTGCAGGAATGAGTGGGTAGAGTCAAAAGAGGTGGCAGCTCTAAAAAAGAGATCTCCCAGATTAATTGGGTGTTTGCCTTTCCTCAGTTGATGAAACCACAGGTGGGAGAAGGCCCTTCTCCCACACAGGTGAGGAAGGCCTCAGGTGGGTGTGCTGGGGTTTCCTAGAGGCCTGCTTCCCCTTTCTCTCCCCACCTATTTGTCCTTGGCTCCTTGTCATTTGGTGGTTTCTGGAATGTGTTTTTTTTAAATAAGTTTTATTATTATTTTCTACAAGCTAAAAAAATAAAAACAAAAACATCAGTCTTCAAAGACATTAGACCTACTGGGTCAGCCCCCCATTATTATTTTTTTTAGAGCAGTCCATAGACATGTTCATATCTACGCAGATTCCCATTTCTCTAGCCAATAATAAAAAGAGTTCCAAGTTTGATAGAAGTATGTATTATTTTTCTCCTTCAGAGACAAAGTCAGCCTGTCTATTTCAGCGCAGTCCAGGATCTTTTTTAAAATCAGCTCATCAGTAGGTGGTGGTTTCTGGAATTTGGTGCAGCCCCCCCCCCCAATTCCTCCTCCAAAGCAGCCCCGTGCAGCCTGAGCTGGGCCACTAGGTATGGAAGGCTGTCGGGATACTGGGGGGCCCAGAAAGCCTGAGGGACGGAATTGGGGGCAGGTCTAAAATGCAGGCACTTGGATGCGTGACCGCCTTTTGCCACAGGTCTTGCTTGTATGTTTTAACTGATCGCCAGAATTTTGCCAGTTCTGTTTAGTTTAATTGTTTTACCTTTTCCATTTTGGGGGTGTTGACTGGCACAGGCTGAATTTAAATTTTTTAAACCACCTTTTTCATTTTAGGCGCAGGGGCTGTTTTTGGTTTCGGTGCCCACCAGTCCCACACTCGCTGAATAAACGGTACCTTTGTGTCCTGTTTGGCAGTGTAATCACACCTGGACAATGCTGCAGCTCCAGTAAAGTCCCCCTCAGCCCCAGCCAACATGGACAAGGATGCTGGGATTGTAGTTCTTTATAAAGGGCGGGATACAAAAATTTTAAATAAGAAGTTCACCACAGCCAGAGAGTGCCAGCTTGGGAGAGACCAGCTCAGGCCTCCTCTCCATCCTTCTGTGCATCGCCTGGGGCTTATCCGGCTTTGAATCCAGTCGTTAGTTTAATTTTCCGCCACACCATTTCATTAATAGGAAATTGAGTTATTTGCACAATGCCTCACAATTCTGGCTGGGTTTATATTTCATATTTTGCTCAGCGCAAGCCGTTCCGTCAATACGGCCAATGACCTTTTTCTCTGCTCGCTATTAATCCTTTCCCTTCTCCTCCTCGGCCCACTTGGCTTGACATGCTGTACAGCTGCAATTATTCTGGAGGGAAAACTTCGGCTCTTTGCTCTTTATAGCAGCAAAATAAAAATAGGGCCAAAGCCGGCCACAACTGGCTTTTCCACAGGGAAACGCTGTTTCTTCAGATGGGGCGTTCAGGGCCTTGCGGATGGTCAGTGGGAAAAAAGCAGAGCCCAAGGCCTCAGCCTGGAAAAACTGTGAGCTGAACAAACGGCGCAACCTAAGGCAGGGCTCCCCAGCCTGGGGCTCCCGCACCCCCAGAGGGTGGGAGGCAGCATCTCGCGGGGTGGACTGCATCATGGTTCCCCACAGTCACTTGCTGGGTGCTGAACTTTTGGCAGCTCGGACGCAGGACATGTGCCAGAGGGTGACCACTTCTCTTCCTCTCCTCTCCTCTCCTAGGTCCCACACTGCTGCTTACCAGCGACAACATCAAACAGCAACTTGGCGCAGCTGCTCTGGACAGGTAACTAGTCCTCATTGTCCCCTTAAAGTTGCAAGAGGAAGTGTTGCTCTGCAGCTGATGCGACATCCATTTTGAAGAAGCCTCTTTCAGCCCAAGGGTTCAAAGAGGCAGAGAGGCCTTTGGGGGCCACATTTGTATGGTGGACAGGCATGCGGTCAAACCCTGGGAACCCCATGGGGCTAAAGCTCACCCCTGGTGCCTGCTCTAATCTGTGTCTCAGCGGAGAGAGCAGGGCATCGGTCAGAGTAGGGCACTGTCTGTGCCTCTTCTCTGGGCTCGGTCACAGCGAGGCACTCTTCTGCAATCCGGCGCCCCACCAACACGTTGGGTCCCAACTCTCACGATCCCCAGCCAGCATGGGCAATAGTCAGGGCAATGGGAACTGTAGCCCGGCATCATCTGGGGGGCTTCAGCTTTTCCACCCCTGCCCTAAAGAGGGAAGGCACTGAATCCAAGTGCATGACAGCAGAAGGGAAGCGTCAATTGTGTTTCCCAAGTGGACAAAGGAAGGTGTATGTGATCTGCACCATTTTGTAATTGGAGCCCCAAGATTCACTCATTGGAACTAGGTTCAAAATACATGCACTTCTGCAGCTCTGAGCCCAGGAATTTGTTTCAACAATCAAAATATCGCACTCAGTCCTCTCTCTCTCTCTCGCGCACACACACACACCACACACCCATCAGTGGCTGGTGACCACCTCCCCACACCCTGCTTTCTTCACTTTGACCGAATAATTGAGGAGTGGGAGAATCGTTTTGCTGTTATTGAATGATTGGGTGTTAAAAATCCTTACTGGTCTACTGCAGAATCACTCCCAGATTTACTAGTAGGTAACCAATCTGTATCTGTTTGACTCCTTCCCTACTGAACTTTTAAATGGCCCATACCTGAAATTCTCTGGTGTACAATATCATAAAAGCATGGCAGTATATATATATATATTAAACAGCAAAGGGAAAAGAGTTCAAGATTACAACCATTGCAAATTAAAACCAGTGGCAGAGCAGGGTACTAAAAGCTGTTCTCAAAGTGCCCGGAAGTTGCCCGCTGCTGGAAAGAAAGACGCTCTCTCCTGTAGCCCCCCCCCCCTCGCCTCCTGGGGCACACCTGGAAGAGAGCCTCATATGGAGATTGTAACGCCCAGGTGGGCCCCACCTATCTGACCCGCTTGCACAGGCAGAACCTCCAGTTTACCTGGGGTGTGAGCGGGGAGGAGGGTCACATGCTGCTTCGTGGGGCCTCTGGCAAGCTCGGCTTGGCCTGCAAGGCTTTCCGGATGAAAGGTCAGGACCTCCTCTGTGCGACACTCGAGTGGGCAGTGGCATAGCAGAGACCCAGGGCAAATCTGGGAGAGCGAGAGGGAGAGCGAGCGAGCGCCGTAATTTCCTGTGATGTTTTTGGCTCGTCAGGTCCCTTTAATACCAGGCAGCTGTCAGGTTAATTAGTTCCGCTTTTGAGTGACTGGATGTCCCCTCCTTCCAATTTTGTTTGATAAGTTGACGTGAGATGTCTGATTAATGGCTGCCAGCACACATCCGATGCCTTTTGATGTGGGCTTCTCTGCTGGAATGAGAGGCAAGGAGAGAACATGCAGCCAGGGGGAGACCCGCTTCTGTGAAAGGGCGGGAAACGCGCCCCACGCTTTGGGGCCTCCTCCACAGAGGCAGTTTTGCTCCCGCAAAGTTCTTGCTCATTTTCACTGGGGCTGGTTTAGGAGGGCTTTCTGGGGGGTTGTGGTCTCTGACTGCAGAGGGCACAAGCTCCAGGCTTTGGAGGGCCCGCGGGCCAGACAAGGCCCCCTCCCTTGGTGGGCCTGCCTCCCCTGCTCCTCATTGTGAGCCCTTCCTCATCGTGGCTGCCATGTGCTCGCTTGGTGGGCCCAGCATGGGGACAGATCCCCCATGGCAGCTGCCGCAGCTCCTTCCCGGCACCGGCACCACTGCCTGGGCCCGAATGGGAGGCCGCGGCCCAGGCAGGTTGCCCTGGGGAAGAGAAGGGATTCTGGGCTCTTGTGCGAGAGGGGAGCCCCAGGGAAGAGCTGGCTGCAGCCATGAATTCCCAGTGGTGGTTTCTGAACTGGTGGCTTGGGCGGGACGCCGCCTTGAAAAAGGGCCCAGAGCTCCTGGAATGAGTCCAGGGAAGGAAAGGAGTGTTCTGAAGTGAACTGCAGTCGAGTTGCCACCCAGGCCGGGCGGGATCCTTTGGGGCCCTAGCAGGCTCCCAGCTGGTCAGGATGCCCAGGAGAGAAAACAGCACAACAGCTGGTGAATGACCGACAGCGGCTCCCGGGGGAGGGGTTGTGGGCTTCTGGGGAATCCCAGAGGGCCACCAGGCTGGCTGGAGGATGCTGGGGGTTGTTGTGCAGCTTATTTGGGGGCAGCAGTTGTGGGAGGGGGACCGGGGGCTCAGCAGAGTCGCAGAGGTGGGGAGACGGCACCCTGGTCTGAGTGCAGTGATGCGCTGGGAACCCCTGTGCACCGGGGCGTCCCTTTCTTTGCTCCCGTTCAACCCGCTTCTCTTCCAGCATCCACGAGTACCGTCTGTCCAGTTGGCTAGGCCAGCAGGAAGACATGCACCGCATCGTGCTCTACCAGTCGGATGGCAGCCTCACTCCCTGGACCCAGCGCTGCATCCGGCAGGCTGACTGCATCCTGATCGTGGGCCTGGGGGAGCAGGAGCCGACTGCTGGGGAGGTGAGGCCTTCCTGAATGCCAACGCAGGGGCCGCGGGTGGGTGGCTGGGTGCTCCTCTCTCAGGGGCCTGCACCCTTCATGGGGTGCAGAGCTGAACCTTGGAGCTATGTTCAGGGCCCAGGATTATGGAGGATACCCCTGAGCATGTGCAGAAGGCTTTCTTTTGCTGCTGAGAAACCATCCCCCAGGAAACAAGAATGTGGCCTTTGTGGGCCTGGCTTTTAAGCAGCCCAGAGCATCTCTTTCGAAATTCAGCTTTCACCCTTGTTATTACTGCTCTGGTAACATCAGTATTATTATACACCAATCATATTTTTAAGCTATCCCCAAGGAGAGGGTACCCATTTGCATGGTGTTCTTTATTTATTTATTTATTTTTTTAGAGGAGAGCAAGTTTCTAGCTCTTATGCCTTGGAATGAAATTCTGTGGGTTCAGGTATCCTGCTCCTTCATGGTTTTGCAAACAGGATACAAAAACAGACGGGGACGCTAGAAATGCCCGAATCTGTGGTGTGCTGTGTCAGACACTTGGGCTCCGTAGTTTATTGTTGTTGACACGAACTGGCAGCAGTTCTTGAGAACTTCTAATTAACTTTCGCAGCCCTGCCTAGAAATGGGGGGATTTGAACCCAGGACCTTTTGCATGCAGAGCAGATGCCCAAACACTGCTCCGCGGCCTCTCCCAAGGGTGCACAGCCGAACATAAAGCCGGGCTTAGCTTTTGCTCTCTCGTCTCGCGTGTGCTTTAAACAAGCCGATGTGCCAGAGCTGGATTTGCAGCGACGCAGCAGATAAAACGATGGAACTAGACGTCTGAGCTGGGAGGGTTTTGGAGAGAGACACTTTCCCACTCGTGGGCTGCTGTTCACGTCAGCTCTGACCCTCTCAGTGCTGCTCTGGGAGCAAGCGAGCGTTCTGCCTGTTGAGCCGCTCAGCACTTGTGCTGCGGCTGCTGGCCTAGATGAGGTCGCAGGCACTGGGTCGCCTGGGATGAGAGTCGGGCCACGTAAGCCCTTTTGCAGCTCTGAAATCTGCCGGTATGCGGGCTCTCCGTCTCTTCCTTCCGCCGTGGCCCTGGCAGAAGAGCCCCGATGGCACCTGCCAGCCGCCCCTTCGGGCAGCCCCTTGGCTTGTGCACGCGGCAGATCAGCGTAACGGGGCTGTGTGTGTGTGCCCTCCGTATGCCATCCCATGTGTGCTTACGCTCCCACTCCTGGGAGGCACTGCGCGAGCCGGGTCCCTGTGCCCAGAGCAAGTGCATTGCGGGCCTGGGAAAGGCAGCCCGAGTGGCCCGGGGGCCGCTGCGTTCCTCACGGGGGAGGTTGCGCCCACTTGGCCCTGTTTGCCTTGGAGAAAGGGAGAGTGAGGTGAGATGCCCAGAGGGAAGCCCCCCCCCCGCTCGTGCCAGACCCCCAGAGGAGCTAGCCCATGAGGCTGCCCGGCAGGAGATCAGGACACAGCGAGGGAGTCCTTCCTCGCGCCGCCCAGGGCCGAGTTGTGGAATGCACTTCCGAACGAAAGTGTCACAGCTTCAGGGACAGCTTTCCCTGTGGCCGCTCTTGGGGGTTGCTGCACTGTCCCCCCTCAGCCTGCTCTTCTGCCCCTCAAGCAGATCAAGTTCCTTCCTCTTTCCCTGCAGGCCAGGGTCTCTACCCCACAGACCTTGTCGTTCCCTTCTGGGAATGGGTTCCAAATGATCTGAACCCTTCTTAAGCGTGTGGTTGATATGCTTACACTGGGTTAGGGCAGGTTGACACTGGATCAGCCAAGTTGACGTTCACTGCCTCCCCCTACTTCAGCCCCCTGGAAAATGCGGGGAGAGGTAGGAACATAGAAACAGTGCGAGTCACAAGGGACCTCCCAGGCCATCTAGTCTGACTCCCAGCTCCAGCCAGTTCCGCTCATGACATGCCTGCCATATGCACGTCCAGCCTATCCTTGAACAGTGGCACGCAGCTGAGCCAGTGGGCTAGCGCTGGTCACTGAGTGCATGTGTGCCACAGCCCATCATCCACTGCTGGCCGTCCTCACCAGAGTGCTCATTTTTCTTTCCTTTTCCTCAGCTGGAGCGAATGCTGGAGAACACGGCCGTCCGGGCCCAGAAGCAGCTGATCCTCCTGCACAGGGAGGATGGCCCCCTCCCTTCACGCACCGTGGAGTGGCTGAACATGCGGAGCTGGTGCTCAGCCCACCTCCACCTCCGCTGCCCCCGGCGTGTCTTCTCCCGGCGGAGCCTGCCCAAGCTGGTACGGCGCTCAGCGGCCGGTGGGGCAGTCGCGGTGGCACCCTGCTCCCTCCTCTCGCCACTGCCAGCGGCCCCCACACCTGTCTCTCTGCTCTTCTGCCAGCTGAGCTTCTCAGTGACAGCCTTGTGTCAGGATCCCCTTTGACTTCAGCTGGAAGTCCGCGGTAAAGGCAGCTTTTGGGGGCCCAGAGCACGAGGTGGACGGGCAGGGCGGCTGGGCACCACCCCTTCCTCTTTGCGATGCCTTGGCTTGGGGGCTGGCGTGATCCCTGCCTTTTCAGCTGCCTGGACAGCACTCTGGGTCCTGCCCTGCCCTGCCCACACACACACACACACACACACACGTGCAGACAAAGCCTGCCGAGGCAGGGTGGGGCCCCTGGCCAACACGGACTGGCAGCAGCGGCGGCTCTCCAGGGCTTCCGGCATGCAGCCCTTCCGTTCATGGGTCAGAGGAGGAGCCATGTCCTCCAGCCTCGTGCTTCCTCCAGCCTGCACCCTTGTGCGGCCTGCGCCCATGTCCAAGTGCTGCACTGTGAGGTGACCGGACCAAGCCCTCGCCCTTCTCCTCGAAAGCACTGTCTCCCAGAAGCCCTCTCCTCTCCCGCTTGCTGTTTCTCAGTCCCTCTTGTGCCTCACTAGCCCAGCCTAAGTGGAGCAGTGACCTGGCGTTTTCCAAAAATGCAGTCTTGTCACGTTGTTTTGACGATTCTTTTAAATTCAGCCTCCGCCAACCCTTTGGGTGACGTCCCAGGATGCCTTGCACATCAGCTCCCATCAGCCCCAGCCAATGCGAAATCCTGGGAATTGCTGTGCACGGGGCTTGTATGGACCCCCAGGCTGGGGAAAGGCCGCTTTAATCCTTTATAGAATGACAGGCCTAACTTCTTTGAAGGAGGGAGCAAAACAGCAGAGAGAGGGCGCACCCTGCATGATTTGCTCCACGCAGATTTTATGTGGCACGTGCTGGAGATGCAGGGATAGGACCCTCTTAGGAGAATGGGGGCAGTCGCTACACCTGCCAAGTTCGCAGGCTATATTTGGATCCTCGAAAAAATGCGAGCAGTGATTTAGTTTTGGCAAACAGGTGTCCTTTTCTTCGCCTGCAGCCTGGTCCAGCCTGCTGCCCTTAACGGAGCAGGCCGGGAGATGCTGGGAGCTGTAGTCCAGCACATCTCAAATGCTGCAGGTGGGCGAAGCCTGGCATTACGGGATGCAGTGGCCACCGCTGATGGGCGAAATGCTGGGCAAGGCGACTTGGCTTGAGCCAACAGGCCTGAAGGCGGCAGGCTCTTGTGCAGCTGGGTCGCTGCCCAAGGCAGCGGTTTTGGACGGCTCGGAAGTGGGATCGTAGTCGAAGTCGCTAGTCCTGAAGGCTACATGCTGCCCCCTGTTTCAGAGCAGCACTTGCTGGGGAGCAGGAGGGGAAGGCTGCTGTTCGTGGCTCGTCTTCCTCGGAGTTTTACCACGGGGAGGAGGTTGTCCGCTGGGGGACGAGAACGACGGACGAGAGGCGCTTTCGCTCCCACCTAGCACAGCCCTGCTCTTCTCATAGCAGGCCGTTTCTGGCCCTGCCTCGTGGTGCGCTGGGGAGCACATCACACCTGTGGGTGAAGTTCTTACAGACCACCTATTCGAAAGACCTGGTGGCATTTGTTGAGTGGGACTTGTGAGCTGGTGCCAACTTGTGCAGCAGTGGTTTTCGTGTTCTTAATCTAGACTGACGCCTGGCCTCCCTTCGTCTCTCCTGCAGAAAGAACTGTACGAGCGCGTCTTTCAGAAGCCTCCGGACAGGCACTCGGACTTCTCCCGGCTGGCTCGTGTCCTCACAGGGAATGCCGTGGCTTTGGTGCTTGGAGGTGGAGGGGCACGGTAAGACGGGCAGGTGCTCTAACCGCACCATCCCGTGCATTTTACGTAGATTTTTACAATTTCTGGCAGCTCCCAGCATGCCTCAGCCAGTGGCTGGCTGGCTCGCTAAATGCTGAATCCCCGTTTTATCTCACTGTCTCACTCCGGGGCTCCTTCATCTTTTAATGTCAGCTCAGCTGCACCAGATCTTAACTACGTGTCTTTGTGCAAGCAGAGTTGTTCATTGATACATATTTAGCGTATATCCTTGGAGGAGAAAGTTGGGATATAAATATAATAAGAGCAGGTGTGCCGGACCTTAGAAGCCTGGAGTCCAGGCTAGCCCACGTGAGGGTCTGCTACAAGCCTCCGGGGTTCCCCACACTGTCATTCATTTCCCATCTTTTGTGCACTTCCCCGTTCCATCCTCAATAGTCGAAAGGCCTCTCCCTGGGCTCAGTTATCAGCAGCAAGAGCATGAAGCTAAAACTGGCTGACGGTTTTGATATTTCGGCCTTGCCTCTGTTGCATTCAGCCCTGCTTTCCACTGAAACGCTGCCTCTGTGAGCTTCTCCATCTTTGATTGTGGCCCTCGGGCCCAAAAAGACTCTATGCCTCTTGCTTGCAGAGTGGCTTTCCGGATCATTCCCTGCTGGAGGGAGAGGCAAGGGCAAACCCCCACAGCTTCTGTGACCCTAGGAGTGCCACCTTCCCTTTTATTCTCCGCCTTTCTCTTGCTCACCTTTCGGTACCTGCAGCTCAAAGGCGGTGGATACGCCTATCCTTCTTGCTTCCTTTGAGAGCTCTTCAGGGTCAAGCTCGTGGGAGTCCCCTGCCTCCGGATTGAGCCTTTGAAAATGTCTCCCCCCTTTTGTCCTTAGAGGCCACCGCACCTTGAGGGTGGGAAAGGAGGGGCCGCCATTGATGCGCGCCGCGCTGCCTGCAACAAACCTTGGAATTTTCTTGTCTCCTGCACATTCGCATGGGTAATTAGTCCCACGACGTCTGGTTGCCAGCCCTTCACCAATTGTTCCAGAGTTTGGGAGCGATGCCATAAGTAAAAACTCGCCCACTCCTTGTTCTGGCCCGCTGGAGTTGATGCCTCTCCTCCCTTTCCTAACATTCTAAATATCCCGTATCCCCCGCCTCCTTTCCCCACTTTGCTTCAAGCTGACAAGCGGCTCCTTGGAATTGGTGGTGAGGGGGTGGCCCCGATGTCAGCATCCCGAGCCCGGGCGAGAGAGCGCTCGTCGTTCTGAAAGGCTCGCTCTCCGCATTTCCTGGGGCGTGTTGTTACAGAGCCGTTCTGTTCTTTGCCTCTTGCTTGCCTTTGTGACTTCTTTGCCGAGGCCGGGGCACACACGGTCAGGCCCCTTGCACCCGCTGCTCCTGCCACTGCCCCCGCTTGACTGCTCCTGCCGCTGCTCCTGCCTCCTCAGAGACCGAGGCCCTCCGACTGCCAGTCTCCCAGCCCCACTCCTTTCCTCTCTCGGTGGCTTTTTCCTGACAGTAAAACTAAGGAACCAGGAGGGATGGTTGTCTTAGAAATAGGCATAGCTCAGAGGAGACTCAGAGGGGACCTGTTAGCAACGTGCAGGTATGTGAGGGGGTGTCACACGGAGGTGGACAGAGACCTGTTCTCCCCTGCAGAGGAAGGCAGGACGCGCTCCAACGCAGTCAAGCTCAGGGAACCGAGGTTCAATTTGGATGCCAGGAAGCACTTCCTGACGGTTAGGACCCCAGGGGTGTGGAATGGGCTTCCACGAGAGGTGGTTGAGGCCCCATCGGTGGGGGTGTTCAAGGATAGGCTGGATGTCCACATGGTGGGCATGTCGTGAGCGGAGCCGGCTGGAGCCGGGGGTCAGACTAGATGGCCCGGGAGGCCCCTTCTGACTCGCTCTGTTTCTGTGTTGGCTGGGGCAGGGGAAGATGCAGGATCTTTATTAAATCAATGCCATTCTCAAAGGGATGGGCAAGAAAGTAGATCTCCAGGTATTTTGGGCTTCATCTCCCGGCCTTCCTGACCATGCCTGCAGGGACCTGAATGCCCAGACCGTGGCAGGTCGCCCTTCTGCCCCTGCCCTGCATGCCTAGTCCCACCGAAACACCATGGTGTCTGAGCTTTCAGGTTCTCCAGAACTCCCTTTCAGGCTAAATCGGAGCTGTGGGCCACTGGTGGCCCCTGACAGCTGGCCCACCACTCCCTTTGTCTTTCGCTGCCGGCTGTGTTGACTAGGGGTGGTGGGAGCTGCAGGTGGGCTGCAAGCTGTCCATTTGTGGGCTCTGTCAGTAAGCATCAAACAGCTGCAGGGAGGTTGGTGTGGAGAGAAGAGAGGAACCTGTCCTGGGCTGATGCCGCAAGTCCTCAGGGAGCCACAGTCGGGAGGGGGGGCCAGACATGCAGCAGCCCCTGCCCAGTGCTGAGATGGGTTCGCCTCAGTCTCTGGGAGGAGCTGGCTTGCTCCATCCTGGGTTACAGCTCCCATCTCCTCTGGCCAGCTGCAGTCCAGTGCTCCCAGAGGGCCGCGGGGTGGGGTGCCCCAGCAAGCATGACGCTTCTTTGCTTGGGTGTCTGGGATGGCGTGTGCCAGCATGTACACATGGGCTTCTCCTGCACATGCGTGTGCCTCTTGCTCTCACTGGCAAGCTATAAAGGCAGTAGGTGCACATTCCCCGTCATGAGGATTTTATCTTTTAAAGTTCGGCCGAGAGGAAGCAGGGAAAGAGAGAGATGGAGGCACGGGGAGCAAGAGGACTAGGAACTTGCTTCTCGAAACAAGTGCTGGAGAACCTCAGGAAGCTCAGTTCTGCCCTTGGCACCGCCACGGACCTTTCTTACACACCCCGTCCCTGATGCTTTCCCTCATCTTGGCCGGTTTGAAACTCAGCCGTCTGGTGGTCCTCCCAGGCTTCCAGCATCTGTTTCCATCGGCAGAAAAGAATGGAATCGGATTTTCAATCTCTCCCCGGCACTAAGCCCTGGCTTTAATATGCCCCAAAGGGGCATTGCCTGCACTTTTCTCCCACAGCCACTTCACGTTAATGGCGAACAGCTGCAGGGGGATTCTTTTATTTTGGACAGCTTCTCTCCTCCTTGCTAAACCATAGCCAGAGGCACGTAGACAAGCAGAGGCTGCCTCTTAAAAAAAACAAAACAAACAAAAATCCCCAAACCCACCACCCCTGCACCGCATTCCAGAAACAGGAGGTTTTGCCAGGCATCTCAGGTAACAGTTGGATTGTAAGTCTTCCTTTCTCCCCCACCCCACCACAACCAGCCACTTCACGGTAATTATCTTTTTGCAATTTGTCATGACAGACAAGAGAACAGAAACAGCACGCGCTCTTCCCTCCGCTCCCCCCGCCTCCCACCATCCCATCATCTGGGCTTAAAAATACAACCGCTCCAACAGATAACCACGCTCAAATTACAGCGTTTCACATCCACAAAGCGGCTGTCTGGGGAAGGAGGGGGGGTTGGTATCCATCCAAGAACCTGCCGCTGAAGCTCTTTTGTTTGTGCAGCTATGCAAGGGGGATGCCAGAGCGGAAAGAAAGGCCTGGGCCGGAGGTCAGCTCAGCTCAGCTCGGACCTGCGCCGCGGATTTGTCTGTTGGCAACAGACGGCCACGTTCGGGGTCCGGGAGGGGAGAAGGCCGCGTGCATCGGGGCACAGGGCAAGGCAGGCGGGGTCGCGCCGAGGGGCTGCCGAGGCCGCTGTTCCACTCCTGCAGTGGCCAGGCGGCTGCCTGGACGAAGCTCCCAATCAGGGCATGAGTGCACCGCCACTCTCTTGCCCATGTTCCCCAGCAGCTGGGGCATACGAGCACACTGCCTCTCATGCAGGAGTCATCAGGACTAGCGGCTTTGGAAAGCTGCCTCTTCTGGGAATGGCCCGATCCTCAGATGGGTGGCTGTCACAACCACCTGTGGTAGCAGACTCTTTAGTTTAACTTTGTGCAGCTCCCTGTGGCTCTGGGCAGTCACTGACTCTGAGGCTACCCTACTTCACAGGGTTGTGAGGATAGAATGGAGAGGGGAAGGACCATATAAACCGCCTTACGTTCCTTGCAAGAGGTGAAAAGGCTGTACAGAAGTACAGAAAAGGGCAGTGTTCGTCCATCTGATCGTTCTTGCAGGCAGTGGCACTCCAACTCCATGCAAACACAGATCAGTTGCTTGCCTGAACGCAACTAATCACAGGAGATCTTGCAAGAACAACCAGATTCAAATACTTAGGGATTTGGGACTTGCTCAGGACTTCACTTACCTGAGCTCTTAAGTAATCACTACAAATTCAGTGGAACGATTGGGAAAGGACTGTGTAATAGACCTTAAAAAGCCAATTCTGTCCTCTTGGTAGAATCCAAAGAGGGCAAGAAAAGATTATTTGAGAACTAGACCGTGTGTACTGTGTGGAAAGATGGAAGGAACTGGCTCTCTTTAGAAGGCTTGGGGTGGGGTGGGCAGGATATTCCAAGCATCTGAACCATCATGCAAAAGAAAGCCACAACATGTTGTGTTATTGTGCAGAAATAATAGGGCTAGGTTAGATTTCTGTTGAGTCCCAGGAGAAATGTGCTAAATTTTCAAGCCATCAGGGTGAGACCAGCTGAGTGGGGAGGAGCTTGGCTCTCTGTTCCAATGCAGCGTCCGGTGTGGGTGCAAAATTCACCTTCCTGATGATGATCTCAACCCTTCAAAGAAGCTGCTTACCTTGCAAAGGTGTGCTGCGAAGGGAGCGCGTGCCTGTGCGCCTGCTGAAATCCCACCGGCCAGAGGAGCTGCTGACAAAGCTTTCTGGCGATGGATGGAGAGATCTCGGCTCTTGACAAGTGGGACGCGTCGCAAGGGCGGAGCAAAGGCGGAGCGCGCCTCATGCAGACGCTCCCCATTCGCTCCGCTGGTGTCGGTGGCCGATTTGCCCCCTCTCACTTGCATCTCGGGATCTCTCTCCACTGGGTCCACTTTGGGCAGCCAAAAGGTGATGGTCCAATTTTGAAAAAAATGAAGCCGCACAGGAGCACGCTTGGTAGGCGTCCTCTTCCGCTCACGGGGCTTCTGTTTCTCGGGACATCTTTGGTTTTAGACTTCTGTCCAGGCGACTGCGTGCCCTTGAGGAACATGTGTGCTGATTGTCTTTCCCCTCTTCCCGCTGCTTCAGGGGGTGCTCCCAGGTGGGCATCATCCGGGCGCTGAACGAAGCGGGCATCCCCATCGACATGATTGGTGGCACATCCATCGGAGCCTTCATGGGGGCGCTGTATGCCGAGGAGCGCAGCTACACGCAGATGCGGATCAGGGCCAGGCAGTGGGCCATGGTGAGCAGGGGCAGGGTTCCCGGGAGGCGGGGGAGCTCAGCTTGGCTCCAGCTGTGGGTCGCACCCACAGTGCGGGTTTGGGGAGCAGTGAGGTGCAGAGAAGAGATGCTGCCAGGACCATGTGGAATGCAGAGGGCCCTGCTGGAACGAAGCAACACTCCTCCCAAAAGTTAATACAAAAGGGGGCAAAGGTCATAGCGGGCCGCCACAGAATCTCGGCGGGGGGGGGGGGGGCTCTCCGGCTGAGAAATTCCCGAGGCCTCCAATTACATCTAGGCTGTAGTCACATGCTTGCCTGGGAGTGAGCCCCGCTGAACCCCGCTGAGTTCAGCCCCGCTGAACTCAGACCTGCATAGGGTGGCAGGTCAGCAGCTTAGGGTGCTGAGCCCCAGGCCCACGAGCCCACCTGAGGCCCCCCTCCAGCCCGGGCAGTTCCCCGGCGGGCCTGCCCTCCTCCGGCCTCGCCTTTCCCCCGGGTGCTGCTTGCTCAGGGCCTCCCTGCTTTTGGGCCGCCGGAGCTTCCAGCTGAGATGGCTGCGCGTGGACGAGGCTGCCCCTCGCCTCACCCTCCCGGGGGCACCGCCCCCAGGAGCTCGGCCGGGATGGAGGCAGGCCCGCCACGGAAAGCGCTTCGGCGCCCCTGCTCCAGGCAGCATGCACAGCCGGGCGGCCCTCCAGGTCCTCGCAGCCACCGCAGAGGGACAGGCGGGTGGTTGCCCAGCGCCTCGGAAGGGCCAGAGGCTGCCCGCCCCATGCTGGCATCCAGGACGGGGGCATGGCAAGCGTGGTTGCGTCGCCTCGGTTTCCCTCCACGCGGAAAGCTGCCCGGGGCTTAACTCCTCAGCCGTCAGCTTCGCTGCAGAGAGCAGTAGCTGGGTGGCAGGGTTTTGGTGGTGTTCTCTGCGTGCCTGCCGTCCCGTGCAGTGGGACGGCCCTTCCCTGGGCGTTCAGCACAATCTCCTGCCAGACCTTTCGTGTGGCTTGCTTCTGGGCGGTCGCCCTGTCTGCTTCCCTCCCGTTTGCACTGATCTCTCTGCTCAGGTCAGGGCTGAGCAAGCAGAACTCACTCCCGGGCCAAAAAGGCTCGGCGAGCTGACAGAAGGGTTGTAGGAGCGGCCCCTGGTTTCAAGGGCAGCAGCACCACGGCTTCTGTTGTGTGCTTTGCGGGGTGGGAGCACGCGGCGTGTCCAGCCCTCGGCACTGCAAAGTGAGGTCAGAAGAGGGAAACGGTGGAAGAGCCCAGCCGAGGTGGGAGGACGCAGCCAGCCAGCTCTGAGGCCCCTCCAAAGAAAGCTGCTGCAAATAGAAAGGGAAGGGGAAGCCCCGTTGGGCCCCTTGGTTGATGCTGCTCTTTCTCTTCTGGCCAGGAGGCCTTCACATAGCGGAGCCCCTAGGGAGCTGCATCAGCCCCCACAGCCCGGCTTCAGCACCTTTTGCCACGTGGCCTCAGTTTGGAGAGGGGGAGACGCATATCGGAGCATATTTTATTTACACCCCAATTTGACACTCATGGTGGCTTACAGAATGGTTTAAATTAGGCTACAACAATAAAATGTATTAAAATACAGTGAAAACAGAACAGCTACTGAATTTAAACAGCACCCGTGCCGCACCAGGGGAGGGACCGCCACAACAGAGTGAACCTGGCCTCCTTAGGGAGGGAGCCCCGCAGCCTGGGAGAGCCCCCACCAAAAAGCTTGCCACCAAATGTGCCTCTGGTGGTGGCTCTCTAGGTCCGGTCTCCCCTGCCCAGCCGTGGCGGAGGCTCTCGCAGGGCCGAGAAGAGACAGCCTTGCAGCAAGCTCACCAAATTTTGGGCCGCTAATGAAAGGACAGCGCTTGCTTCCCGGAAGCGGGCCCACGCGTGAGTAGGCCGGCAGAAGGGCAAGCTTCCTGCAGCAGCCTTCGCATCCCTGTCCTTGCACTGCTTCTCGCATAATTTTCTTCCTCCTCTTTCTCTCTGATTCCACATGCCTGCCATACTATGGGTAGAGGTGATTGATTAAGGTAATTCTTTATCTCTAGTTAAAACATTTTTTTTCCTGGGCAGCAGGAATTATTCTGCTGAAGATGCATTTGCGAAGAGCATGCTGGACGTGCGTTGGAGGGCTCCCTGCCCACCCCCAGCCTCTGCCACCGAGACAGCAGCTTTGGAGAGTGGGTGCGGCATTCAGCCTTCCCCGGCCTGAGCAGGAGAGTGGCCTGCACCCGAGCAGAGCTCTCGGGGTCTGGCTTCCGTGCGCATCCAAGGAAAGCTGCTTCTTCCCGCTTTCCCGCTTCGGAAGCGCTTCCTCCTTGATGTACTGGGCAAGAGAGCCTGGGTGTCGTGGAGGATCTCTCGGAGAGACTCCCAGGCCTGGCACCCTTGAGAAAGGGAGAGCTGGAGAGGAAGCGGCACCATCCCCAGCAGCGCCTTCCTCTTTTGCCCTGCTCGTTCTTTCCAAACGTGAATGGTCAAGGCAGAGTGTGTGTCTGTGGCACATGGGTTAGCATGTGCCCCTGGAGGGAGGGAGGGAGACATTCTGCTTTAGCTTTAAACTAAAATCAGCTGGTATTTTTGTGTATTTTGCCCCTGGCTGCTGCTGGATTGACAGCAACTCCAGAACTGAATTCAGCCCTCACGTTGAAAGAGGTTTGATGCTCCTGCTTTAAAAACGAGTTGCTCCATTTTTTAAGGAAGATGTACTTTCAGGTGTCCAAATTGCCTTGTCTAGTAGCTTAATTTCTGTTGATCATTCGAACAAAAAGTTAGTTGTGAAGGAGGGGGGCAAAACTCTTGAAGACTGCCCCAAATTTTCCTGTTTTGCACTGTTGTGAGTCTGTTTTTTCCTGCTTCCATTTGCTGCTTTGGTAGTGTTGTGCTGCTTTGGTTTTTAAAGGCAGCTCTTGTGGGGTGAGATCCAGTGTATTGGGGTCCCAGCATGGCATGATAGCACAGCACCACATGGTCGGCCCAGTTTGGCAACCGGAGCTAACAGTCCAAAGCCAATTCAGAGTGAGGGTGGTGATTCTGGTCCTTGCTCTGGATAGGCAGCTCTTTCCTCCCCTTTTCACCAAAACTGCCCACAAGCAGTTGCCAAAACATGTGGCCCCTATTTCATGGCTTCTGCTAAACCTGCTTTGTTCAGCCATCGGCAGAGGACCAGGATTTCTCCGCAGGATTATTTGTTTTTGCTTTGTTTTGCTCTATTTATAGTCTGCCTTTTCTTCTTTAAAAATAAAATGGCCTAAGGCGGCTAACATGGGCGTGAAGAAGAGAACTAGTTTCTGCACGCCTCTCTCCTCCTGCCTGCTGACGGGCTCTGGGGCTGGGGCTCCGGCCTGGCGGGCCAGCCAGAAGGGGCCTTGCGGTTAACAAGCCTGGAGCAGAGTCGCCGGCAGCATCGCATGCCGTGATTGGCGGCTGCTTCTCTTTACTCACCTGTGCACCGATGCAGGCGGCATAGCGGAAGCAGGCCCGAAGGCAGGCAGATCCCCCCTTCATGGGGGGGCAGATTTTGGGGTGCCTGCCCAGCACACCTCACCCCAACACCTGGCACACTGCCAGCCCAAGGCCCGCCTGGTCCCCTTGGGCCACCGCCATCGTTTCTGCCTCGCCAGACAGCCTCCACCTGTTTGCCCCTCGCCGAAATGAGCTGAGGAATGGCTGCGGGTGGAAAAGGCTTTTAGGTATTTTTAGAAGCCTCCCCCCCTCGTGGTGTGGGGGAGCGACAGAAACGAGGTCGATGGGATTACTGAGCAGCGAGCAGAAGGCCTTTTCTGAGTCTTCTCAGGGGCCGAGCCTGGCATCTGGCTTCATCCGTCAAAGCCCCGTGCGCCCGAGGCCAGGAAGCGAAACGTGGGGCTCGGATCAGCTGAGCCAAGGCACCTGCTAAGCAGCGGGCGCAGGAGCGCTGTGCCCCCCTCCTTGCCCAGCCACTGTGCGCTGCTGCCCCCGGGCACCGGCCGAGGCGGATTCTCCTGGGGTGCGGCTGTATTCGGGGACACTGGCTCTGAGGGCAGGATCAGTCCCCTGCTCAGCCCGTGCTCAGCATCTACAACGGGGTGCAGGGCCTTGGCCTGGGCCCAGATTGAGCCCCCTGCGTTGCGCAGATGGCCGCCCCTCCCGCTCCTGCCTGCCCTTTCCCAACCACTGGCAGCTTCCGCGCAGCTTCCTTGCCCTGCCGCCTCAGGGCCTGGCGTGCCTCTCCCTCCACTTAGCGACTGGCAGGAGGAGCCCCTTCGCCCCAGCCCGCCCTTGCAGCGGCGCCCCCACGAGCCCCAAGGGCCCATCCCTGCCCACCGGTTTACGTTCTAAAAGGCGCAGCTTGCAAGGAAAAAGTGTGGGGAGGGAGGAGGAAGCAATGCCGCCGTTCATGGCCATGGAGCCACTGTCAGTAAGAGGAGCTGCCCAGTTACCAAAGTGCTCCCTCCCTCCCCCCCCCCCCATTAGCCCATCATCTCATTTCTCAGAGGGAAACTGAATGACAGTCCCCGTGAGGCGTCAGAAGTCGCAGTCCCTCCGCCTGGCTGACTTCCAGGCAGGCTTCCCCCAGCTGGTGCCTTCCACTGTGCTGCTTGGGGAGGATGATGGGAGTTGCATTCCCAGCCTGGAGGGTGAAGACTGATTCAGCCCTGAGACAACCCTCTGAGTTTTCGCTGTCTCGCAGAGCCTGTTGCCTCTTCACACAGATTCCACCTTGCAGTGAGTCAGGTGCCGGGTCTGTTGACTCGGAGCAGCAGCCGCAGCTCCGCAGGATTCCAGGCAGGGGTCTTTCCTAGCCCAGCTGGAACGTGCTGCCAGGGTTCAGACCGGGGGCTTCTGCAGGCGATGCGGGGTCTCTCTTGCCCTCTGCAGGCCCTTCTGCTAATCGCGAAGTAAGGTTCCAGTCCTCATGGTTCCCGATAAGTGCTGGACCACGTAGGCCCTTAGGGAGCAGACTTGTCCTGCATCGAGGCACGGGCCCATCTTGCCCGGTACTGCCTACCCTGACTGGCAGCCGTGTCCCCAGGATTTCTGGCAGGACACTCTTGCCCAACCTGGAGATGCTGCCGTGGACTGGACCCTCCGCGTGCAAAGCCTGCCCTCTGCCTCTGCTCGGGGGCCCCTTCCTCACATGCCTCTTTGCCAGACCAGCTGCACACTCAGTTTGGGCCTCAGCTCCCACCAGCATGACCCGTGGCCAGGAATGCTGGGCACACTGGTCCCAGCACCACATGAGGGGCGGCGGCAAGGAAAGGTTCCCTTAATCCGGAAGGTCCGGTGCCCCTTTAAGTTAGGTCAGTGCCTCTGCTGAGCCTTCAAGGCTTCGTTTTGCATCGCCGTATGTGCATGTAAACCCGCCTCGCTTTCCTTTCAGAATATGAACTCTGTGTTCAGAACAGTCCTCGACCTGACGTACCCCATCACCTCCATGTTCTCCGGAGCCTTCTTCAACAGCGGCATATGTGACATTTTCAAAGACAAGCAGATCGAGGTATTTCTGTGTCTGTGTCTGCTGCATGGCTAGCAAAATTTCTGTGGCTGGCCTGACCCAGGTGGTCACATACCCCCAGCGCCCTTCAGGAGGAGAGAGCCAAGGGGCAAGTTCCTTGTGAGAAGGGCTCTTGGGGTGGGGGCTGCAGTCCAGGGGCAGGGAGGGCCAGCAGCCAAAGGGGCAGGCGCAGCCTATGTAAATCATTCCTATCCGTTTAGCTTCAAACTGCAGCAAGCACCAAATGAACAGGGGGGGAGGCGTGGCCACTGGACCTTGGCGGGACTGGATTTGGCTTCTGCACCCCAATCGCCGTACCTCGGTCCAGTCCTTGGGGGCAGGAGAGATTTGCCAGAACTTCTGAGCACATGTTTGCTTGTTTTTAGCAATCTCTTGCAGGGAGGACTGCCTGATTGCAATCTTTCCTGCTAGGGATTATGTGTCTCATAAAGCTGCGTTTTCCAAGTCCAGGCACAGATTTCTTGATCAGCTCGGCATGTGTAAGGCTGATTCCACGGAAGCCTTGGTGTGTGACGCGGAAGAGCTGTGAGGGCTGGATTTAGAGCTTCCCAGCCCAGATTGCTCGGTGTGTGCGCGTCCGTGTGCCTGAGCCTTAATAATCCAGCTGTGAGCCGATGTGCCTTCATCTGCACGCTTCAACCCCACATCACTTCTTAAGATTTTGAGTGGCTGCAGTGTCCTCCATTTCCCTGCACCCCAAGTTTATTGCAGGATCACATCGTTATTTGTTTTTCGGCGCCAGGCAAAGACCTTTTTATTCAAATGTCATTTTAACTGTTAATGCTATTTATTTGTTTTATTCTTCGGCCTGGGTGACTTATTTTATATTGTTAACTTGTTTTATATTTTTATTGTATAATATTTTAATTGATATATTTGTGAGCCACCCCAAGGCTTCGGCGAATGGGGCGGCATAGACATTTTCTAAATAAATAAATAAAGCCTTCTCTTCTGCCAAAGCGGCTTTCCAGAAGTTGCACTGCACCCCACTGCCTGTGGGGAACATGCAGCTTCTTCAAATCCCATTTTAAAATGCTTGTGGGCTAATATAGGAAAGCATCGAAGCCTTCCTAAGTTTTAGATTGGGTGCATTTTCCCGACCAGGATTAAAACTGGAGCTGCGCCTTTATTTCTTAAGAAAAGGTGGACTTCTCAGGAATGACGGTCAAAAATCCTGTTCACACATCACTTTAAGGCAGACCTATCCAACTTGATGCCTTCCTAGTGCGTTAGGCTACAACTCCCATCATCCCCAGTCATCAGGTGAAGAAGCAGCTTGTTCATTTGTGCCAGTTGTTCTTTTGTTTGTGTGATACCCCTGGCTGCCAATGTGTAGACAAATCCAGGAAAAGTGAATGCTCCACTGGGCAGCCAGACTGGGGACGATGGTTTATTGCACTCAAACCAACTAGGATCTTAATGGCTAACAACGCATCCTGGTTTAAAGCTGCCCTGTGATTCTGGCTTGTCTGGGCACTTTCAACCAGAGTCCCAGGCAGGGCAGTCACAAAAAGCTCTTCATTTCCTCATTTTTTTCACTTAAAGGGAGGATGCTTTGGTGGCGCATTTTCATCCCAGCCAATGAAATCATCAAGCAGGTGGCGTGCCCTCTGTCTCTCTGTGCCTCTCCTGCATAGCCACACGCTCCCAGTTAGAAGGAGACATGCCTAAAGCAGTGTTTCATGCAGAGATGCAGTGGGCAGCCTCCTTGAAACGCAGGTGGCCATTTTACGCCTCGCCTTTGCCCCAGTGCAGTAAAACGGCCACTCGCACCCAGTGGTGGCATGTGGGAAGGCTTGCCTGCGCTCAGCCTGACTCCTGTGCAGCAGGCATGGATGCAGCAGGCAGACTCCCCTGTGCAGCTCGGGGGCTCTGGGCTTTCAGAATCCTCTTCTGCATTTTATTTCTCTCGGCTCACCATTTGGGAATGAGCAGTTGAGTTGCACCACGTGTGCTTTCTGTCTGGCAGGATCTCTGGATCCCCTACTTCACCATCACGACGGACATCACGGCCTCGGCTATGAGGGTCCACACCGATGGTAAGCATCTCTGCTTGCGATCAGTTCGCCGCTCTAGGCAGCAGACCGGGGAAGTGAGGCCACCCTCCCCCGGAAACAAACCGAACCGAACCGGTGCAGGGAGAAAGCACATTTCCAAGCTGCCCGGCCCTGACGCAGCCATTAAACGGCTCAGTGCTCTGGATCTGTAATCGACTGATTGGGATGCTTAGACTGCCCTTTTCCCGTTGGCACTCGTCGCATCGACCTCCTGCCGCTTGGCACTGGGCGTGCATCAGATCCTCCCCGTTTGCTCCAGCCGCGGAAGGGCTGCCCCAGAGTGGGAGGACTCGGGCTGCTCTCAGAAGCTTCCCCGGGCCTGTGGCTGCTGCAATGCCCCCGTCCGTGAAAACCTGTGCAGAGGCCCATCCCGCCCCCCGCCCCCCGGCCAAGGTTGTGGCTGCTCGGAGCAATGAGTGATGAAGACACGCCTTGGCCCCTGCCACGGTCCATTGGGAGCAAGTCCAGTCCATTTCTGCTGATTAAAACCGCTTGGCTTTTAATGGTTATCAATTCCCTCATCACCTGGCCCTGAATAAAAATAATTGAGCCCATCCAGGAGAAGGGGCGCAGCCACTGGACGAAGTGCTTCCGCTCCGTGCTGTTCAGTTGAAACACCGGAGAGGGGGAGGGAAGGCGGGTCCCGGGGAGACTCCGGCTGGCTCTTTGAGAGCCCAAGTTCCTCCAGGGTTTGCCTGCAGCTGCCTCTCCTTGCACCTCAACGTGATGAGAGAGCCCCATGTTGATTGGTCAGGGGCTCTCCCTCGCCATCCCTCAAGGAGTTAAGGGGCAAAATGCCAGCGCGCTTCAGCTTGAAGCTTTCCGGGCCAGCAACTGACCCATCGGAAAGGCATTTCAGCGTTTAGAGCAGGGAGAGGGAGCTGCACCGAGGCCCTGCAGCCTCCACACAGCCAGTGGTTGTGGGGGAAGTGGAAGAGCCGGGGGAAGGGGGCCTGGCACTCTCAGGAACCCCTCTGGACCAGAACGAGCCCGGGACGGGGATCCTCCGTCCCACTGTGGCTGCACAACCCTGCGAGGCAGGCTAGAGTGAGAGGCCCCCGCTGGCCCCAGGCCACTGCACGAGCCCCTTGGTTCCCTTTGGGCCGCGGCCCAGCGGTCCCTCTGCTGCGCAGCGCTGGGTCCCCCTCTTCTCGTGCATGGGGCAGGGGTGGGCGGGCGGCGAGGACGGCCCCTCCACCTGCTTCTTGGCTTCCCTCTGCAGGCTGCTTGTGGCGGTACATCCGGGCCAGCATGTCTCTCTCAGGCTACCTGCCCCCACTCTGTGATCCCAAGGACGGGCACCTGCTGATGGACGGCGGGTACATCAACAATCTCCCAGGTACCGCTGCGGGGGCCGGCCTGCTGGCCGGCCGCCCACGCCTGCTCCCTGGGTGCCGGGCCTGACTCGGCTCTGGGTGGGCGGAATTTGCAAAGGGACCTGCCAGACGGGCCCAAGGCTGATGGCTGCTAGTCCGTAAGGGGGAGAAACTGAGCTCGTTCAGATTGGACTGAGAAGTGACCTGGTTTCGCGCTTTATAGGAGCACTGAGCCGAGTGTGGGGCCAACTCGCTGTCCTCCAGGCGTGCTGGCTCACAGTTCCCATCAGCCCTAGCCAAGATGGCCAGTGGGGATTTGTGATGGGAGTTGTAGGCCAAAACATCTGGAGGCCATCCCTCTGCTGTGCAGACCAAGACTCTGGAGCTGCTGCGGCTCCAAATTTTGCAGTGTTCTCTCCAGTTAGGGAAAAAGGGCGCATGGAGAAGAATACTAACCCGTGGTGCTTTATACTAGGAAATTGCTCACAAACACGTGATGGTGAAGCCAGAGAGTCCCTGTACTGGGAGCAGCAGCATTTGGGGTCATGCTTGCAAGCTTTCATGCAAACTTGTAAAACTGCGAGCCAGATGTAAGAATTGCAGGTTGGGAAACCAAAAGCAGTGCAGCTGCTTGTGGCCAAGATCGGGGATGCCGGGGCCTGCGCAAATGCTCCCGAAAGCTGGCCCTCCCAGCGGATCGTTTGGGAACCACGGCAGTGGAGTGGGAGTCGCTTCCTTCCCTGCTCTTGTCTGAGGCCAGACGAGACCCGCATTTTGGCCGTTCCTCCTGGCCAGCATCTGCCAGGAGTCCCTGCGGCTTTCGAGCCCGTTTGCTTTCGGGGTGGTGGGGCTCCGTGCGTACCCTTCTGGCTCCTCGTACAAGTGCCTTCTAGTCGTCCCGGATGCATTCTGGGAAGTGATGTTCTGCCCAAAAGGGCAGCCGCTTCATCACTGGACTCCCAAAATTCCACAGTGGTCCAGTGGCCCGAGCAGGTGTGGGACCCTTGTTCTCCTGCAGCACTGAGAGGACTGGATACGCTGTTGGCGTGTGCGGCCTTTTGCCTTCAGCATGCGGAGCAGGCCTTTCTACCTTGCTGAGCGCCTCTCCCCACCCTTCCGCCCCTTGCCTTCCCCCACACCACCCGCTGGCTTCCGGAACGGCCGCCTCGTCACGGCCGCGTTCTCTGGGCCGCCTTTCACTCATGCACTCCCCTTGACTTCTCACCCGCGGCTCCCCAAGGGACCTGAGTCACTCCTCCTCCTCTTCTGTGTCGGGAGAAATGCTGCTCATGTTTGGGTTTGAAAGTGGATTGCTGGGACAGGGGCGGGCCCATAAATTGGCCTCATCCTGTGAAGAGGGAAGGCTCTCCAAGAGAGCCTCGCGAAGGGACGGTGGGCCTGGTGCGGGGCCAGCTGGGGAGGCCGCCCTGCCAAGGTGTGAGCTCACGCCGTGCGGGGGGTGGAAGCGGACCGCCCAGCAGAGCAGCGGGGCCCGGGCGTGACTCTGCCGCCCTGTTCCTGCAGCGGACGTGGCAAGGTCTACGGGGGCGAAAGTGGTCATCGCCATCGACGTGGGGAGCAGAGACGAGACAAACCTCACCAATTACGGCGATGCCCTTTCTGGCTGGTGGCTGCTGTGGAAGCGGTGGAACCCCCTGGTTGAGAAAGTGAAGGTACGCCTGGGGCAGCATGGCAGTACAGCTTACGCCGTGGTCGTTGCGGGCCTGGTCGCCTATGGCAATCCGAGGATGCTTTCAAGGGGACCAGGCAAGCTTTTTAAAAACTGGGGGAATTTGAAAAGTGGAGGGGGCGTTTTGAGACTTGAGTGCGTGTTTACGTCTTTGCAAGGCTGCATGGCACTTACAGGGATTCTCGCAGACTTGCACGTGTGCTGGCACGTGAAGAACTTGAGGAGGTGCTCAGGAAAGCAAACATGCAGTGGAAGAAACCAAACTGGTGTAGTTTTTGTGCCGCACAAACAAACCAATTTCAACCCCGTTTTCATTGTCACTGCCTCCTTGCTGTTCCCTGGGGATTTCTTTCACTCTGACAAGTCAAAATTAGGTTATTCTCAGGAGTATGAACCGGGGGGGGGGGGGATCCAAAATAGCTGTCCCGAGTGCCATTTTTGTTTTTAAATTACTATTAATGATTTGGGGGACAGCACACGTCGCAGCAGGGGGAAGCCAGCGGTGGGCCACGTCCTGCCCCCTTCTGATCGGAACGGCTTCCAGCACTCTCCGCTGGGTATTTCCCAGGATGCCCTCAAAGCAGTTTGCACAGAGGGCCTGCAGCAGCACACGTTTCTCCATGGGGGTTCCCCGCCCCACATCCCCCCCCAGCCCCGATGACGCTTCCTGCCTTCGGCAGGTGCTGAACATGGCGGAGATCCAGACCCGCCTCGCCTACGTGTGCTGCGTCCGGCAGCTGGAGATGGTGAAGAGCAGCGACTACTGCGAGTACATCCGGCCCCCCATTGACCGCTACGGCACCCTGGACTTCGGGAAGTTCGACGAGATCTGCGTGCGTGCCGGGCGGGGGCAGGGGGGTTGAGCGGGGCCACGGGACGCCAGCGGATGGGCTTCCCCTGAGCGCCACATGTCAGCGGGGGAGGCTGGGAAGCCTCCCGCCACACCAGCCGCCCCATTCGCACAGCGGCCCCACGCCCCCGAAAGAGGCCGCTCGCGCAGCTCTGCCCCGCGCCCCGCTGAGCCCTTCAGAGGGCCCCGAAAAGTCACTTGCCCGTTCCAGGCGACCCTGGTTTGCATCTTCGTGGACCGTTCTGGGCCGCAGCCGCGGTCGCACGGTGGGCTTGCAGGCCTGCCTGGGACGGAGGCTTCGTGCTGGTGCCCGTTGTGCCGTTGTGGCTTGGGGTCTTTTGTGACCCCCTTTCACGAGGCTGAGCGATCTGCTCGCAAGGGGCCTTGAGCGAACTCCTGCCTGGAGGGAAGGCTAGAGACATTTTAAATAAACCAGTTACATTCATCGGAGAGGCTGACCGGAGCGGGCTGGGAGTTGTGGGGCTTTTGGAGCATGCCTAGGCTTGCCCCTGAGGGCGTTCGCCCAGGGCCTTGCCCGTCCTTGCCCACCCGCTTTGCCCATTCAGCGGCTCACTCCGACGCGAGCCGTGCTCGGCGCCACCTCCCGCTCTGCCTCCACCTTCCCCGGCTGCAGCGACTGGCCAGGCCTCCCCAGCCGCTGCCCTGTTGGTCTTTCTGCAGGAAGTGGGTTACCAGCACGGCAAGACGGTGTTCAGCGTTTGGTGCAGAAGCGGCGTCCTGGACAAGATGCTGAAAGACCGCCAGGAGCTCTGCAAAACCAAGCCTTCCTACGTGAGTGTCCCATCGGGAGGGGGTCAGCCGAGGCGCAGGGGGAGGGACAGGACAGCTTCCGCCCTCGGCATGCCTGCTCTTGCTGCCACTCTTGGGGGCTGCCTTGGTAATCGTACGTGCGAGGACTGCAGTTATGCAGCTATTCCGGCCCCTGGACCAGCTGGGCCGCAAGGGTGTCTCCACAGAGCATCTAGCCAGAGGAATCCTTTCTCCCCCAGGCAGCCCGGGGGCGGGGGGGAGGTGTCAGCAGGGAATAGGTGGGGGCCTCACCCCACTGCCCTACAGCCCTGGAGAGATTGCCCCCTGGAGAGCCCATCCCCCAGTGAGTGCTGGCGGGTAATCCTGCCCCAGACGACCCCAGGTTTTCCACTCGGGAGCACTGGAGCTGGCAGCCTGACTCGGGGTTGGCGTTTGCGCGGGTAGCTGGGAGTGGGTCCTACAATCCCCCGGCTGGCCTGGGCTGGAGCACGCTGGGAGCTGTCGGACTTCTTCCTGCCCAAACCTGCGGGATTGGGTTCCAGACTGCTCTGAGCTTTGCACAGATTCTTTTAATTTGCATCACTGATCCCAAATGTGCTGAAGGCACGCCCCGGACCTCGTTAGTTTCTGACGTCCCTGCAGGTATTTTCTCCACATGCTTTCAAGCACACCTTTGCAGCCACGAGAGCTAGAAGCTTACTCTTACAATTAAAAGAGAAAAGAAAAGTGAAAAGGGAAGCTGAGTCATATTTTCCAGAAGATGGGAACCTTTTCTCTTTCTACCCAGGAAAGGCGAGCTTAGTGGCTGCTCCCGAAGTGTAACCCGCAGAGTGCCGGCTGGCAACCCAGATAAGCCCAGCGGCTCCCGAATCACAAATACAGGGAGAGGCATCTGTCCGTGTATGCCTGGCTCTCTTGACATGTGGACCATTAGCAGCATGTGCTGGAGCTGGGCCTTCGACTCGCCCCATCAGGACTGCTGCTGCTGCAACGCCCCCCCGCGGCTGATTGATCCAGGGGCCTTGCCGTTCAGGTCGATAGCTCTTAGCCTGCCAGAGAGCCTCTGCGCTCTCACCCCCAGGCTTGAGCCAGTGCTCGGCCCGCCAGCCGCTGCTTCCCCCCCAGTGCCTCCAGGCTTCGGCCCCCAGCACCGCCCGGGCCACCGGTGTGCATCTGGTCGATAAGCAGCGCTCTCCTGCGGTGGGGGGGGGGGCAATTAGCCGAAGCGGAGGCAGCTGTGCCACAGGCCAGCTTCGGTCTGGCCCAGCTCGCCTGCCGCAGCAGGCCGCCTCAGCCTCCTCCCACACGGCTGCTCCACTGCTCTTGGGGGTTGTCTGTGCCCCTGCCTGGAGGGGGCATGTTTCGTTCGGTTTTGCTTGGGGAGGCTTTTTTAGCACTGCGTCGAAGGAGTTTTGACCCAAAGTAGGGAGGGCGTTGGCCACACAACTCCCAACTGAGCCAAGAGCACCTTGGTGGCTTGCTGCAGAGCCAGGAGTGCCCACTTGGACCCTGGCACGAGGCTCGGGGTCCTTCCCTCCTCCTTCCCCCTCCCTCTTTACTTCTGTCGTGCCCTTTCCAATTTCCCACCTGCAGACAAGGAGTGTCTCATGCTCGAAATTGTCAGTTGCTCTTGGGAGCTTTCCTGGGCCAAGGGGCAGGACAAAACTCCTTTCAATAAATCAGCATTACCCTTCGCTCCTACTTCAGTGCAGTTCTGGTCTCTTTTTTGTTTTTCAAAAGGACCGAAATCACATTGTGTAGCTGGGCCCTGGGAGGGCTGTCTATGCAAGGCGGCAAAGGTGCTCACAGCAGAGCCCCCAGTTGTGGGGGGGGGGGACGTCTTGCGTGCTGCAGCTGCTCCGTTCAGTCCATGGCAGCTCCAGGAAGGCGTCTTGCCAGAGACCCCGTTGACGGCCGTGGGCTGGAGGGAGCAGGGGGCCGACTGCATCGAAGGCAGCTTCTGACTATCACGCCTTTTCGGTCCCATGGCTTCCTCCCCTGAGCCCTCGTGCGGCACCCGCTCTCCCTGCAGGATGGCTTTCTCCCGTGCGGGCCAAGCATCCTTCTCGCCCTGGGGGAAAAAGCCAGCAGGCAAAAAAGCCCCGGTGGCAGCTGGGTGACCTCATGTCCTCCTCCCCCTCCCCCAGCTCATCAGCTGCCCCACCACCTCTTTCACGGACCTGGCCGAAATCGTCTCCCGCATCGAGCCGGTGAAGCCTGTCGTGGTCGATGGTGAGTTGTGTGGGCCCAGAAAGCCCCTGACGGGAGCTGGAGGAATCGGCACCTCTCGTGGGCTGCACCATTTTCCCAACCAGAAGCCTCTGTGGCTCTGGCGGATCACAGCTGCGTGACGGAGCAACCTGTGCTCCCGCCTGTTGCTGGGGCTTGGCGATCGGGTCTTTGGTTCTGCGGGCAGGGAGCGTCCTGCATCCCGGTGCCTTCCGCTGCGCCTCGTGCGAGGCTGCCTTCCCCTGTGAGGCGTGGCTCGGCCCGCTCAGGGCCAGCCAGAAATGCTGCGTCTCCAAACCCCTCTCTGTGCTTCAGATGAATCCGACTATCAGACGGAGTACGAGGAGGAGGTTCTCGGGAGCCAGCGGGACGACTACGTCAATTTCCTGAGCAACCAGGCTGAGGAGGACTCCGATTCTGTAAGCGCTTCCTGGTCTCTTCTGGGAGGGCTGCCTGCCCCCACAGGCGAAGAGTGTGGGTGGGCCAGTGTGCGAAGGAGGCGGGGCGCCGTTTGCATTGCCCCGGGTGCCAGGCTGCTGGGAAGCCCCCTCTGCGTGACTCCGTTGCAAGGAGGAAGTGCCCCACGCCCCAGGGTGGGCAAGGCCCAGCCTGGCCACGCGCCTCTGCGGGGCCTCCAGGATGTGGGCCTTGGCCTGGCCTGGCAGAATCCCCGCAATTCTCTCTGATTGCGGACTGGCGATAGCAGTGGGAATTAGGCCAGCGCTGGGAGAGGCATCACCCAGGCAGCACCGCGAGGGGCCACTTCTCCAGACACCTCCGGAGCCCTTTCCTCCGTGCCGAGAGAGGCAACAGGGGGCAGCACCCCGTTGCCACTCCGGGATGCCCTCCCCTGCCCCCGAGGGTCAAGCCGAGTGAACCCCTCGTGAGCTGCTCATGGCCACCCACAGCCCAGCCCAACAAAGCCCCCTCTTGGTCTCAGCAGGATCGGGAAGTCCGGCTCCGGAAGCGGGCCAGTGCCAACAGCCAAGATGGCCAGCTCACCACCGATCGGAGCAGCTGAGCGACCCTTGGGGAGCCAGGCCAGTCGCCACCACCCCTCCCGTTGCAGCCTTCCCCAGAAGTGACGCCACAGCACCTGTCTTTTCTCTTTCTGCCACGCCAGCCGCCGGGGTGGCCAGAGGATGAGGGCTGCAGGCACGACGGGAGCGCCTCCTTGGCCCCCTCCGGCCCCCAAGGCCCACCCCTCTTCCTGGGGGCAGCTGTGCGGAGGCGTTCAGCCGGGTGGATTGGCCCACGTGCCTCCTGGGGCCAGGGAGCTCAGGATGGTCTTCTCCTTGCTGTGTGGACCGGAGGAGGCCTCTGTGTGCGTGGCGTCCGGAGCAGAGGGGGCAACTTTGGAGGGCCTCGTTCTGTGCCCCCCCCCCGGCTTATTTCACTCCCGCCCAGGGTCTGCAGCATGCACTGCCGATTAGCAGGGAGCCTGAACGTTTGGCAGGCGAGCTACTCGGGTGCTCCTCGCTCGCCTCCAGTAACGAAGCCATCTCTCCAGTGCGGACTTGTGCAATAACGATGCAACACCTTCCCCAGGCTGGCTGCCTCCGCTTCTGCTGCAGCGGCCAGGCCAACGGAGGAGAGCCTTCCCTTCCCTGCCCTGCCCTGCCCTTCCCTTCCCTTCCCTGCCCTTCCCTTCCCTTCCCTTCCCTTCCCTTCCCTTCCCTTCCCTTCCCTTCCGCCTTTCTTGAATGGCCTACAGGCCTCATTCTGCCTGGTGCTTGTGTCATCCCCCTCTGCCAAGCACAGGGGGGAATCCACCCAGGTGGGCCACATTCTGTGTTCCCTCCCTTGTCAGGTGTTCTTTACAAATAAAAACTCGGAAAACTGTACCTTGGCCAGTGTCCAGACTGATTGTGCACCCTGGCTGGGGCCCGGGGCGGTGTGGCGAGCGGCGAGGCTCTGGATGGAGCGGGTGGGGATTAAACATGGCACCTGACAGAAGGATCTGACCAGTCCATGGAGGTGCTCCTCTCCACCAGAACGCAGGAAGCTGCCTCACGTGGGGTGCGGCCTGGCGTTCACCTCACTGGTGTTACCTCCTTAAGGGTGGACCAGTTGCAGCCTTCCAAATGCTGCGAGCACCAATTCCCATTAGCCGGAGCTGGAACAGCCCACGGTCGGTGTTCATGGGAGCGGTAGGCCAAAGCACCGGGAAGGTATCGGCTTAGAGACTGCTTCTCTAGGAGGTTTGGCCTACAAGTCCCATCTCCCTAAGCCAACAGGCCTTATTTCAGAGCAAAACTCTGCTCCTTCAGATCTTCCAGGGGCAAACAAAGCGCACACTTTTCAAGTCCTGAAGGGAAAACGTCGCTTCGTCCCGCTGCCGCACTACCAAATTTCAGCGGCATTCAGTGGGGCTATTCAGTTCTCAGTGGGCTTGCGTGAGCAGAAATTAGCCTCCAGAGTCTCCGAGGTTGCCCTTTCCTGAAGTTGGTACTGGCTTTTCCATGCAAGCAGCAGCTGTGTGCATGTTCCCGTGTTGCTGAGGGGAACCTGCTCCGCGCGGTGATGAGCCGGATGGGGGAGCGAGCGAGCAGCTCTTCGGAGAAACCGGACATCAGATGTCAGAATCCTGTTTCTGGCAGCCGGGAACATCGTGTGGTGTTGTTTTCACAGAAGAAAATTGTGCTTAGGAGATGATTGCTGTGTAGGCAAGGGGTTTCTGGAGACGGAGCTACGATTCAAATCTGACATTTTTCAAAGAAACAGATGGAGCATCATGTCGCATAAACCTTCAGAATATGAATAAGGTTTGCTCATGGCCTGATTCGGCTGCACTTGAGGATAGAAAAGAAACTTTCCCCAACTTTGAGGCAGAGCTTGGCAAAGGGAAAGGGGACAGATTTGCTCAATTTGCATTTTTCTTGCTGCTATATTTAATGCATGGGTCGCTTTTCACCACAGAAAGCTGTCTTGATGCCACCTAGACGCCCAAAATGTAATTGGGCAGAATCAAAAGCTGCTGTAAACCATAACTGGTGCATTAAGGCAAATAAATCATTTAGTAAAATTTGTCCGATTTTAAATTTGGATGTATTCGACTTAATTCCTTTAATCAACAGACAGCCCCCCCCCCCCAAAAAAAAGGGGGATGTGAGTCAGGTTACTGCCTGGAAGAAACCCAGGTTAGCTCTCCTCAGCATGGTGCCCTCCAGAAATGTTGGACTTTGAGCCTGTTCGGACTAAAATACCATCCCTACCAGTCATGCTGGCTTAGGTGGATGGGGAGTGGGATCCAGATCACCTCTCCTGGGTACTCTCTTCACTGTCTGGAATTGCATCAATAAATTGTGAATCAGAGCAAAGCAGGATTTCCAATGTATTGGTTCTGCAACTGATCAACCGGTATACCGGGGGGGGGGGGGCACCCCGGCCTGCCAGATGTGCATGCGCTCAGTTCCTATTTACCCCGCCAGTGAGGGCAGAGGCAAGTTGGAGCCCAGTGGCAACCCGAGACGCAGCTTCCCCCTCTGCCCTAAGATCTGAGTGCAGCGTAGAGTCAGTGCAGCGCAGGGCCACAAGGTTGGTGGCTGGTTTGCAGGGGATGCCGTATGAGGCGAGACTGAGGGAACTGGGTCTCTTCAGCCTGGAGAAGAGAAGACTCAGAGGGGATATGCTGGCGGCATACAGGTATGTGAGGGGGCGTCACATGGAGGTGGGCAGAGACCTGTTCTGCCCTGAAGAGGAGGGCAGGATGCGCTCCAACGGAGCCAAACTCAGGGAGCCAAGGCTCAATTTGGATGCCAGGAAGCATCTCCTGACAGTTAGGACCCCGAGGGTGTGGAAAAGGCTTCCCCAGGAGATGGTGGAGGCCTCATCGGTGCGGGTGTTCAAGGATAGGCTGGACGTGCACATGGAGGGCATGTCGTGAGTGGAGCCAGCTGGAGCCGGGGGTCAGACTAGATGGCCTGGGAGACCCCTTCTGACTCTGTTTCTATGTTTCTATCCGAAGCCTGCATAAGCTTGCCTTCCTCTTTCCTCCTCCTCATCTTCTCCTTTCATGCTGTGATTAATCTTATGGGCCAGCACTGCCTTGTTCTTATTTACTGTGCAGAAGCTGCAGGCTGCAGCTTTTGGGAGTTGCCTCCCTGATCACGCCCCTCCTTTGTTCTCTCTGAATGTGCCTCACAGGTAGGTAGATACATACATGCCACTAATGATACATACATGTTACTACAATTCAAGTGTACCAGAAGCAGAATATCTGATGCAAGAAGGAAATACTGGCAAACTGGAGAATCCCTACATTTGTGGAGGTACCCAATCAAACAGTTTAGAAAAATTGTAAGATGCAAGATGGGAATTTTATTTATTATTAAATTTATATTCCACAATATTAGCTCAGGGGCTCTCTCAGTGGATTACAATAGAATAAAAACAAAATGCACAACAATATCTACAAAGAAAAATATTCAACTGAGGGATTCTGCCACCCATTGAGAATACACAGACAGCTAAGAATGCTAACTGAGCAGCAGAAAAACATGGAGGGTCAGGTGAGTTTCAGAAATTGAGCACTCCCTACTGAAATGTTTTGTTCTAGGTCCCCCTTGTTTTCAGTGGGACAGTTTTACTGGACCTTCTGTGATATTACTTTTCCTCTACCCTCCCCATCCATTTTTCCTTGTATGTTATGTCTTTTAGATCACAGGCCAGGACTGTCTGGTTTCAATGATTGTATGTCAGCCTCACCAGGAGGCTTTTTGAATAAAAAAGAGAGAAATAAGTACTTCAGATAAATATATTTTCCATGGTAAGACAAGGAAAAAAGCTGGAAGAAACAGTAGGAAAAAATGAGTTACCAGCAGAAGCCAGCACTGTCTGGATGCACACACACGTGCCCTGAAGAATTTTGTGACAGTGTGAAAAAAAGCTTCATCTGGAAGCATCCTGGGAGTCAATTGTTCTCATCAAGAAGAAGATGAAAGAGCAACTCGACTGAGGATCCCCATCTACTGCTTCTTGAGAATTCATCGGGCATTGCCCATCTGTTGTGAGTGTAGCTTCATGAGGACTGGAAACTTCCTTCAAACACTCATGCAGCTAGCCAGCAACTTCAGTTTTCTGGGTAATTTACTCCTTCCCGGTCCCCAGTCCTAATCCAAGCTCTGTGCCATTCAGTGGGACTTCCCCCTAGGAACGTATGTATAGGATTGTGACCCAAACACAGATGGGAAATGTTCTAATTGCTTTCATTCAAGAAACATTGTACAGTTTAACAGGCTGCAAGTAATAGTGCTGGCGGCATACCTTCCCCTAAAATGGGGAAATCGTCTCCATCAGAATGTATCCAGCAGTCCAATTCTGCTATTTCTAATAATAAGGTGGCATTCCCTGTTTGTCTGTTCCCTGTTTCTTTCTTGTCACCTCTGGACTGTCAGTGCCTTTTCTTTCCTCTGGCAATTAATAATGTTTGCAGCAGTCATTAAACCTTGAAATTATTTCCGCGTCCTCTTGTCTTAATATATCCTTCAAGAGATCCATCAAAACAAAGCACTTGTGTCCAGTAGCCATTATCTTATTCTAATTTCATCGGGAGGTTTCTCAATGTTGCTGATAATTAGTTTGCTTTGCCAGGTCCCAGCAATGTCCTCTTTGCTTTTCTTTTAGGCTAATTTGTCTAGCTCTGCTGGACAGAACCAGAGCGCCTCTTCCAAATTTAAGCGGGTAAAGAGGTTTAGCTGAACCTGAGCTGTTTGCCAGCTCTATGCCCCTCTGCAAAGCAACGGCATCCAGTGCTGAGGCTGAAGGACGAGCACCTACGTTCCCAGGCAGAGAGTCCCCAAACGCAGCAGCCATGATGGGAAAGACGACGAGAAGCGGCCAGAGCTGGCGAGCCTGGCAGTAAGAAGGCAGACTCCCAGAGGAGGTTTTGCCCAAGAACCCTCCACATCCTGGAGGCAATGTTGGGTGAAGCTGCACTGCTCCTGGACAAGGAGGTTCCATTCTTCCTTGATGCTGAACAGCCTCTGGGGCCCAGCCTGCTCCCTGAACCTGGGAAGGAGGCTTCCAGAACATGTCCACAATGACTGTTCCTGCGAAGACATTGCGCTGCTTATCCAACTCTGCTGTCAGCCTCCAGGTTTCTGGAATGGGAGGGAAACTTCATCAATAGCCCTGTGGGAGAGCCAAAGAGCACATTGGAAAACACCCAAGGGCGCCTAGGGCGTTGCAAAGAAATGCAGCCGTCCGACAGGGTGGCTTTGCAGCACCGGCCGCTTCCTGCCAGTTGGGGAGGGGAGAGACCCTCTGCAGAGTTCTCAGCTGGCCAGGAAAAGGCTCAAAGGCTGTTGCTTGGCCTTAGCTCAGTCGGGCTGGGAAGATCCAGGGCGATCCCGGGCAAATTGAGCCATTCCTTTTACTCGGGAGGATCTGGAAGAGTGTTGGGCTGGGGCTCTGGGAGACCCAGGTTCGAGTTCCCACTCAGCCACTGGGCAACTTCGACAGGGTGGATGCCATAAGGATGAAACGGAGGAGACCTATGTACGCGGCCTCGGGTTCATCACCAGAGAGGAAAAGGCAGGATATAAATGTAGTAGAACAGCATAAAAGTCCAATTTACACATTTTAAAGCCAAATTTAAGAGAATCTGAACAGATGAGAGGTTTCTTCCGTGCAGCTGGACCAAGGTGCGGGGCGGGGGGGCTTTCGTCGTTCCCTGCCACCGATCGCCTGCAGAAGGAAAACCGGGTCGGTGCCAGCCAACCCTCGGAGGATGTGCATTTTGTACCCGTGGGTAAGCCAGACTGTCTTGTGACAGGCCACGGTCATTCAGGGGCTGCTTTGGTAAGCATGCAAGTACTTTGGTCATGGAATCTCATTCTTAAATCCACCAGTTTTTCCTACACATTGCCTGGAACTGCCTGTCTTTCTCAGCTGGGATCCTTCACCTTTTCAGAAGAAATGAAACCAAACCTGTGCAGGGGGCAGAACTTCACCAGACAAGGCTTTTAGCTGGGAAGCTCTTCCTGTAGAATTTCTGCCTGCAGTGCCAGGGTGGAAGGCCTGTGAGCCCAGCTGGGAAAGCAAGGGCACCATTCACACTCCCCTTTGTCCGTGGAGCAGGAACAGCCACTTCTGGTCCATCATCTCCCCTGGTCACAAGTAAACAATCATGTCCTTTCCAGATTGACATCTATTTGCCAATTATGCAATTTGGATGTTAGCTAATGAGCAGTTCTTTGGAGTCTCTCAGCCTGATGGACTGATTGTGATGCCTCATTGATCATGATGGCTTGGTGGAACATCTGCTTAGGGGTTGTGAAAGCTGAGCTGGTGGGGTCTGAGGGAGGACTGGGCAGGGAGGGAATTAATGTGCAGGCTGCCAAGGCTGGCTCTGACTGGCAGGCAGCGTTGCAAGCCCATCATCCATGACATGACCTTGGTGTGGTAAACCGAGGCAGCTGCTCACAAAGGCAAGCTGGAGGCACCCTCAATGGGTAGACCTATTCTCTAGTAGGTATCCAAACTGTGTTTTCACGTGTCTTTCGTTCTGTTCAATTCCCAGGTGGAGCTTTGCACCCATAGCACAGTTCTGGGTTTCCCCCATTTAGGGTGTGTTGTGTTTTTTGCCCCTAAATATATTTTTTTGCACGTGGGCGTCTCTGACATCTGCCTCCCTCCCGTGTGTGAAAGGTGCCACTTGAAGAGCTAAGCTTGGAGAATGAGCCCCAAGCTGAATTAATTTCAAAAGTGCTTTATGGAAAAGAAGGAAAGCTGTGGGATGGGGCAGCTCAGAAGCCAGGCAGGCCTTAAAAGTTTGGGGGCAGGGATACACCAAAAACAGAGGAGGGGCAGTTCATCTATTCTGCAGGCCTTTTGCACAGTAACCTGTTTGTTAATTTCTTTGGCTCCCAGCTGGAGAATTTAGCTTTCCTTGGTAAAGGATTTTGGTTGCTGGAGCAGAGAATTTTCACATTAAAAAAAAAATTAGTCCAGACAGGTTTTCTTCTGAAGCAGAAGCTGCCCTGGCCTTCTTGCTCCTAGCTTAAGGCTCATGCTGCAGACGAGCAAGATGGACAGCCGTCTAACCACTTGTGGTAATGCTGGAAGCTCAAAAGGATGGACTGCAGAGGCTGGAACACGGAAGCAGCTGGGTTTAGCCCCCAGGGCAACTATGCCCAGCCAACATCTTCAGGGCACTTAAGTTATGCCGGAAAGGCCCCAGGCACTGGGGGGAAATAGGCTGCCAAAATCATCCACAGCGTGTGGTGTTTCTGATGGCTAAGCAAAGTTGAGCAGATGGCCTGAGGGAGTGAATTATTTTCAGGTGGGTAAAATCATGACTTGGTCCCACACACACCTGCTCTGACCTTCGTGCTCCATTTCCATGCCGAGGTCTGTTCTGTGTCAGGGCCGTACCGCTTTGCATCCACCACAGCTGGGAGCTGTGCGACTCTGCATGGCAGCGAGGCTTGTCCTTCGCCGTGATGCCTGTCCCTCCTCTTTTGCGTGACCAAGCTCCCTGGGAAGAGAAAGCAAGCACTTTTGGGAGAAGATGAGGCCAAGCCAGCTTTCTGGGTTTAGCAAACAGGAGGATCACCCCAAGGGCAGGGCAGGACGGGACAGTGCTGGGCTCTACCACTCCACAAGGGCCAATGTGGCTTGGCTACAGCGTCGGACTGGATCAGGAGACTCAGCTTCAATCCCCCATGTGCTGTGCAGTTCACTGGATGCCTTTCAGCCAGCCCCACACTCCCAACCTAGCCTACCTCACAGGATTGTGGTGGTTAAAATAAAGCAATTGAGGAGGGCAACGTTGAGTTTATTGCAAGAAGGAAAAGACAGGGAATGCAAACAGATGGATTTGGGGTCAGATCCGGCCAAACACCTGTTAGCTGCCCAAGCTAATGCTGCCACGGACGCTCGCCTCGCATCCTGCACTCCAGGTTTGGTGCTGAGCGTGCGGTTGGACTGGCGCAAGCAACCAGGTGTTTTCTGGAAAGCTTGAACGCCGACTCCCATAAGCCCTAGCCACCATGGCTGATGATCAAGTGTCATGGGAGTTGTAGTCCAAAACATCTGGAAGGCACCTGGCTGTGGCTAGTTGATAACCTCAAAGAGCCCTTAGAAGTCACCAGTGCGCCTAAGCTGCCCGGAGGCACGTGTTCCAGGGACAGCCTAGCTTGGAACATTTCTTTATTAAATGCCAGGGTCTGGTTTTGCTCTGGTTTTGCATGCCAGGGAAGCTGCGTTTGTGGCTACAGAGGAGCCTCGGCATTTTATGCATCCACCAGCGAAGCAGAACAGGGTTAGCCAGATCCAGACAAGCACTTCAGCCCAACCTACACCCAATGCTGTACAAAGGGAGAGGGGAGGAGACGCATGGTCGTTCCTCCAGCCCCGCAGGAAAGTGCTTAATTTTTCCTCTTCCCTCCCCATCCTGTTTTCCTCAAGTCTTTTTAGCCAAGCCCGTGGGCCACAGCCATCTTGCTTGAGCGAAGGAGCAGCACAAAAATGCCGTAGCAGAAAATAAGATAAAGTCCGGCGCCTTGCTCTCCTAACAGCTGCACCGCCCCTTCTATGAAAGACCAGCACGGCCCGCTGGAGCTGCGGGATCTTTCTCGTGTCCCAGAACGCGCAGGCACATCCCTGGGGGGTGCTTCGCAGATGCAGCCTGGGAAGTCTTGCTAGCAGCAGGGGAAACAGGCGGCCGGGCTTGGTCCGTAGGAACGGCCACTGGGGGGGCGGCGGCGGCGGGGCCTTCCCCTTCCTCCACCCTGTCCCTTAACTTGGGGGAGAGGTTCTGGCATCGGGAATGCCGCCTCTGGCCGGGCGCGGGGAGGGCGCACTGCGCTCCCCCGGAGGCACGCAGGTGGCCGATGTGCAGCCCCTAGCTCGAGCAGGCCGGGGCGGGGCTGGGGCTGGGGCGCGACCCTCTTCCAGTCCTCCTGCAGCGCGGCGGGGCCCACGCGGTGCATGTCCGCGGAGTCCTGTACCCAGTCTGGATTTTGTTCTAAACTTGGAAGGAGTGGCCGCAGGGCCGGATCTGGGGCGGACACGACCGAGGACCGCGGAGAGCGCCGCCCGAGCTCATGCTAACAGCCGGAGCGGACCGTGCGCCCGCAGCCCCACCCCGCGAGCGGCGGCGCCCCTCTTCCCCAATATAGGCACGCCGCCGCCCGGGCTTCCTGCGCCCCGCCCGCCGCCCGCCGCCCGCCCCGCCCGCCGAGGCTCTCCTGCGGCGCCGAAGCCGCAGTCAATGGGCAGCCGCGATGCGCGCCGAGGGGCGGCCGAATCAGCCGGCTCCTCCTCCTCCTCCAGCGCCACTCGTGGGGCCCGCCCGGCAGCGGGAGGAGGAGGAGGAGGACAGCTGAGCGCGGCCCGCGGCGGCAACGGCCAGCATCGCAACCCGCCCCGGAGGGGGCGCCGGCATGGGCGGCGGCGGCGGCGGCTCCGCGCGGCGCCTCCGGCGATGAGCGTGGCGGGGGACCATGGGCACGGCCGTCTCCAAGCGCCGCTCGCTCCGCAACGAGGCCGTGGCGTCGGTGGCCGCCAAAGTCCGGTGAGTCCCACCCTGCGACCCCCACCCGGTGCACGGGGGTCGCGAGATCGGGGTGCCGAGGCGGGGCTGGGGGCACCTCGAGGAGTGGGAGGGCGTGCGTAAAAGCTCGTGCGTAAAAGTGAGCGAGGGCGCAGAGAGGACGGCGGCGGAATCGCCACCCTACGTACCGTTCCGCCTCGGGGCGCGGTGGGTGGGTGATTGGGGTGGGAGGAGAGGCTTTCGGGGGGCAGGGGGCTGGTGTGCGGGCGAGTGTGAAAAGAAGCGAGTGTGCACGGGACGGGTGGGTGACGCGCGAGGGTCCAGATTGTGCAAAGGTGTGGACAGGTTTGCAGAGGCAGGGACCACGCACGCACGCCGGGCGCGCCTCGGTGCAAGGATGCGCTTGTGCACGGCGGTGTACCGAGCGAGTGTGCAAGAAGGGCTCGTGTTCCGAGGAGCAGCGTGTTTCAAGCGCTGGGACAGGACACCTGGCTGGCCTCGGTTGTCGTCACCCGCCCTCCCCAAAAAAGCCCCGGAATGCACTGCTCATCTGCTCCAGCAAAACGCACCCGAGCGAGGGTGCTGGAAGTGCTCACCATAGATGGGTAGGCGGGGTGTGCTGGCGAGCCCTAGAATTGTGGGAGGGGGCTCTTGTGTCTTATTTTAGGCAAAACTGCCCCCTCTGTGGGGTCAGGGATGACGGTGAGCGAGCGTTCCTCACGTGCCAAGTTTCTTCAGTGCCCCTGGCTGCAGCGCAGCGCAGCGCTGCACCGGTCTTCAGGGCCCTGCATCTTCCCGGTTGCGCGGTCCCGAGTGCAGGACAGGGGGCCGTGGGGCTCCCACCGCCCCCTTTACTCGCCCGCCCTGCCAGCAAGCCCTAAGCGCCCCTCTGTATTTTTAGTCCAGCTGTCGCCCTGCTCTGGGTGGAAATAGCAACTGACGTGAGGTGTGAAACATTTGGCAAGCTGCCCGTCGGCGGACCGCTGGCTGGCAAAGCCCCAAGGAGTTCACGACCACGCTGGTGTTCTTCCAGCGCTGTGAATGCAGCACGGAGCTTGGCGGGGAGCTGCCTGCGCAGCCATTGCGTCGGCGAGGTCGGCCAGGGAGTTGCGGCCAATCTCCTCCTGAGCCTTGGAAGCTGCTCTGCTTGGGCTGGACGCCCCCCCTGCACGGAGGCTGCGGCTGGGTCCCCAGGTGGGTGGAGGGACTCGGCCACACTCTGCGCCTCGCCGGTGGTGCATCGGCATGTGGTGTCTCCCGGCCGGCCGTTCCTCCAGGCAGAGGGGCACGAAAGGACGAGTAAGGTCAGAGGTGGCACCGAACTGGTGAGAACTGCCAGCACTACAGAGCACGTTTCGAAGGGAGCTTTCACCTGGTGCGCTAGGACACTGCTGAAGCAGACACCTTCATTCTCCTGTACTCTCTTATGGGCCACCCGGTGAAGCGCAGCCCTGTCCTCCAAAGCTGAGGCCAGCTTCGATGGCAGGGAGCCGCAAGGTTCCCTTGACGAACCCGACTAACATGGCTTCCCCTCTGTGCTGTGGCACCGCGTCCTTCGCGGAGGGCCCGGTCATTAAGAGGCAAGCAACTCGTGCAAAGCGCGATTTATGGAGCGCTCCTGGGCCGGTTCAGGCAGAAGAAAGTCCCACAGCTCAGTATTTCCCGGTCAGTGCAGTTAATTTGGGGTTGCTGCATTTCTAAAATGAAGTGAAGGGATGGGGGGCCAGCACCCTGGGAAAGAGAATGAAAAAAGGGCAGACTCAACCGTATTTAATTTTGTTATGCCGAATGATAAAAAATGCAATATTAAAAAGGAGCAGACTCTGGTGCAGGGCAGGAGCATGTGCTCTTATCGTGCCATTTTGGGGGTTTTGTGCTTTGATTGCTACATTTAAGAAGGTGATGCCCAAGCCAGGATAAAGGGCTGTTTTTGCACATAACCGGAAATTCTATTGTACATAAGTGTGGCAAGAAGTCATGAAGCAAAGTTCCAAAAACCTGGGTAGTTCACCTCTTTTGGAGAGGGTCACGATCTTGGAACCATGTTTTTACAGAGCTCTAAACAAGCGTGTCTTTGTGTTTCCCCCTTTCTTCATGATTTATGGCTTTCCTTTCTGTACTGAGCTATTATTGTTAATCCCTAACAGAAGTAATTCCTTCTCTGCTACATGTGCAGCGAGAGTAGGATCTCTGATTCGCTTAATAGAGGTCCATGTTCTGGGGTATCAGTTCCCAACATGCACAGAGTATATAATTCTCAGGAGCTGAGAACCTTTGTTTCCATTACCAAAAAAAAAAGTTCCTAGTCCTTGCTGTTCAGAAGTGCTCTGAAAACAGCCCTGCAGTGATGGGGATGCACTTGTCAAAAAACACAGAAACAGAGGCGAAGGGGAGGTGTTGTAGCTCACATTGTCCTCCTCTGTGAAAAGCTAAATTATTTGTTCCAAATTAGTGAATGGCACATGGCTCTCCTTTAATCGCAGAAGCTGTGTGTTTCTCCGCCCAACCTACCTCACAGGGTTGTTGTTGCGGGGATAAGATGGAGATGTAAGCTGCCTTGAGCTCTTTGTAGGAAAAAGGCAGGATATAAATCGAAAAATAAATAAGTAAAATAAAAAGAGCCACTTGAGCACCAGCAGTGTTGAAAGCACGAGGAGGGGGTTTTTATATGTGGGGGGGGGGTGAGTGGAGAGGTAGTTTTGGGTTCTCACGAGAGCAGTAGAAAAATATGGAGCACTTGTATCAGGTCCAGAGATCCATCTAGCCTTGGTGCTGAACACTGGCCGAGCATGGCTCTGAGAAACCCACGCGTTGGAATTGAAGAGAGCAGAAAACTTAAGCTCTTGGTGTCACATCTAGAGATGTGAAGGCTTGAGAAAATGACTGAAAAAAACCAGAGTGAATGTTTTTCTTCTTTCTTTATTCTCCAAAGACTCTTTTCTTACTTGGTTTTTCCAGCAGAAATAGGGCAAATTTGAGATTTGAGATACCATGGGAGGGAACCATCTGTCCCTGAAATGTTTTCTCCTTGCGGAATGAACAGGATGCATTTCTTGTGCCAGGCTTTGCTCCTTGAAACAAGGCACGGCGAGGGTTCAGGGTCAGAGGGCTGGAGAGGAATCCCTCTGCCACGGTGCTCCGTTTTCACGCCCAAGACCTCACGACCGTCTTCGTGAACGGAGCACGCCAGACGCCTGTGGATTGATTGCTGTCCTGATAACACGCTTGCTTTTGTTTGCCATGAAATCTGCAGCTTCTGTTTTCAACTTTTATTATCCTGCCACCGCCTCATTTCTCAAGTGGCAAACCAAAGATTCGCGGGCTTAGGTAGCATATGGTGAGGTAGCGCGGAGCGTCTTTCTCAAATATCGAGGATCTTTCTTTTTTCACTAGTGCGCTGGCACTTTTTCAAGCTTCAGTGTAACCAGCAGCAAGCTCTGTGGGGGGGGGGTGTCATCCTATCAGCCCTGCCCTTGAGGTGTTGCTGCGTCCTGCGTCCCCCACAGTCATCTCGGCCACCACCGAGCCGTGTCTCCTAATTTTCCGGAAGATGTATGGTTTTGGCTGTCTAGGTAAAGCTCCAGGTAGAGGGAGAGGAGGAGGGTGGATCGCAGGTAGAAATTCATGCAGGACCCTGGATCCAGCACCTCCTGGCCCCCTTGGATTGGTGGGCATATTTGGAATTGTGCAGTAAAAGTTGGGGGCACCCTCACAAAATGGCTGCCTGCTTCCCTGTTCCTAAATGGCTGTTGTAGCAGGCTCAGCTGTCCAGGAAGCTCCCTTTCTGTTGCAATTAAGGGAAACATGCGCCAGCAACATCCAAGCAGAGCTGTCCGGCTGAGCTCCCACGGACGGATCCTCTCCTTGGGATCCAAATAAACCTGGGGCGGCAGCGTGGCCATTCGCTTTGTGACTCGCCTGCCTCCAGTGGCTTCCGTTCAAGACCCAAGAAGGGAATGCGGTCAGTGTTGGGCAGGTCGTGGCGCTGGCGGGTGCCGGCAGGGGTGTCCATGACATATTAGTGCCCCCAGGAGCCACGTTGGAGATGCCCAGTCCGGGGCTTTGCTGAAATGCCCAGAAATTGCTTTGCCCTGGTCTTTCTCTGAGCCTGCAGGTAGCTTGTCACTTCGCAACTACCAAGGTCATTTCTCCAGGGCAGGGTCTTCACACGCTTTCGCCAGCCTGGTACATTTGGGATGGTTAGGACTACACTTCCCAGTATCCCTGGACTCCAGCATGCTGCATATGCTGGAAATCCTAGTCAGAAAGACCTGGAGGGCAGCGGCTGCCGAAGGCCTGCGTATGCGGAGCGCGCCGCATGGCCTGCCCCTGTGTTGTGGCTTCCGCTTGGCAGGGACCGCCATCTGGAGGGGGTGGCGTTTGCGCAGGGCCCGGCTGTGCATCTCGCCCGGACGGGCTGGAATCCAGGTCGTCCAAGGGGGACGTGCCGGCAGCTGGGCCTGGCCGGAAGGGGCAGAACGTGGGGCAGCAGGGGGCACGTGTGTGTGTGTATTTCTGCAGCGCTGGCCGATGTGGTACCGAGCTAGGAGACTGTGGAGGGAGAGCACACTGCCGGGATGCTGGGGATGGAGGCTCCTCCCGGGCTCTTCCCCTGCTTCCCCCAAGCCAAAGATGGCCGTGGAGATCCCCATGGCTGCTCGGAGATGTCGGAGCCGCTGGCTGCTGGAGCTCGAAGCCTCTGTGGTTTCCCACAGCTCTTAATTCTGGTCCCAATTCCCTGGACCAAACTCTTCCCAGGGGGGCCAATTAAGTGCGCCGCAGGCTTCACCTTGACTTGGGTCCTTGTAAACAACTTGATTGTGACATCCGTTTGGAGCGTGGCTGGAGAGGGGAACCTGGGGCGCCGTGAGGGCCCCCCCCCCAGCAGCAGTTCCTTTGGCTTCCCTGGTGGGATGCTGGCCCCCAGGGGGGCTGGGAGGGTTAATTTCCTCCAGCACCAGAATTGGGGAGCCAGGCGGATTTGAGAGCTACTCTTGCTGGCTTCGTGGTCTTTAGCGTTA